AATGTCGCAAAATCTTTTTGCCGTTAAATGTCGCAAATGGCAAGTTTAAATGGCTATATTTAGCGACAAGCGCTTAAAACATTTATGCGGCGTTGCGATATTTAGCGGTGTTGCGACATATAATGCGCCACAAAGATATCATTCTTACTCCCAAAACTCAATCACTGGGTCGACCATTTTTTCGTCAGTGGAGTCAAGAAATAGCATCGTAGATTCCATTAATTGTTTGTTGTATTCGTGAGAAACATCTGAAAAATATGATAGAAAAATCAAAAACAACACCTGAATTTTATTAAACTGTTATTTATCAAGTTTTTTTAAAAAACATCTGAAAAGAAATTTTAATAATGACAGTTATTATTAATGTTTTGTTTATTAGTTTATGTGTATTTTATTTTGGAATAATGTGATTTCAGCTTAATAAAAGTTCAATGTAAACAATGGAATCACTTTAATTCTATATTTGGAACATATTTGTAATAAATGGATGAAAGCGGTCAAATTAGAAATTAGATTAATTTGTAAATCTATTCAGTTCCTAAGAATAGTTTATGTATTCGTTTGATGTTTTCAATGTCGGCTAAACTGCCAGTCTTATTGGTATATACCGACTGTCACAAATTCTTTCACCTTTCATTTCCTCGCAAGAACAGACTCAAATCAAACCTGAATCAAGTCTGAATCTTTCTTCTTTTAACTTCATTTTCAGAAACTCAACTTTTAAAATTTTAAAGTTATATTATTATACTGCCTTTGTCAATTATGCAGAATAAGCCAATAATTTTTTAGATAAGAAGAGCGAATTATAATCATACGAACTACTGATTCACTGACTGACGTTTTTGTACAACTTCAAATGACTTTCCTTGATGAAAAATATTATACAAGTATATTATAAGTCAAGTAATGAAGTAATGATTTTTTAAATAAGGGAAATACAAATATTTTTTGTATTCTAATTATGGGTAAATGAATTATACATATAAAAGAAAATAAATCTAGTGCTTTGTATTGTTTTTTTAAAAAAAAGCATCAGACAATAATGATTAACTGCATCGAGCATAATAAGAATATCCGGACAAAATTTCGAGTGAATATTGGAATTTACGGAAGAAAAGTGAGATACAAAAGACTTTATCAAAGAGGGAAATCGAATATAACTGTCATTTTAGTAGGTCCCCAGCTAACAAATTTATGCCTCATTTTTAAATGTCCCGGAGTTCTTGTAATAACTCTGAAAGATGTCCTAAGAGTTATCTGATAAAATTTTTTTTTACTGCCCCCGTGTGCTCTTGGTGCCAAATCACAAACACATTTTAGCGTGGCCTGGAACATCAAATTTTTTGAGCTTTTATTAAAAAACATAATCGTTTGTTAAATAAAAGGAAACCCCATTAACTTCACAGTTTTTAAAAAAGATCGAAAAAAAAAGCAAACAACCGAAACTGCGTTTAATGTCCGAACCCCGTGGGGGTCTTTTTAAAATCGATTGTAAAAAATTGAAAAATTTAAAACCACATTTTCACCAAACTCTCAATAACGAATTTTTTTAAGTATTGCGGGTTTTTATTTTTGATTTTTTTAAAAATTTAAAAGATAATCCTTTAAACATGTAGTAATTTTTTAACTTTGGGGGCTTTACCCTATTGGGCCCTTTGTAAAATATGGAATCTTGTGATGAATATATTATCTTTGAAAATAATACTTATTAATTCATAAGCATATCTTTGATCTTCATCAGTTGACATTAAAACCAGCAGAAGATAGTTTACAACGTATTATTTGCATAGATTATTTTTGTACAGAGGTTATCATAGTTGAATATCAAAAGCTATTTATCACAATGTATGGTGGCTGATTTGGTACACTTTGCGCGTTGCGTTGTCGAAAGCGACAACATACCCTATATTGTTATCGCCTTTTCATATTGTCGTCTTGTCGCTGTCGCTAGCGAAACGAGCCAAACGGCGTATTGTCGCACTGTCGTCTTGTTGTCCTGTCGCTCAAAAAGCACGCCAAATGGCGCGTTGTCGTTCGGCGCGTTGTTGAGATTGTAAAATAACCAAATGCTTCGATTTGACCCAGCACCCAAAGTGCCCTCGCAAAAAACGAGCCTTTGGCGTTGGGATCGGTTTTGCGACAGGGCGGGCCCAAAATTTTAAAGTCCGAAAAACGTCCCTTTTTGGTAAAAAATATGTTCCAAAATTTAGAATTACAAAGTAATGGGGTTTTTTAAAATGTTTCTTTCCTATTTATATGTTTACATTGGGCATTAAACAAAGAAATATATTAACCAAAATAATGTAGGATAAACCCCAGTATCGAAAAAAAAAATGGAGAAAGGTTTATAATTTACTTTACAAATTTTGATGGATTGATTTTTTGATGCAGGTTGTCCCTAGCTTACTTTACCGGGTTTTAAAAGAGTCTGGTAAATGATAGTGGGATTATTATTGATTAGAAAAAATACTTGTTCAGGCAGCCAATAGATAGAAATTAAAATTCTTAACAGTAACAATTTATTATAGTTTACCACCCATTTTCTTTCTTTAAACTATGCTTCTTGAAATAACAATAATGGCGAAATTTTATACATTTTTACATTCTGCCTTTACAAATTGTGAAACGTGTGGTTATTTTTTACGAGTGCACGTTAACACACCAAACAAAGATGACAATACAGTACATGTTAAATGAAAGATTTTTGGATTTGATAACCAACTTACTGTCAGATAGAAATCAAATCAGTATATAATATGTGATTGCTGGCAAGGGCCGTGTCTTGCTTATGTGATCGATACAGAGACAGACTTGTCCGCATGGACTGCATGACCATACCTTCTACCTTGGTTCTTTCATTTTTACGAAGAGCAAGTTCCCACTCAAAGCAGGAAATGTTCATTTAACCAAATTCATCATGGAAAGAAATAAGTAAGTTCCGTAATAAGCAGATTGATTCAACGAGTTCAGTTCTGACCAAAACATTGTATTAAGAGGCAATCCTAACATCAGGGAAAGGGCTCATTGGCTTCGGAAAAATCCGTGAAAACGGTTGTTCTTATTCGAAATATCTCAAAATTTGAATAAATAGCAGGATTGCAAACAATCATCATCACCAGTTTTGAACCATTTCAGCACGAGCCTTAATTTGTTTGTTGCATATATTAGAAAAACAAACACGCTTGGCTGAGATTCCAGATCGCAACATCAAGCTTACAAAAAAAGGCAACGATGCGCTCGTTCAATTAACTTTCCTATGGTAAGATGTTGCACAAATAGTTATGCTAGTAGGTGTTTATATAACAGTAAAAATATCACTTAGTTTAATACAGGGCTAAAACATCTTCTTTATCCATGCATGTTTGCTATAAAGACTCTGTATTACGTATTACCTTTTCGTGTTCCAGTCGTTATTGCAATGGGACCATGGGAGAGTAGAGGTGAAAGACATGACTAGGAAATATCCTGCCCATGCTAAGATAATGATGTAATATATATTCATTTGAAAAGTGACAACGAAAGATGCAATCCCAATCCCTGAAATAAAAATATTCAATCACAAAAGGGAAGTTATGTTCGTCGTCATTTTAGTTATGATGAATTAGTTAAATCACATGGAAAAAATGATTTTTGCTTATAAACAGTATTGGCAAAATATAAATAATCACCAACAGATTTTCAAGCAAAGGAACTGAACTAAATTCTCATAATTTTACGGATTTTAATCACACCTAGACAGTAAGAGGTATATGGTTTGTTACTTTTCGTGGTCTGTTTTTAATTTGAAGTTGTTTTTTTTTTTTTTTTCGAACATTATTTCAGACACGAACGGGCACATGTGTAGAACCACCGACGTTCCGTAAGCTAGCTGGATAGCTTTCTCACATGAAGGAATCCAATGTATCTGGCGGGATTCGAACCTACATAGTTGAGGGGCAAGTGGATTTAAGTCAACCAACTAAACCACTCGGCCACGGATGCCGGAGTCAGAATGCATGTAATTGATATTTTAATAAAGAACATACCTTTAAATGCTGGAATAAGTCTAGCCCAAGTGTCTACATTGTTGCTACTCATGTATTGTCCAAGAGCTAGCTCCATCATGAACAGCGGTAATCCACATGATACAAGACAAATAATATAAGGAATCAGAAAGGCACCTGCAAATTGTATAGGTATTTTTACGGACCATTCATCATAAACAACTTTGATAATCAGCGTAAGAATAACATATTTTGTTACAAAAATAATACCACAATCTAGTAAAAAGCTGGAATGGTTAGTTTAATAGTATACAAGGAAAAATACTTCGTGTATTGAGGCATGGAATCAGCGCTCCAGCTTGTTCACATTATTCATCTTTCAAAGAGACAGGACAATCGAGTGCCTTATTACATGATATTTTTACGGCATGAAAAATGAATACTTACGCGTCTTATGATGTCAGCTTTGACGTCATTCAACAAATCGTAAGCACTTACCACCTCCATTTTTATAACACAGATACGGAAATCTCCAAATATTTCCCAAGCCTACAGCACAACCGATACAAGCAATGATGAAATCCGTTTTATTTGTCCACTGGTCTCGTTTCAAATGTTTATGCCCGGTGCCATGTTTATCTGTTGCCTTTCCAGTTTCATCGTGAGAGATGGAAAGCTCGTTCATACACAAATGCTCTTCTGGCATTGCATCTATGACTATTTCCGTGTCTTCCATTGTTGAAGGATAGAAAAGTGTTGTTGATTAAGATGCCCGTGTCTATTCCGTATAATTTTTTCTTACCATCTGTTCTTCGTACAGTTCATGACATGTCATAAATTATACGATTTTAATATCATCTATAAAGCGGAAACAGCATGATCAGGCAATTGAACGACTTTAACATTTTAACTTCGTGATATCTCGACTAATGTTTGAAATAAGAATTTCTTGTCAAGTGCGCTATTTTCTAAATTGGTCGAAAACTATCCTTCTTGAAAATAATACCATTGTTTTGACAATAACATACAATTTTCGAGCTGACTCTTTGCTTTAACTTTCAACTGTCATAGCATTACAACTCAGAATAAACTTTCTGTTCAATTCGGAGAAATTGATACATATCCTGTACATGTTCAGTTCAATTAAAATAAGGACATAAATCATGTTAGCTTTCAAGTCAATTTAAAAGCATTGTATAAACTGCATAAACCTTTTTTTTCAAACCGTTAGTTTAATTAAAATTATTCGGATATAAATCCTACAAGAGTTTTTCTGTTTAAAACCTCTAAACGTATTTGCATAATTTTTTTTCAGTATCAAAAGTGTATTGTCCACAGACGACAAATACATATATATACATGTATTTAGTTTTGTATAAACATCAAGTTTACTTTTTCCTTTCATCGTTATTATTTTTTCGTGTTTCGCGTACTTCTATATGGAAATTGAACTGCGACCCCTAACGGTCAAGACGTATGCAAACATACTAAATCAGAATTGTTAAAAACTTTAGGTGGTCTTCTGCAGAAGTTATATTGATGGTTCCAGTCTAATGTATAAGTAGGTCACAGGAGCTAAACTTAGTGTTGAGATTTATATGTATATAGACTGACATATGCCAATGTTATATTTTTTTGATATGATTTCAATGTACAATGCATGTGTACATTAATGCTGTGCTTTTCACAATATAATTTTGATCTATTTTAAGTAGGAAATACGCAAAGATACAGTTATATCATTTTTTATAAACGAATTTTGTATTGCTTATTAATATGTGTTATATAGTTACCTACAACAATTAAAATAAATGGTAGAAATAAAATGCTCATTCATATCATGTATCTATCTTTCATGTGTGTAGAATTGTAAGAACAATAAATTAAAGTGTTTAAAGCTATATTTTATATATTTAAATTTGACGTGGCTTTCGGCCTCGCGGCTTTCTTCAACAGCATTTATTAAACATACAAATTATCAAAACAAAACAATGGAAGTGACATGACGTCATTGAGTGACACCCGCCGGGTATGCTACGTTATTCTTTAGTATTTACTCAATATGGTCTATAGGTATTAATTTATTTTTCCACATATTTTCTATTGTTTTCGGTATCGTAGATTTTCTAGCCCCATAATTGAAAAATCACTGACTGTTTGCCCGTTTGCGTAATACTGCACTGCTAACAGATCGTTGTACTTGATCCGTATTGTTGATAAATTAAGAAGATGTCTTTGGTACAACGTATATCCTGTTTCACCAACGTAAATATTACGTTTGCAACGCGTACAATAAACTGCATACACCACATTCGTAGATTTATTCGTGATCTGATTGCGTGACTTGTACGAGGCCCTGTTCACACCAATAAATGTGTCTGCTTCAATGACATATACGACAAATAGTACGAAAAGCTCTACCTGAATTAAACACCTCAGACAAAATGCAAGCCTCCAATTACGGCATTTAGAACAGACAATATCCTACAGGACATTCTTGTTTATAAAAAAAATAAACACAACAAACTATTTTTTCAACAGCCAAATTTCTGCGCTTCTTGCAGATTTAAAAAGTGTGCGATTTGTACCCCATGTCCGTTGGCATAAAAATGTTAAGTTGCTTATGTGAAAGAAATAGATAATATACTGATGCAAGATTCACCACTTGGCAAATAGCTTGTATCGCTGGCATCTCATTAGAACAACTCATACCATTCACAAGTGTAATTTAAAAATGAGAAAGATCTGTGCTTCAACAATATCCAAATTACAATGCACTGTACATGTATTTCACGTAGATGATATTTTAATGCAAATGTCGTCACTGGCGTCACTGTTCACGAAACATGGGTCCACTTTTATGAGCCGAATACACCATAACAAGATTATGGCTATATTGTTCGGTCAAAGATCATGCATTGCAGTTTAAAGAATGTAATGTGTGCCATTTTCTTTACACTTAGGTTTTTGTTCCTTAATGCGTAAATGTATAAGGAAACTAAACAAATACTTTCGAAAACGAAGACCCGCAACAGATTTGGGCAATATCAGATTGCTTTATGGACAAGGCGTCCAGTGCCAGTCGTCTCACATCAAAGGAAAGCGTACGTTGCTATCTTTATGAAATCATGGTATTTTAGAGACTTTTTTAAACGTTGTCAAAATAGCGGAAAAGTTTTATGTTCAAGATATGTGACCAGGTCGTAATAGTATGCAAACATATTTTGACTTACGGTTTGCAAGATAAAAATAGACATGGTGTATACAAGTGCGGATCAAAAAGGGGAGCCTTGCACATAACCCAATATGTCTGTGACCGAAATCACAAAATGTCTAAATTCGAATTTGGTGAAAATTTAGATAATTTAATGTTCGTGAAGTTGGCAGCCTAGCAGCCTAACAGCCTGAAGCTGAACATCATTGAGCATTTTTAAATTGATAATGATTGTCAATTTGTCAGCCATTTGTTCAATCATGATTTTACCAAATAAGACTTTATTTGCATGTGTACATTCGTCATTCATTATCAAAGATTACACCATCTGTTTTTGTTTACATCTAAAACCACGTGGTACCGTATTAGGTCCGAGGTTATTGATATTAGCTCAGATGACATGATTTTATTAAAGCATGCAATTTAATGCAACAAAAAATCGTTTAACGAATTAAGTCAGTGAAACAAGATACTTGTGGTAGACAGATGTAGAATGTCATCGTAAAAAACATGTGAGGAATATGTTGGATATGATCAGATTTTACAGATCATATCCGTATCAATAGTTTTGTGTGAAATCAAAACGAAACACAGCTTTGAATGGTAGATATCATCATTTTCTTAAAGAATAATAGAAAAATGGTTTACAACTTGCAAGGTAAGGGCAGTTCAGTTATTGTTACTCTTGGTCAGTTAGATTCGGTTGACAATTTCAGATCATCACAGTATTTTGTCGGGGTAATGAAATAAATAACACATACGTTTGTGAGTAACAGTAAAGATATCATCCCTCGTAATAACATCATAACAGTATTTACCTAGGGATGGTATTTTTGCTGTCTACCCACAAACCTATGTTATATTTATGATTTTGTACATGGAAATAGTCACAGCAAGGACAAACTTGTATGGATGCAGGGATAAACAAAAATGAAAAAGGGCATTTTATAAAAAAAATGCCATAAAATTTTATTAAACGTAATAAAGTATGAACATACAGTTTCTCTCAAAACATCGTAATACCGCCGATATCAAAACTAGTGGCTACATGCCGTACTAACTACGTATAAAATAACTAAGTATGTACAAAGACGTGTTATATAGCTCTTGATATAATTAAAATGTACAATATAATACATGTACATTTTGTTTAAAGTTATAGTTATGCTTTTTTTATTGTATAATAATGTTTTGTGGGTGAAACAAATTTTAAAGGGTAAAAAAATTATATCTTATGAAATATTTTTATCAAATTGAATTTAAAATATATAGATAAATTAATCAACTGTAAAATTATGTTGTTTCCATGATCTTATAGTCGATTCTCGAAAAAATTGTAATTAAAGTGTATATAGCTATATATCTGCCGTGAAATATGTTTGTATATTAAAATAGGAAACTTTTAAGGGTTTTTTATAAAGAAAAAATGTATTATATAATCGCCTAATAAGCGAATGAAGTGTGCACAATGTCATTGCTAACGGTTAAAAAGCAGCATGATATTTCTTTCCGGATTTTTTATACTTCTGTTCCCATACAATAAACATAATGTTAATTAATTAACAGAGTGGTGGCATGCCCGTGTGCTTAACGCTGTTCAAACCCCGTCAGGAGCAAGCTGTTGTTTCTGTAAGCAAGATTGCTTAGTACTGGTTGGTGCCTAGCTCGTAAGGTCTATTCACCGGGCAAAAAGCATAGTAAAAGCTGCTATAAGTATCTTTATTTCTACCTCCTAAGGACACAGGTGGTGTATCTTAACTACTTTAACTATGCGCTTATTTATGATATTAAGAACATGCAAATATCACTACTGTATTGTTCTTATGGTGTACGACTAGATTAATGGCTTTCAGATGACCTACAAACCATTTGTAAAATCAAAGTCTGCTCTCCATGTCATCCTATAAATATATCCTAAAAATCTTTTAAAAATTCTGCTTTAACATGAATGAAGGTAACAAACAATATTTTAATGGAATTCGATGATATGTTACTTTTAAATCCGCTTATAAAGAACCAATTGAGGCATTCAAATATGTTCCTTGTATCCGGAGTTCCTTATAAGCATATAGCGAATTTGTTAGAATTACACATAACGAACTGATTGTTTACCATCATCCACCATTCTGAAGAGCATTTGTTTAAGAAAAATTAGTCATTTATTTATTTTTAAGACACAATACAAGAGTGTATACTTTTTGGAATTTGAAAATCCTTTACTTTTTCAGTTAAGTTTTACTCCCTTTCTCGATTTCTCATAAAGTATTCATTATTTTGTTTTTAAAACTCTGTCTTTTCGTTTCTTTTCCACTGTTTAAAGGTAAACAATCTTGGAGTTTACCCTTCCTTTTTTTAAAATTGAAACCTTCTTTTATATTTTAAAAGGGTGGACTTTTTACTTGTGAAAGATATAGATTTCTTTTAATTTTCCACTCAAGCATACTTTGTTACAAGGGAAAGGCATGGTCTGATTTATGTTGAAAAACCGCATTGTAAATGATCATAATTATTTTACTCGAGGGAAAAGGGGAAATAATAGACTAAAAGGAAGAACCGTTTTTATCTTGGGGTGACAAGAAAACTTATTTGCTTTAAAAATATCTAAAATAGAAAAACATTACTTACTGTTATACAAAATCATTTCACAGCTGTATTGAAGTTCATAGTAACAATCAAACGTACATTTCAGCCGAGGTTTAATCCGTGTCAATGAAAGCGAAAGTGAAGTTCTATTTACGGATAGCCAATATTTTGGAGTTCGTTATAAAAGTGTAATTTTTCTGTACTTTTAACTAAATTGGGACTAAGGAATGAGTTCTTTATAAGCGATAATTCCTTATAACCGTGTTAGCACTAACCGTATATTTTTATATTAAATAAAGTACGGCAAAATAGGGTCAAAAAATAATCCTTATAACTGGAAGTTCGCTATAAGCGAAATTTGCTGTATATCGTTACACCAAAGATAGAATTAAAGAACATAGAAGACGAAGATTAGGAAAGAAACAGTAGAAAAAAAGTTTATTAGACGTGTGCATATCTATTTTGTTATTGAAATGACTTGATATAACAGCTAACAAAAAAAAATCATATTCAAGGGCAAATTACTCGAAAACGGTGTTGAAGACGCCATTTCTTTCGCTTCAAACATTTCTGTTTTTATAAATCATGTAAAGTATTACATGTATACAGTTTATTCTGCTATATATGCAATCCTAACAAATAACATACGTTTTACTGGGGTAAACTAAAAACCATTTACCGATATAGACAGTAAAATATGAAAACTAGTTGACAGTATTTTTGACGCATCTCGAACAACGGTTAGAGGAACTTAAATGTGAAGGTGAACGTTTTGTTATTACATGTGACAGAATTTAACTTTTGTTTACGTTATTGATGATAGAAAAAATGAATACAGGGATCACATCAAAACAATATAGCCTTGAGAGAAATGATCAGTTTAACGAGACCAGCTTTCATGCCAAGGACGAAGATTGCACGGTTCAAGACAAAGAAAAGACGCATCATCTTGAGAGAGACCAATGGTCAAGCAAAATGGATTTTATTCTTGCATGTGTCGGATGCGCAGTTGGACTGGGCAATATTTGGAGATTCCCGTATCTGTGCTACAAAAATGGTGGAGGTATAGAATTTATTTTTAGTTTCCAGCTAATATTTAACAATTTAGCCAACCAATCTTGGTATGATAAGGGAATTCGTTGCATTTATGATATCTTACAAGACAATGGCCAGTTTTATACACCAGAAGAATTAGGCAAGATCTTCAATATAAATATCAATCATCTTTTATATTTAGGAATTACAAAAGCAGTTACAACCTTTTTTCAAAATGCCTGCTTCAACCCATTAACTTTTAAGAGAGAAAAATTCCCAACCATTCCAATACACATTAATGGGATAATTAAAGACCAAAAAGGCTCAAAATACATTGTATATGTATGATTCGCGTAATGTCAATTCCAGCAAGCCCGTTTGTCAGGTCAAATGGTCACAAAAACTATGCCTCTCAAATGATGATGAATACTGGAAGATTATATATAATTTACCATTCAAATTGACAAAAGATACTTATTTACAATGATTCCAAGTAAGACTTATCCATAGGATTTTGGGTACAAATAATCTTTTGTTCAAAATGAGATATATTAACAGTCCTTTGTGTAGCCTTTGTAATCTTCATGATGAAACTATAGAACATATCTTTTGGGAATGCAGTCACAGCAATAAACTAATATAGATAAACTAAACATGCCAAACTTGAATAAAGAAACTATGCATTTTGGTTACACTAAAGGAAACAATACAATAAATATTGTAAACAATTTAGTTCTTTTATATGTCAAAATGTATATTTTTAAATGAAAAACTAATAAAACAATGATATCTTTTGCTGGTGCTATAAAGTATATTTCATATGTTCTAAAGGTAAATGAAGAAAAGCTATCCAATGTGGAAATCTTGACCAATTTGAAAAAGACTGGCATACTATTTTAAATATATGTCATTAATCATAATTGCTCCGCGCCCACAGGCGCGGAGCTATTTGTGTTTACTATTTTTTTTGTCCATGGGCCCGGATTTGAGCAATAAATCCTTTCGATTTACAGCTAAAAGTAAATCCGCATTTAAGAACTCCTTTCCCCGTCGGTGATTCGCAGCATGTCATATGTATGAATGAGAACCGGAAAGCAGTTCTGCTGTTACATAAGCTGCTTTTTGTAGCCCTACGAGCGGATGGACCCTCATTAAGGTGATTCCGCTTTGTCAGCCATGTTTGCTTTCACAAAGTCTGTCCAAAGTGAAAGTAGGCCAAACTTCATATATATATTGCAGTTTAAACATAAGTGTAATGTTTTTTTATGAATGGTTTTAAAGCAATTCAACAAAAAATATATATTGATCTCCCAATAAATTAATTAATAATAGTTTTTTTATATATTACCAATGTCAAATAACTTTCATATCTTTGTCTCGCACGAATATGATATTAGTGAATTTCCTCACACCTACCTAAAATTCAGGTAACAGTCTTCTATTATATTGATAAATACTGTATCACCATGTAACGCGTGTATAACAAACAAAAAAAATCCTGAATTTGGTCTTTTTGAAATTCATCCCTTTTTTTCATTCCAGAGTGTGTTCTACTTTCAGTATTGAAAGAAACCATTTTTTTTTAATTTGACATAAAAAATATGCATGTAATATTACTATATTATAATATTAGTCCCTTTTGTTTCTATTTGTATATTTGTTACAATTATAACAGACTTTGATATTTCTATCATCTATCTTCTGTTACTGACTACAGTAGTGACACAAACAGAACACAATACAGTCATGTCACATAACATTTACAAGTCTGTTAAGTCTTGTTTGTATTCAATGGAATTACTTTCCTTACCAGGTAGGCATCAGTGAAAGCATGTTTTATATTAAATATTTTTCCCCTCTTTTTAATTATGGACAGTGCATAAGATAAGTATAATTATGCAAAAAATGGTTTACAAAACATTCGGAAAAAATCTACAATAGTACTTAATCTGAATATGCGTAGGAATAATTTGGTAAAGTATCTGTAATGAGCACATTTTTTTGCGCGGAGCTTCTCAATTGCTGCATTGCAGCAACATTTGTACTTGTATAATAGAGACCTATCCAATACTTTTGTTTCCAATCTGATAATGATAAATGTGAATCATCAAAATACTTTTTCGTATGTTGATGTTAGGAGCGACCTTTGTCTTTTCAGTTTTCATACCGAGCTTTGTTTGAGCATACATGGAAGAATAAATTCATGTTTGTAGTGCCCTGGGCGCAAAGTATCTGTCTTTGATGTTTTTGTTGAGTCATATTGCTGTTTTCTTTTGTAAATAATCATCCTTTTTCGTCTGTCTATTTATTCTATCGTCAAGCCTCCTAGCTAACCCCATTAGTATCATTAGTTTGTGTATTACTCATAAATATAGAAAAAAGTAATTATGTTTTTGCTTAAGGCATACTGTAGATGTAGTAATATTTTTCTATGTCTTGAACTAATAACATCCTTTACATATTCAATATTTCAAATAAATGTTTGCCGTAATTTACTTTATGTTAATACTATGTTAACTTTTCATGTTTTAACACATTATTGTAAGAATGTTAAGGGATGGACCTCCGACCTTTAAATAGTCATGCGACGGAGGCAATAAATGGGGTCACCTTCGGGGCCTGAAATTGAAAAAAAAATTTAGTCAACCATATGTAAGGAAAAAATATTACAGAACTATAAACACCATTCCAAAACAAAACTGAAGCACAAAAAGTTGTTGTTTTTCCGTCCAAAAGAAAATATATAACTCATTGAAACGCATAATTGTGAGACGGATGTTATCGGTAAACGTTGATTGGAAATTAAAACGCTTACCATCACTTACAAACTACTACGACGTCATTTGGAAATTGTTGATGTGTTTAATCTAAGCCTCTCTGTGCCTATAGGACTTTATTCTCAATTTGCAATATTCAAACTAACTGTATTGTATTTGCAAAGTTTTTATAAAAAAAAATGGCATCACAGTCTAATTTGTAGCGTGGCTTTCAAAACGTATGCAATTAGTTGTACCTTAAAGTTATACTGGTTGGACTAAAGCTGACTTCCAAGAAATGTACGCATTCCCTTTTTTATTTCCTTTTTATATATCGTATGTAATTTATGCGTTCAATTGCACAGTTTGTTTTAAGGGTATATAGCTATACATGATAAAATATGTTTATGAAATTTATTGATAGTAAAAAAGTATAGTCTCCAATTTCTTGTGGCCGAGTCCCGAAAAAGCTGTTACATAAAATGTTTATGTCATTAATCACAAAAGAATATTGTACGTACTAATCATGACAAAATGTTCCAGAACAAACTATTGCGATGATTTTGTGTTTTCATCCTTAGCAATGATTTTGTGCATGCAACTTCCTTAAACATTTGTATTTTTCTTTTTTCAAGTACACACAGCCGAGACATGAAAAATGAATGTCTTTTTAAAAATGCATTTTTTTCTTTATGCCATTGGATACTTAAATTTTTGAACGGTACATCATTGAAATCAAACTCCAGTTGGCGTTACATAAGTTCCATGTAGTCTCAAACACTTTTGTTGATTCGCAGACGTAATGGGTGCGGCAGATGCTACAATTCTGCAACTTTTACTTTTCGCCCCTCTAATTTTTACACAAAGACATACGTCTACTTTCATAGAAAATACTAAATCACTTTAATTTTGCCAGAAAGCAACAACAGAAATAGCTAGACCTTTCAGATAATTGGCCAACTTTTGAGAACTTATAATAAAAGCATTTCTGGGTCAAACTTAAGAAAATAAAATTTTGAAGGTGGATCAAAGGTCATGAAATAAAAAGGTAGAGATATCAACATATGTTTTATCTATTTATTAATTTATTTAATTTATTTTTATTTTCCTTTTTTGCTGTCTTCATATATTGTAACCTTTGTTACTGTGTCTTCGATTTTGTTTCATCTTTATTCAATTGCCATTACAATAGTAAGTCTTTTGTAATATATAGCTAATTTAGCTCAACTTCACAGACAAAATGATTACACCTCCGTGTATATGATGACATGGTACCAATTTCCCTTAGATATGATAACACTATAATTATTACAAATATGACAATACTGTATAACAAATATGACAATATTGTATTACAAATATGACAATATTGTATTACAAAAAAATGACAATATTGAATTACAAATATTCCAGCTTTATTAACCGTTTTATTGTCGAGTGTTATGTAACATTAATTAATGGTCATGATATTGTATATATCATTTTACAGGTTTTTAAAGGTTATATGACCCGTTGTAATTATAGCTCTGAGCGGAATAAAGATGATTTGACAAAAAACAATATACAATATGTATATAATAAAATAAAAATGCCATTATTTGCATGTCATTATATATTCTACAGGTGCGTTCCTTATTCCGTATACAGTTTGCCTGGTTACCTGCGGGGTGCCAGTCTTTATGCTAGAACTAGCTTTAGGCCAGTACATGAACATCGGCTGTATTGAAGCTTGGGCAAGACTGGTACCTGCATTCAAAGGTAGGTTTGAATCTCCAATTTGTTATCATCTTTTAAATTATTCAAACTTGCAAAATGAAAATGTTATTACCTATATATATATATATATATATATATATATATATATATATATATATATATATATATATATATATATATATATATATATATATATATATATATATATATATATATATATATATATATATGAAAACTAGCCATGCACATGCAGTGCTTTTTCTCTTTAATTAGTCTCTAAGACTTGATTTTGGGGAAAATTATCGTAAAAATTTGCTAATTTGGGAAGTAAAAAAGCTGGGATACGTTCAGATTTTTGGGGAAAATGCATGATTTTAAAGTAAATTTCAGTTGGGAACAGTTCTGTTTATATAAGGAGGAAATGCCAGAAACTAGGAAATTGACAGTAGAGTTTTTGTCACATAATTATGTTATTCGGTATAAACATATTTCAATGCTACACTACATAAAGAAAATTTAACAACATCATGATATGAAAGCTAAAAGCTTAATGTAATTCTCTGTACACAAATATTATATGCACTACAATATATTCGGTGTTTGCACATCATGTAAATGATACATATAAATGTAATATTCGATGTAAAATACATGACATATATCTATTTTTTTCAAATACAATATCTAAGTACATGTAGATATCAAAGTGTCGTGCCTAACACATATGCTCTGCAAAATTGTTACTAAAATGATAATGAGTTGCTATCAAAATCTATATTAAATGAAAATTTTGGCTTTTTAATTAGTTTATGATATTAATCAAAATATTTATTAAGCTTTTACTAGTGTGCGATATTTAGGTAATTAAACTTTTTAATAAATAGATCTACATATAAATACATTTTGTTTACGTGGTACTATTGCTTGTGGCGGTACGTCTGCTACGTGGTAGTCATAATAAAATGTATACAGTAATATTAGCGTCTGTTAGTAAATAAGCAAATTTATTCCGTGAGTCAGTTCAAATGAAGATGTATCAATAGATGTTAGTAAAGCTGTTTTTAATGAAAGAGCCCTGAGCCGTGTGCAAAAAAATAAAAAATAAATAAATAAACATAAATATTCTAATGGAAAAGTAAACATATCCAGACACTTATTTTGACCGACAAGGAACATTTAGATATAATGAAAACCTGAGACAATATACCATAAATAACGGCACACTTAGAAATATTGCAAGTTTGAAAGCTTGTTTGTGGTCGACGCATCTTATCTTCTCATAGCTCTGCTGTTCACGCCCACCCCAGCCCGTAGCACCGAGTTAAGCAGAAAACAACACAAATTTAAGTAAATAAAAGTAACTGTCATCAGAAGCCAAAGGCAAGTACTTCGCAATTTCTTATTTCGTCAACAGTATATTATCCAGTCAAATTGACTCTTATAGGACGACTTAAAGAATATTTTTGAAGACATCAAATCAGAATCAAGTATGACATCAAAAAATATTTATGGGTTTTATATAAGTAAGCTTTCATAAATAAGTCCAAACCCACTGCAAAAAAGGTGTATTTGTTGAGAATTAATGTAGAATTATTGTAAAAAAAAATCGTTTATTAGAATTTCCTTCCTTTCCTTATGAAATGACTAAAACAGTTTGTATTTTTAGGTATAGGGGTTGCGTGTTGTGTAGCTACATTCCAAATGAACATATATTATATCGTAATGCTGGCATGGGGAGGCTACTATCTCGTTATGTCTTTTACTTCTCCTCTACCATGGTCTCATTGTGGTAATGAATGGAATACAGAGAGGTAAACATAAAGTATATCTTTTTACATTTAAGGCTGTATTTTATTGTAGTTTTTATTTCTAAAAGGATATATAGTTTCTATAGTTTCTAAAAAGACACTAATTGACCGATTGCATGAACCATATTTTTCCCTACTTTTTCTTATTTCGCAAATGGTGCAGTTATAATGATTTTGAATTTATTTTATGGAAGTCAAAATTTGTTAAAATTTTCTTTTTCTTTTATGAAAATTAATTTCCTATTAAGCTCTACTTCCTTCAGGTAACCAGCATCAAACGTGCTCTTAAACCATTATCTAAATGTTATAAAATCCATGTTTTCCCTTTTTAAAGAAGTAAAAACTTCTATTATTTCTGAGGTATAGTGTGTCTTTAAGTTTGGCAACAACATTTTGAGTGTCATTTCACGGCCTGTCAGAATTTTAATATGTGCACTATTTTAAGTATAAACCGTGTTTTAATCAAATAATTGGATATAAATTATCTATGCATTTCAATACAGGAACACTTCTTATAAGATTATTAAGCAAATTAAAAAAAAGGAATATAAATACAAAAAAAAAACCACCAACAAAGAACTTTTTCAAATGCCACGTTTAATTAAATAACAAATAATTTGCTTTCCTGATGTTTCACAAAGTATATATTAATTATCGTTTAATAACTAGTCTACAACAACCCGAAATAATTGATTATTGTCGTTCAAATTTCATTTTAAATTTTGTTTTAAATTATCTTAAATTTACAGGTGTTTCTCGCCGGAACGAGCAGAAACAAACAATTACAATTCGACAATGAACTGGAACGGCACTGCAAATGACAGGAATGTGGATCCTGCACAGGAATTCTGGGAGTAAGGCTAAACAACCAATCAATTTTGATATACCATATTCCGTGATAATATTCGTTTTATCTATTATTTGTATTTATCTGGCTTCGATCCAAAAGAATAACTGAAAGCAAAACTAGTAACACACTAACAGTTACTAAATTTATTCTCTACAAAAATTACCAAATCATAAAATAACATTGCACAAAATTGACCAAGTGGATAAGTTCTTTGATAAACCAGTTGTCACTCACTGTTGTAAGAGTACTCTGGATTCTTTCATGTGAGGAAGCTATCCAGCTACAAACGTTACATGGGTGCCCGCTGTAATAATGCACGAAGGAGCAATTGAGGTAATTTAAAGTGTTGCATCGCTGCTGAAAACCCAACCCTTTAAAAAAATACGGAAGAAAATAAATTTTTAATGTAAGACAAAAGTGATAAGTTTTCTAAATGCTTTTTTTTAGGAAAAAAGTTCTTCGTATATCAAACGGAATAGATGAACCGGGGGCTATTGTGTGGGAACTTGCGGTCTCGCTGTTTGTTGTTTGGGTATTTGTATACATTTGTGTATGTAGGGGAGTAAAAGTGAGCGGAAAGGTACTCTAAATTGAATGATTTTAATTATTGAAACTTGTTTCATGATTATCTTTGTATGCTATCTCAAATCGGAGATTTAAGACACATGAATATAACATGGTATTTGTCAATATCTGCAAATCAGCTACATGATATATAGTAGCTTAGAGGGTTAACCTCGGAGAATATATATTAGTATACAATACAATATACCCACATAAACAACACAATCATTATAGTACCCGGTCTGTCTAAAAATAGTTCTTGAAATGGTTAAATTGAATCATTTTTATACAGAAACCATTTTAATAACTTCCCAGTTTTGCTAGTTTGTTTTGTTTTTCTTTAACGATTTTACGTAAATATTATTTAAAACTCAAGTAAATTATCGCTTTTTAAAGATAAGAAACGTTTTGCAGGTTGTATATTTTACTGCACTGTTTCCATATGTCGTCATCACTATTCTGCTGATTCGCGGAGTGACGCTAGATGGCGCCAGTGATGGTATCTATTTTTATCTCAATCCGGATTTCTCAAAACTATTAGACCCACAGGTAATAGCAGTTTGGAAAAATCTTATATATTTATTACATTTCCTGCAAAAGTATCCAGTTTTTTACTTTTTATAAGTCTTGTTCATAATGTTGTAATTGTTTCTAATTTGTTTCTTATGTATTCATTTTAGACTCATTTTGCAAGAACATGTGCCTTTTGTAATCACTTAAATAAGAAGATCGATTCACCTTCATAATGTACTATAGTAATTCATTGAATATAATATTTTAAACATAACAATATTGATTAAGCATATGTTAGTAGAGATGTACTTTGTGTTACGAAAAGCAGACTTTGGCAAATCAATGCTGTTTTGCTTGATTTATTGCTTTATATTATGTGTATATAATAGATAATAATTTTAACAGGTATGGATAGATGGTGGGACCCAGGTGTTCTTCTCCTATGTTATTGCTAATGGAGTGTTGATAACTCTTGGAAGTTACAACAAGTTCAATAACAATTTTTACAGGCAAAAAATCTTTAATGTTGTCAGATATTTCTAGCTCTTCATGACCATGATTTTGTTCAAAGTTTATTTTCCATTTCGTAATGTTCAACAGTATTTATTTAATTAATAATATCTGAATGTCGCTAGGGCCTATTCCTAATCATTTTATTATTTTACCATGGTATAAATCACCTTGTGTTTATGACTTAAGTTATGTTACATTCTTTTTGCGATGATATTCTGATATCCTTATTCAATAAACGTTTTTTAGCCTGATTTCAATAATGGAGGTAACTCAAAAATTGTGCATGATCGCTTAATTATTGTCTTAATAAGTATAACGTTTCGTGTATATATATATATTGTACAAGTATAATATTATGATATAGTTTAAAGATGTAAAATAAAGGATACAAACCTTAACATAAAATCATGCATAACTACATTAGTAATTAATACATTTTAAATCTTCTTCAGAGATTGTTTTCTTGTGGCAAGTATCAACAGTTTTACAAGTTTTTATGGAGGTTTTGCAGTGTTTTCTGTCCTTGGATTCATGGCAAAAGAACAAAATATGACAATTGGGGAAGTTGTCAATTCTGGTGAGGGTTTTGTATACATGTACACCTTATAAGAATTATGGTGGCTTAAAAATCAAAGAAATAGTCGCAGAATCATCATCAATGATATCCCGAATGAAAATCAAACTTTGTTGCACGTAAATGTTTCTTTTGACCTCCGCTTGAGATTTTCTGACATGACAGGACAAGAAATATCTTTTCGAGATGTGTGTACTATTTGATGAAGGCCAGGACCTATACTCTGTATTCAAATTTTCAGATCATTTCCTTACTTCGTTTTTCTCAGAATAATCATTTTATTGTGCAATATTACCTAAAAAGAAAAACGATTTGCAATACAAAAACTCAATAATCCTTTTAAATCTTAATATATTTTCTTTATGATACTTTGTGTTTTTTGTTTTTTTTTTCATTTTAAGCGTTTCTTTTGGTCTAAATAAGAAATTCAAATTTAATGTTTTTTTACGTCAGTACAGCTCCTTAAACGAGCTGTTGATTTAAGATGTTGCAAATTAACTAAAAATATTCAAACATTAAAAAGGTGTTTTGTTTTTGTTTAAGTTATCGTGGAGAAATACTTCACCAGAGTTGCAGATTTGAATAAATTCTATTCTATTATAGAGGGACAAATTGATTTATTCCATAAAATTATTTTATAGACTCCATTGTTATGTATCAACAGCATTTCCAACTCATGCTATATTAACCTTTTAAGAGATATTTTATTTAAAATAAAAAGAAAGCTACTTTTTATGTAAATTGTCACGTTCGAAATGTGGCAAATTGACGTAGAAATGGAATTTTAAATAAAAATGTTCATTACTTACATCAAGGATCTTACTATCTATTCAGGTCCAGGTCTAGCATTCATCGCCTATCCAAAGGCTATTTCACAAATGCCTCTGTCACCTCTATGGGCTGTTCTCTTCTTCATTATGATTTTGTTGCTGGGATTCGACAGTCAAGTACGTATTATATGCTAACAATACAATCAGTTTGAAACTTTTATATGCGGTCACGGTGAACAACAATAGATAATGAACAAAGAAGCGTTACTGTATATTCCTTCTATGATAATAGCAAATATATAATTTTGTACTTGACGTGTAAATTTATTAAATCACAGAGAATGAATGCCGCGATGAAAACTTAACTGAGGAGTGACCGCATAAGTTTTTTTCTCTCCTTTTTTGGATCCATTGAAAAAAAAAACACATTTTTCACTTTGTGGTTATCTTTCTCATCCCGCTTTCCATGAATAATTATTACTGTGTTCATTACGATGATAATCAAGGTAGGACTCTAACCTTTTTATCTCGTGGTTTCAGACAAATTAACCATTAGGGTTAGACATTGTTTTATGACGTAACAGTGAAACGGACAATAACGACAATATTAAAATGTACGATACTTACATATCTTGTTGAAAAAACAGATTTATTTTGTTTTGTTATATATAAAGTCCATTTTGTAGACGTTTTATGCCTTTACTTTAGATGGAAACAGGCGCCTTGCTTGAACCACCGGTCTTACGTAATCTAGCGGGTTAGCTTGATCACATACAAGTTTTTCGATAAAAATGTAGTCTGAAATAGTTTGGCAATGATATGATAACGGATTCTTTGTTTAGCCCCATTTCTACAGTTGTAGTTTTCTATTTTTTTTATTGTCAATGAATAGCTTGATGCACATACCTTTTTATCAAAAATATCATTATTATCATTTATTCAGATACAATACATATTTTACAGTTTGTTTGTGTAGAGGCGTTCCTGGCTCCAATACTAGATGCTTTCCCGCATTACATGTACATTAAAAGAAATAGAATGATATTTACAGCCATTTACGCTCTAATATCATATATTGTAGCTTTATCTATGGTAACGGAGGTAAGTGCATTTAAACTATGTCATATTTTTATTAACACTATATGATCAATTATGTTAATATTACTATTTTGAAGACCACCAACTGCTTTATCCAGTACAGGTGGCATAAGAGCTATATCGCTTTCTATCATGTCAACATGATCGAGTCCGCAATTTTCATTTGTAAATTTTGTTTCTTTTGATATTATCAATTATCACGACAAAACCAACATAGTGCGTTTGCGACCAACATGGATCCAGACCAGCCTGCGCATCCGCGCAGTCTGATCAGGATCCATGCTGTTCGCTATCAGTTACTCTACTTGTAATAGGGTTTGTAAGCGAACAGCATGGATCCTGATCAGACTGCACGGATGTGCAGGCTGGTCGGGATCCATGCTGGTCGCAAACCCATTATGTTGGTTTTGTCATGGCACGGCTAAAATATACTTAATTACTTCTTGCTTTCTAAATCCCGCTTAAATATTGAATTTTTATACTTTTCACCTTATTTGGACAAGTCAAGTGCATATTCTTATAATATTGCGTTAGAAAAAATTATTGTACACAATATTACAAGGTTATTTCTGTTGTTTAAGTCTTTGAAATATTCACTATTTTAAAAGCAATCTTAGCTCTATGTAAGCTTACAGCGGATAAGACTTTATATAATGCTTACAGCTTTGAGCCAAACCAAAATGCAAACTCGTGTAATGTGATAATGTGATAACAATTCTTTTCTGTCTGCCGACTGCTACATTTTAAACTGGAAGAGTGGTAACGTCCTGATTCAAATTAGATCAACTACACTAGACAAGTAACTGCAACGTAAAGTATGTTTTTGTCACCTGCTGTGTGTGTCAGATATGTTTGTAACAGACTATATTCTTGTAATATGCCATTGAATAAACGTTCAATATGAACAATATTTAAACCATTTTTTTTTCATTTCAGGGCGGGATTTATGTGTTTCAATTATTTGACTACTATAGCGCAAGTGGGTTCGTCTTGTTGTGGATTTGCTTCTTCGAGGCCGTAGTTGTCTCGTGGGTTTTTGGTAGGGATTTTAGCAATACCGTTTAAGTCAAGTCTTGTACATAATATACAAAAGTAACAGGTCACTTTGTGTTGATGGTTATAGAAATATACTCGTATTTCACTTACCAATCATATTGTAATAGAAACGGGTTGTAAAACTAGCTGCTTTCTTCAGTGTAAAAAGTAACTTAAAACGAGAAGACGCTAACTTTGCATATATATATATAAATATATAAAATCATCTTTGAACTCTTCCATAGTGCTTTATGTATTTTCCAAAATCTGTCAATGACTTAAAATATGGGAATCTAAGATTCGCAGTATGAATGACATGTTCGCCTCAAAACGGTAGAATGCATGAAAATACGCATTTATAAATACTTCTTTCAGACGTTATTATATATACTTTGTTAAAATTGCTGTTTTTATTATGTTGAGTATTGATATTGATCTTGGTGATCTTATTATAATTGAATGGTTTCATCGCCACCAAGGACCCATCACAAGAGGACCGTGTTGTTCTACGATTCATATACGGTAGTACAGTGTAAAAAATAATATATATTTTCAGGCGAGGAGAGATTTCAGGCAGCGGTTGAAGTTATGATAGGTCGGCGGTTTCCTCGCTTGTTTTTCATTTGTTGGAAATTTTTAACACCCGCAATAACAATGGTAAGATAAATGATTGTATGTTAAATTAATGAAACCAGCAAGATTGAAGAAGGCCGACCGTGCTTGAAAGGCATTACACGAACTAAACAGTTAAACAGAAAAAAGTTCTTTATCGCCGTAACTATCTAAGGTGGCTTAACACCCTATAAATTCATTAACGCGACTAGACTTTTCTCTTCGAATAAGCTCAAGATTATGTCGTTTGACAGTGATAGTTATACAGAGTTTGAGTGTTGAATTAGGAAACTTAAATGAATAGAACTAACCCAAGTAGTGGTTTACTACTGACCGTTTCTAGGCGGCGTCCCCCTGTGTTTCTCCGTGTATGGTTTATTTACAGTAAAGTGTTTTGGGTTGTGTAGTAACGTGTATTTTTTATAATTTCTGCTATGTATATCATTTAATGGAATTTTAATGCCATCACTTACTTGTAAAAGCATGTTAACTAAAGTTTATCTTTGTTCTTTAAGGCTATTTTTACGTTCTCTCTTGTGTCGTTTGCGCCACTGATGTATGAGAAGAAATACACTTACCCAGTATGGGCCCGGATGTTAGGGTTGTGTATGACTCTACTATCGACTATGTGTATACCAGGGATATTTATACACACTTTTCTGACACAGAAAGGAACTCTCAGACAGGTTTGTATCTGTATGCATTACTACTTTTTGTTTTTAACACAGAATTTCATCATAATTTTCGTTTACAGATAATGATTTAATTATCGGCGAATAGCTATGAAGCAACTCAGCAATGTATAGTCCGAAGTGTTGCTCTTGGTCCAGAAATAAAACCTGTCAGTTAGAATAGTTTCCGCTTTACCTTTCGTGATTTTATAAACTTTATAGAATACATGTATATCAGTAACAACAAAAATGTTTTTGATAATTTGAGATATAGCAATCATGTGATACAGATGCTGACTCGATTTATATTTTGATAAACATTATCAGACAATTAAAACATCAATAGTTAAGTTCTGGTATCTCCAGCTTAAATTACAAATAGTCTTTGGAATGAGGCCGTGAATTAGTATTTTAATCACGCACGTAAAAAGCCTTGGTGATTACTTTCCGAAGGGATCATCTCTAAGAAACCATGCTTAAAACCCTACAAGATGAGCTATTGGTAAGCTATGATGAACTTAAATAAATAAAAAAAAAAACTCTTTTACAACAGTTTGATCATCTAGCTGTTCTTAAATTTATATTTTATGTTTTTTTTTCTTTTTCCAGAGATGGCGATCCATGTTCACACCTCTTCTTCAACCTCATCAGATTTTAAATAAATAATTTGACCCCAAGGTTTGAAACCCAAAGACTAAATGTGTAGAAAAACAATGTCCACGTCGACGTCAGAATCACCGATGATGGATTTTGTGATGGCGCTTCAAAATTAATCTTAGTATAATCTTATAAAAGCCAAAAATATTCACTGCCTTTGTCTAGCATAACTTATATCTATATTAAGTGTACATCAAAATATTCATCATGACTTGTTTTGTATGATCATAACTATACATTATACGAATAATGCATTATATAAATAATGTATTTTATGTTTTCTTTGTATTTTATATGTTAATGTAATTACATGCATGACGAAAAAAATATAAAAGCGATATATTGCTTGTTATCGATAAAAAGCGATATATTGAACTATACATTATACGAATAATGCATTATATAAATAATGTATTTTATGTTTTCTTTGTATTTTATATGTTAATGTAATTACATGCATGACGAAAAAAATATAAAAGCGATATATTGCTTGTTATCGATAAAAAGCGATATATTGCTTGTTATCGATAATACATTTTTCATAAATTTATATCTTAATGTGTAAAAAGTGATATTGAGAAATGACCATACATGCTTAAGGATGATTTGTTTTTGTTTGAAAATTACAAAAGCATTAGGTTTGAAGTACACATTATGATTATGTACGATTATGCGTGCACGGTGATAGATTGATAAATCTTGTATTAAATGAATTGAGCATAGATGCCCAAATACCCTTAAATCATTAAATGTTATACATTATTATGTTGGCCCTGAGTATAGCAAATGCCATTGAAATGGAACGATGTTATGATAGACATAATTGCTGCACGTGTTCAATTTTTGCACGGATCAATAATTACACAATTCAAGTTGATCATGATGCCAAACTTGGGTAACTGTGTCCATTTCTAGTGCTGACGCGTGATTTTCAGTGCCAGAGCTTAAGCTGTCAAGAAGAGTCGTGAAGAAGATTATCGTCTTTGAATGGAAATGCTTATCAGTTACTCTTTGAATCAAAACTAAGACCTCTGCTTGATATTATGTATTGGAGCGAAACGTTTCCTACAGGTGCGAGTAATTTTAGGTATGAGTACAGTTTACAGTCTAACATTACAAAGACTCTCATCTTGTTCATCAGAGACACTCTAAATTAAAACTAAATAGCAGGATGAAAGCTTAATATGGTAATTAAAAATGTCAATAATTCAACATGAAAGTATTTGCATGTCAGTTGGTGCCGGGCCGATGAATTTTCAAACGATTTGTTCTATAGTAAATCAGTCATATTTGTGGCTTAATTCTCGAATGAATTATGTACTGTCTTCGACTTTGAACATCAACACTATCTTAGTCAAATGAGGCCCAAAATATGATATGTTAGCCATCTAATTTTTTCAGAAATCTTCATTTTATATTAACACTGTTTAAAATCACGGTTGTACATCTTTAATCCTTTCGTCAACAACGATTTCCTGGAGAATACACAAAAAAAGCAATTTTTAAAGTCATCCTATAACACACAAAAACTACACACATGCAATAAATACATTTTTTATGACCAATTAAACTAGAGAGAACTTAAATTGAGCCCTTCAAAAATTAAAAGAACTACTTTCTAGACTACAACGGGTTGTGTCTAATACAGTGAGTTAGCCAATAGCGGATCATAGCCAATAACGGATCAGTCAGTAATTTAACGAAATATTCTTCTAACAGTTTTGAGCTTAAAAATGTTTTTACCTAACAGGCATGTGCATTAGGATGTTAGCTACTTGACAGCGGGAAAAAAATGTAAACATCCGTGTAATTCATATCAGATTCACTCAGATGCTTAACCAAGCGTTTCCGTTTCTCGTGAAATTTAGCGCCGTTGACAACGCATATTTGAAATTGTTGCCTTATTTATCATAAAAACTCGAAAGATATTGGATCAAAGCTGGTAGATATTTGATGCCCAATATGTTAACTACCTGCAACACCAACCGTTTAAAAAATACTTGAGGAATTATTTTGATAGCGCTACTCAAATGAATTGCACCGAGTTATCCAAAAGCGGATCATGCAATTTTAAAGAAAGGGACCGCCTCAAAGTTATCCAATCTGTTATAGAAAATATTTTTAAAGAAAATTTTGGTTAAAAGACCAAATAAATAAATACATAATATAAAGTTTAAATGATTTTATGTTAATATTACAATTATGCAGTCCATGCCAAAAAAAAAGTATTTTATGCAGTATAAACAGCTGCAACAGTGAAATACTGTTCCAGGCTATATGTACGTAGGTATCCATTTTTTCCCAGACTATATAACATCATAAATAATTGTTATTAAATAAATCAGATACAAAGAACATATTTTGTTTTCATATTCAGCTATTTATATGGCATATATATTGAGACTTGCATTCCATATGTCGCTAAAATATTGAACTTATACTTGGATTCTTGATGTTGATACAGATCAACATAAATATATTTATATGATTATTTTGTCCATAGTCTTGTCTTCCTTTAAATATTATGTCCAGTAATTGATTAGTCGAGTAGAGCTGTCTCCTCTGACAGCTCATGTTTCATATGCTAACAAAGAATCCATGCTAGCTCAATGTTTATTTGTTATATGGTTTCAGATTATGATGCTTCCAAAGGCTAAAGGAAAAAAAAAATGTACACTTAAGTCCAGCCCTATGACCTAAAATTGTGTTGGTGTGACGTTAAACCCAACAAAAATACAATTTTTCAGTCACATGTCTTTTACATATAACAATAAAGAATTCTTTTTTACTTAAATTACATAATAACAATTAATTGTGACATAGAAGTTCATATCCATTTGTCTGCACAATCAGAATTATTATTACATTGCCTTTTATGAATGATAGTCAGAATTGTTTTACACTAGTAGAAGTACATGTATTTTGTAATGATTTTGTTCATTTTTATTGCAGATTTTTCTAAGGAAGAGTAAAGCAGTATATGTTGAAAATTTTGTTTGTTATTCTTATAAAATATATCCTATTATTTTATGCTTTTCAGTGGATTACTGATTTATCCGTGAAAATTATATTTGGTAATTTCACAGTGAAAATTATCAAAATATAATTTCACTTTTTTCAATGACGAAACTACTTTTTTAAGATTTTCCCCATGTGGTACCTCAATTTTATTTTTGCTGACAATTCTGACAATGTCAGGCTGTTTAAAGAAAAAGGAAAGCTGAAATTGATAAATACCTTAAACGTCAAAAGTAATAAAAAGAAGAAAACTTACTTCTATTCATTCAAATTCCAATCACCAAATTTCGTCTCTAAATTTTTTGTTTCATTTTTACAGTCTGAAAAATACATTCCTTCTACATGCAAACTGCTCTTGATGACATTTGGGCATATTAAAGTATCCTACGAGTAATAACTGCCGTATGCTTTATGAAAAATTGAAAAGCAATGACAGCTACAGCTCGTAGAACAAGTAAACCAACCCAGCGTTCCGAGCAAGTTCCAAGTCTTCCATTTTCATAGCTGCTTTTTTCATGTTTTCACATCTGTCAACACTTAATTTTTGTCTGTTTCAATCCTCAAATATGTTTTCTTTCTTTTAAAAAGGTGTATGACTAACAATTCCAAATGATATCCCTCTGAATCAAACACAAATTATTTTCCTCCTGTGAAATACACAACTTTAAAAAATGGCTGCCGCTTACATTTAACAAAGCCAGGTCTAATATAAATTCGCAGTAGGTAACAGAAATATGGATGGATGGTTGGAATTTTCTCCTACACGAATTGTTTGTTTTTATTATTAAAACAAGCGATCATTCATATTTTTTAAACAAAATAAATAATATCACTGTCATTTAATGTTGATTGTCGGACTTATTTTTCAGCTCAAGACTTCTTGTTTTTAATGAGAAATTCTCACGAAATGGGGCTCTCAATGGGGAAACAGATTTTAATATTTATGTTAATATTATGGAAATTTCGTTTAAACTTGTTTTTTAGCATAAAATAAAAAGAAAATTTGTTTGTTTGTTGTGTAAGATGAAATTTTATTTCATCTCGTGAACTTTAAAAACAGTATTCTCACTCGTGGCTACGCCACTCGTGAGAATACTGTTTTTAAAGCCCACTCGATAAAATAAAATTTCATCTTACACACAAACAAACAAATATCCTCTATATCATACTGACCACACAGAAGAACATGGAAATTTCTAGGTATTGCACTTTTAGCTTTTGTTTCACAACAACAACAACACATTAAGGTTACAGTTACTTTAATTAAGTTTTACATAGGTGTTTTCATGAGTTGTTTTGTCCCCTGTAATCCTGGAAAAAAATATGCATTTAATGTCAACCATTTGTCTTGTGGTTGTTGCCTACACAAATCATTGAGAGCAGTTATCTAGTTCACCATTATTACAATCATAACATTACTATGTTATCCACAATCATTCAGTTGCCTCTTTAATTCTTTACTTAATGGTACCCTTTACACTCTGATATTCAGGGGTAACATATATTTGTGCAATATTTTCTTTGTTCAGGGCGAATTTGACAGAAAATTCGTGTTTTGAGACAATCCCCCATTCGTATGTCACGTGATCCGCTAATGGCTTATTTGACCCGTTATTGGCATGTTTACTAGATGTTTGAAAAAGGTAAATGCACCATGCTGCATTCAAAATACAAAGTCACAAGAAGTATACAGTAAAAGAGGAATAAAAATACTTCAAATCTACATACATTTATTAAAGGATTTAAAAATCATTCGTTCATAAACACTAAAAGTTTCACTAGTGACCCGTTATTGGCCAACTCACTGAACCGTTCCTGGCGCATTCAGGCGTTGATATGTTTTGCTTATATTCATACCATACGCAATATTTCATATTCGATCGTCATAGATAACAAAACATGTCTGGTTTTGATAGTATGTCGATTTGCTGAACAGAAGCACATATAATATCGAAAGATTGAAAATTTGAAACCCAGGCTAGGCGGAGACCATGCAGTAGCTTTATATAGTTTTGATGGAGTGCACTTATAATAAGTGATGACTAGTCTACGTTAAATAGTAAAATTACTATCTATATTCCCAAATAATACAATAACAACAAAAAGAAAAAAGAAAAAACGAAATGCTTCAAACTGTCCAAAATATATTCAAACTATCGATATAAAATATAACACAACGGCAACTCAGCGGAAGTTTATACATACTCTGCCACAGTGGTTCCCCTTTGTTTAGCTTGGGTTATTCCGTGAAGATCTATAAATAAACTCTGGTAAAACCGACATGATTGAAAAGGTAAATGAAAATTTGTTGTGACATTGGATTAAATTATGCAGCGTAATTTTGTTAAGACTGTCAATTTTAAATTCATTGAAACTATATGACATATATCATTGCGATCAGTACTGTGTAAGATATAAAAACTTAAAAGTATGTTTATTTCGTCTTTTGCGCGTAAACGTGTACTTTCGGTTTCGCCTTATTCTTGAACTGTTGAAATAGCTGTTATAGTAAATATTTTACGTTGGAGTTATATAAAGGAGTAAAAAACTGGTAACATTATTTACTTTTTTCGAGTTTAAAACTAGGCTTTTAAATTTTATGAAGGTTCTACCCGATATATATGTAGTTTTTATACTTCTATGCTTTTTTTTAAAAAAAATAACGACTTCCTTGTGTCCTACACTATTACTAAGTAGGCTACTTTCGGTTTAGATAGTTATAAAGTCAGTCTTATTGATATATATCTAAACATATTTTTTGAATTGCACACTTAGATAGGTAATGTAGAACATGCTATATAGTTGTAATAATTTTTATTCGTATTTTTACACACGGTGTCCAGTATTTATATGCAGTCATTTAAAAACCTATTTTTAATCTGCCGATGTTTACACGTAGCGCATTTAGAGCTGATTTTAATCAGATTATATTTTAATCAAGGTGAAATATCGATGTTCAGGAATATTTATTGTTGTATGGCAAGTGAGAGTAGCTTATATATCCTACAAGAATCCGATTTGTTAAATGAAAATTAAAAAGTTTTACAGTTGGTCATCTACTTATTAATAAATCTTAGCGGGTCGTTTCATTTTTGATGAAAAAAAGATTAAACGGTATGATATAAGTGTAATGATTATACATTTGATTACTATTACTAATATTTACACACTATTACTAATGATAACACATGATTACTAATGATTATTTATACCTCTTCCGACGCGGTATGTGTGTATGGCGATTTTAAAATGACATAATTATAATTTATACATGCACGAAGGCGTCAGTTCTTAAATTACCTCTGTAATTTTATAAAAGGCGGTGATGTCTTGTTGCAGTGAATAGAGTGCCCACTTTTATGTATTTTCATGAAATATGAAGCCGAGGACATACACGGACACATTAAACTTTATCTTGTTAACCCAGGCGTATTCTCATTCTTAATGAATGTAGTTTTTAGGGGTAGTTCATGCAGTACCCGTGGTGTCCGACGATGGTTAAACTAATAAACTTTACTGATACCAAACTTACCAGTCAGTTTTAGAACATATATGTATATTGCAATGCTTGTATACCATTATATAATACGACAATTACAAAAGCATTTCTGCAAACTTCCCTTTTCTTGTTAAAGTACTAGTGCTTCCTTTAAGCTAATGATACTTAACTTAAACTACATATCATTTTATAAGGTCCTTAATGTATGAAGTATATCACTTTTCTTTCTTAAACCAATGTAAGACGTAATTACATGTATTTTTAGTGGAATGACATGCCGTAAACATCTCATTCTACGAAGAATTGCATGGTTAGTTATGAATGAAGTGTTCACCTTGACAAGGAAGGTAAAACAACTGTTTGAACACTATGGTCTCTTTTTTCAATGCGGTTCACGTTTATAATTACGGCATTTTTTTCTACTTAAGAAAGCGATATTGGTAGGTTTGGAACATCAAAAGCTCTCCGAAGATTCTTGTTCGTGCCTGAAACAATAAATGAATTAGTGATTCAGGAAAGCGTCCTCGACTTCATAAAACAAAGAGCCTGGATAATGTTGATTTTTTAAAAAATTTAAATAGGGCACAATTCTGTACAATTCAAAAGGAATCAGAGTTATTGGCCTTGGACTTCCGATAAGTGAGTGAAGTTTCAACACGTTTCCTTCAGTGGCTTTAGAGATACTAAATTGCACGAAAAAAAACTAAACCAAAGTGTGACGGCGACGTCTGGGTGAGTCCTGCCTATTATTGTGGAACAGTCGTGCTAAAAAAGTCCTTCCCATTCAAAGGCAGCATGATGGACATTCCTTTAGGTTAGGGCAAAGGCCCTGCCCCATATTGTCGTTACTTTATTTCTAACTATTAAATATCTTACGTTTAATATTGAACTGGAAATTTGCCAACACTTGATAGAGAAATGAAAATAACATGGAAATTAAGTATGACTTTAAAGTAGGCTTTAAAAACGAAACTACAAAAAAAGATTGTCGGAAAACGGGGAGGAATTCTTTTTGTAAAATGCATTTCAAGTCGTAATTGATTTCAAGTAACAATTTTAACTGGAAGATCTAAGTAGTGTCACGAGAAAAAAGACCAGCAGTTACTGTAGGGTATGGAATATCAATATTACAGTTAAAATTATGCGGATTTTTATGTTTAAATCTTTCAATTTTATAACATTTTTATCCATTAGAAAACAACTGAGAAGCAGTAATTAAAAATCTTTATTCAAATCGTATGGCGTAAGATGTAATCTTGTGACGAAAAGCACAAAATATGTTGTTTATCTATTTGTCACATTAGATATACATGTATAATGGCTGACTGATCGACCGACCGAACGACTCACTCACTCACTCACTCACTCACTCACTCACTCACTCACTCACTCACTCACTCACTCACTCACTCACTCACTCACTCACTCACTCACTCACTCACCCACTCACTCACTCACTCACTCACTCACTCACTCACCAACTCACTCACTCACTCACCCTCTCACTCACTCACTCACTCACTCACTCACTCACTCATCTCACTCACTCACTCACCATCTCACTCACTCACTCACCATCTCACTCACCATCTCACTCACTCACCATCTCACTCACTCACTCACCATCTCACTCACTCACTCACCATCTCACTCACTCACTCACTCTTTCACTCACTCACTCACTCACTCACAAACTCACTCACTCACTCACTCACTCACTCTTTCACTCACTCACTCACTCACTCACTCACTCACTCACTCACTCACTCACCAACTCACTCACTCACTCACACCAGATCACTCACATTTACCCACACACCCACCTATCACATACACAATCACCTGCACATTCATTCATTCATTCATAATTCATCATTCATTCATTCATTCATCCATTCATTCACTCATTCATTCATTCATATTTAACACAATATGGATCATAAATACTCAACGATATTAAGGTGACTGCGCACCAAACGTTTCTTCCAGGAATATATTCGTACATGAAAGTATTTCCCGATGACTGTATGCTAATGAGAAAAGGCGTGGTGAAGTGGGTATAAATAAGCCATTGTTATAATTTTAAGAAATATTGATTTTCGAAAAGGAAGTATGGTAAGGTGTCACTTAAAGAAACTTTGATTTGCGGTTATCTTTTATTGCCTTATTTCATGATACAACCACTGCAATTCAACCTGGATCATGCTTCATGGGTTCCCGGGTGTATTTCATAATAGATCATAAATATGAGCCGCGTCACGACAAAACCAACATAATGTGTTTTCGACCAGTATGGATCAAGAACAGCCTGCGCATACGCGCAGTCTGATCAGGATCCATGCTGTTCGCTATCAGTTTCTCTACTTGTAATAGAGTTGGTAAGCGAACAGCATGGATCCTGATCAGACTGCGCGGATGCGCAGGCTGGTCTGGATCCATGCTGGTCGCAAACACACTATGTTGGTTTTGTCGTGACGCGGCTCAATTATATACTTTACAGAAATGTAAGACTCGAAGCTGTAGCTGAAGTAAAACATCCATGAGAATGACATGGTCGTTTTTTATAGACTGATATATATATATACATGCAAAATAAATCATTTATATTTTACGTTTCAGCATTTGAAAAAAGTGCTAACTTTATTTCCTTATGATTTGCAGGAAATAAAATCAATCCGTTGAGCTGATTTACAAATTAAATATGTCCGCGAGGAGACGACCTTTGCCCCCAGTACCAGGAGATGGTAAGTGTAACAACTGATTTTGTGGTTTGCTGCCTTTACTGTTTACTCAGAGGCCTTCTTGAATGTTTGCACATCCAAGCCGTTGGTCGAATCCTTCAGGGACGTTAACAAACCAGTATATTATACGCAATGAAACCATTCGACCAGATTTTGGCATGCCGTGTTTTCTATCTTTCGCGTATGTGCTCGCTTGAATAGAAATATTTTGAGAGGGTGGGGGAGTGGGTGACAATCGAGTACGTCACGGAATGACATTATAATGACTTCAGTTAATTCCCAGCTCAATTACTTCTCTACGGCGGTTTAAATGTAAAAGTTTAATCTAACAACAGTTAAAACTGTTCAAAATGCCTCTTTTAAAAGATTCAACAAATGTGATAATGATACATAAGATTTGAATTTCTTTAAGAATGTATTTTCTGCTTTTCTTAGCCCCAGTTTGAGTTGAATAATGCGTTTAAACACTTTATGTTTCATTATTAAAATGATAATTCTTCGGGGAAACCGGGTGTGCTAATGATCTGAAACTTTGTACACAATTTACTGGTCCCATCAAATGGTACTTAAATCTCGAAAAACAAAATTCCAGTCCCATCATATCAAACAACGTAAATGGAGGCCCTATACGTTTTAAGAAAGTCAGAACTTTTGTCATATTGTGAGTCAGGAGGAGAGAATTTTGTCAATTCAGGAAGTTAAATACATAATTTATTCAAACATTAATTAACCATTAATGTACTACGCTTCAGAAATCTTATGAAGGTGCATTTGTAAATGGTATCATATTTGAATCAATATTGGCCGTATCATGTACGTAGTTGAGACACATGATATTATATTCCATTTATTTGTCTTCACTAAAAACACTAATTTAACAGACATGACTATGATTATGATTTCGCTGAGCGGCCAGTAACAATAAAGTGTTATGCTAAAAGATACCATTTGAAAGAAATGGGGTCTTCCTAAATACTACATTTTTACGAAAGATGTACATCCAAATGTACTAGCCTTAACCTCCATATTTTCCCTGTATGTTTACGTAATTGGATGTCAACTTTCATGTGCTACTTGTTACTATTTGACTGACAGTAAAGTCACATAAGCATGCTTAGAGTGGTCGTTTAAACATCGTGTTTGTCATTTCAATACAGATTGACACAATTGGACACTTGAACCCCTTTGAAAGGAAATTTTGGTAACCATTTAAATGTACTATTATGCCTATTTGGGAATTGGACAAAAGTAAAACTTATATCTTACAGTGACAAAGTAGACAATATTAGCCCTCACATGAAAGATTCCTCCTGTCAAATTTACAGATGGAACAAAAGCCATCCGATCAAATTTACAAGTAGACAGGAAATTTCATAAGTTGTTAAATTTTTTAAGTACTTCGTCCTTTTGATTATGTCGATCTGCATGAAACTAACATACGGTGTCGAAGCAATAGCTATGTAAAAATGACTGTATATACTGCTAGTAATACATGTATATTTACCAAGTTGCCTAATGCTGAGTAACTAAAATATTCTGTTTCAATGGTTTGGGCTTTTGCTTAATGTTACTGATGGTTTACGGCTAAAAACTTTTCAAAAAAACACTTTTTAAATGCCCCCACAAAAGTGGGGAGCATATAGCGTTAAAACACTTTCCGTACGCACCTGTCCGGACGTCCCGAAATCTTGTGGAACGCGGGGACTGCCTCTTAAACCGGGGATGGCAGATTTTAAACTTAAACCCTTCCAGGGATGTAATAACCTTAATATGTAATATGTAGTAAAGGGAAAGGAAATTTTCGCTGGACCAAATTTAACAGAATTATGGCCCATTTCTTGGGATTTTTTTCACTATATACTATGTAGAAATTTTGTGAACGCAACTCCTCTTAAATCGGATGGCAGATTTTGCTTAAACTTCCAGGGATGAACAACCTTAATGTGTAGATGGTAGTAAAGGAAGGAATTTTTGCTGCGACCAAATTTAACAGAATTATGGCCCTTTGTTGATTTTAAGTTTTCAACTTGTGGCACATGTAGTCCAAAAAATATTTGACCTAGATTCATAAGATTGACAGAACAGTGGCGTGTGGGGGCATCCGTGTCCTATGGACACATTTCTAGTTTATTTTATCAGTGAAAACGTGGCTTTACATAAAATTATAATGTTCCGACTTTTCAGTTGAACTACCTTATTTAACAACATTTTCCATAAATGAATTTAAAGAATTTATAAATTGATTATGTTTTTAACTAGACGGATACGAGGTTCCGGTAACCAGAGGGTATTCACCAAACACAGAAGGTAACCAGTATGAATCCATTCCAGATCACGGTAATTAACTTTATTTACAATATACAAGTGACATTATGCGCATCCAATGGTATATAGCGAGTGAACAGGGGGATGTCATCATAAGTTTACATTTAACCATATTAAAATCCTTTCAATTTAAAATTCACTTCGCATAAACAATAATTATCGCATGGCTGTGAGCTTTTCCTTTGTTCTTTCTAACCCATTATACTCAGTAAACTTCAATGAGCATTTCAAAACTGTATTGATATATAACAGTACAGTTTTTTCATTGATTCATATAGGAAAAAAACTCGACTGTTATATATCGGTCGAGTTTTTTCGCACCTTGTATATATCAATACAGTTTTTTCATAGAGGCTCCAATGGGGCAGTGGTAACGACCATTCCCAGTAGTAAAAAAAAAAAACCCATAAAATAATAAAAAAATGAAATCAATAAAATAAAATAAAATAAATATATAAATACAATGAAAAATATAAACAAAGATAATTAATGAAATGAAAAAAAGCCCTTTAATCTTAAATCAATCTTGGTAACAGTATACAATCCGCCTCTTATATTGGATGTCTTTTGTATATTTTTTTTTTGCGGCAGCGAAAGCAACTTGAAAAACTGCCTTATGATAATTAACTGCAAAGTAGCTAATGATTAATTTATTTATTTGTTTCTATACAAAAAAGAAAACATTATGCCATTGCGATAAAACAGTTATAGTATATGAAACTCGTTAGTTACGGGGGTATAACACTGGCTGGGGCGACATCTCGGGACGTTTCTGCAAAAAAAATTGTCTCGGCCTAACGGCCTCGCCATTTTTTAGCAGAAACACCCCTTGATGTCGCCCCAGCCAGTGTTATACCCTCGTAACTAACTCGTTTCATATACTATAACTATTAAATAACTCACGTGCTTCAATGAAATGTCTGTAAAAATCCATCGGAATTCAACTGTAACTTCTGTTTTTAAAAAGATTCTGACATGTAGTTTTTTTGAATTTAAGGCTGATTAATATTTTATCATAAAAATTTTCCAATATCAACATTGGTCAATCACTATTTTATCAGTTAATATTTTGAAATGTATAGTCAATTCAGCTCAACTTGACCATGAAAAAATGAGCATAATGTCACTTTAACTTTATTTGTACAAAGGAATCTCCTGCATGGGATTTTTGGTTGTAAATTCTTTATTGAAAAGATGCTAATGTTTTTCCTTTTAACATTTCCTGAATTCAAAGGGTCTGGATAAAGATAGTTTGTTGAAATAAAAATAATATTCGAAACTCGAACTTTGGCCGATCGATTATCTTGACAAGAATTTTTACAATTACTTTAGAGAAAAAAACTCATTAGTTTTCAATGACCATTTGTTTCCTTTATATATAACACGAAATTGAAATGGCTCATTATCCTCATAAACGAATATTTTTTCTTTATATGGAAAAGGCAAAAATTTATCAGGTTAAGATATTGGTTTTAGAACATAGCAAGCTATAATCACCTGAAAAAAGTAGCAGGGAATGTGTAAAGAAATTTCAGAAAAGTAGCAAAAATGTAAATAAAGTAGTATTTTGTTTCCATACAAAAAACTAATTCACTATTACTGTACTATATAATTTCTAGGAAAAAAACAGAGGCAAAAAGATGATTCAGCAAATGACCTATGAGTAACTTGTTAAGAACTAATACAGGACACAAAAAAGCTTTTGAGAAATAAAAATAAGATGTCTGGGACATAATGCGCTTTAAGGCATTATCCTGAGTTTGCTTCCTTCTTAATTTCAGTAAATGCAAGAAAGATTGTCCTAAAAAAATTACCAAGGGATGTTTCGATGGATACCATTGAAATGTTCTTTGAAAGCAAGAGGCGAATGGGACGATCTATGGAAGTCAGAGATGTTGATCTTGATTCGGACAAAGGTGAAGCAGTGGTAACGTTTGCATCTTCTCAAGGTATACAATACAAATATCTTATTTTTGAACTCATTACCAGGTGTTAAATACTCATCTTCACCATAATTATGGAGAAAGCATGGATGTTTCTTAAACCAAATATACTGACTTGATCATCATCAGTATTTAAATTTTTGAAAGTAAACATATTCACATGGTAGTATTGAAAAAGAACTTTCACGTAGTGATACTGAAGATGCCTAGCTATATGTTATTCTGTTTAATGACGGCACCGATTGAATATATTTGTTAAACATACTAGTTGCAATGTGTAAGTACTTTTTCATAGCATATATGGTAACGTTCTTTTGCAGATGTTCAGTACGTACTAGAACGACACAAGACCTGTCCATGTGAATTACAGAAGCAAATATTGGAGGTTGAACTACTGGATCAACCGGAAGAAGACACTGTTGATTATGGTGCTAGCAAGAGAAGTTCTCAGAATTATTCTGATATGTATGAACAAGGCTCGCCTCCCTGTGATGAGGAGACAGACACTATAGAAGTAAACTTTCTATTTATAGTAAATCCATATCTGTGTCGGTACAGCAATTACTTTTTTGACTTTTTGATATTTTTAAAGTTTGGTCACTCATATCGTCTTTAAAATTCCGCCCTTTATCTGCTGAATATCTTACATTGACCTGTACAGCTTTCACTTTTGGTGCTAATCAATTTTCTGGATATTAAGATAAATTAAAGTTGGTAAGCCAACAGAATCAAGCCTGGTCAGAGTGCACGGATGGTTCCAGCAGGTTAAGTGTTGAGTTAACCTATTGATGTTCAAAGCACTTTAAATGTTTAAGTGGTACTCCTAAGTTAACATTATTTATCTGTTGACAAAAGAATCTTGGGACCAATCCTTGTTTCCTTACCAATATCAGGAAAGAAACCCGAAGGAACAATTTGTTGAAGGGGTAACATTCAACTTTATGCATATTACATCATTGGTGACTCTTATCGATACTGTAAAAGTAACAAATATCAAAAACAAATACATACTATTAACAAATAAGAACAAAATATCTGGAATATCTTTTTACTTTTATGTCTTTTATACGTAACAATGGTTTGAAGCTGCCGAGCCAATGTTCCAAACAATTTATAGCCAAACAAAAGAAAATCGTCTCAAATTATAAAGCACATGAAAAGTTTACAAATCTTTAATTGAAACATAATAAAGCATCGTCATTCGAAAACAAACGTCTAATGATTTCTTTCACGCAATAATAACTATGACTCTGCAAGATGTTTTGACATATTTGACACAGTATTTCAGACACATTATGTATATATCTACATTTTTTTCTGACATGCCTTTCAGGTTCGAAATTTCTCCAACAAATGCAGCAAAGACACACTTTACTTCTACTTTGAAAATACAAGACGTTCTGGTGGCGGTGATATTTTGTCTCATCATCTTAACAGAGACAAAGGTTATTCACACATTCAATTTAAAGACAAGTCAGGTAAATAACTCACCAATAAGTCAATATGTTTAGTAATTACTGTATTCCTAGCTAGAAACTTTCGCGGACAAAATATTTTGCGGGTTTTTTTAAGAATGGCGTTTTCGCGAAAACATAAATTTTGTGCAATCGTAACAACTGGGAAAATTTCGCGAATGTTAAGTCGCTGTAGTAAGGAGCCTGTATTACAAGTAGATGTGATGGCTTTGTCTATAAGCATTAGACAGGATTACGGCATACGTTATTGACACGATAATATCTTTTTATTAATGGTTCGCGCCATTATAATAAAATTTTGTTGTAAAATTATAATTTTGATATTATCGACAGTTATATATAAATCATTTATGCGTCTGTTATTTCGTAAACACTTGTAATACATGTAAATAATAAGTAATCTGTTAATTCTTAATGATATTTATCTGTGAATTAATCCGTTGCGTAAATAATTCATCTATGAAATCAATTTATAATCATCCTTAGGGTAAGTGATGTTCACACTGCAAAGAATGCCAATTAATATTTCAGTCGTTAAAAGAGTTATAGAAAAGGGAAAACACATAGTAGAAAGAAGTGAGCTAAGCGTTGTTCCGTTCATTATCAGTAAAACTGATCTGTTGCTAGACGAAGTTCCAAACAACGTAACTGAGGAAAACGTGTCACTGTTTGTAGAAGCAAAGCTTAGAAACACAGTTTTATCTGTAGCATTTAATGATGACAGGACGAAAGTTTTGGTACAATTACAAAATCCATTTGGTAAGAATCTTACATAGAGGTATCATTACAAAAAGAAGCATGTTTAAGTACAGTCAAAAGTAACGTTTGTATTCCTTACACTTCAAACACCGTGTCCGGCACTTTGGGTCCTTTCATGTGACGAAGCTCTCCAGCTTGCTCAATGAACGTTGGTGGATAGGTTCTAGGTACGTTGCTTAAAAATGCACAGAAGGAAGGTCACATGAGGTCTTCCGCCATCAGCAAAGCTTAGACGTCGTTGTATGACTTTTACAGTGTTGGTGCTTCTTTATACCCACCCAAAACATTTTAACATTTTATAGGATATATTCACTTTGGATATTACGAGTTACAGTCATTTGTATACTTAGTCGTGAAAATCCATATATAAAGAATCTTATGAATATAAAAGAAGTTCATCATCATAATGTATGTTGATGTAGGAGGAAAACCAAAAGCAGGCTAACAGTCATGCATAATAATTACGAAAATGGGCGGTCGAAATCTGTACGAAGCCATTAACTTTTCCATCAGGTACTTTCATACCAAGCAATATAAATTTTGAAGTGGATTTAATTTTCAGACACTTTCTTCTTTTTAAAGAAGGGAAGTTTTTAAGATATATTGTGTTACCTGTATGAATCAAGGTATTAATAATTTAGTTTCCTTTCTGGACTATTATAGTTTTTAGTATGAATTACCTGTTTTCATATCCACTTCCTGAACTAACCACTTATGATGCCCTATAAGGAAACGTGGCAGTAACCCAAGTCTTGCCCTTACCTTCCTTTTGAAATTCCTTTCATATATTCGAAAATATTTTACAATTTTGCTCATATTCCATGCTACAGATTTCAAGAAAGCGTCGGAAATGTGTTCGAAATATCAATTAGGTGGTGTAAATGTTTTGCCTATGCAAGTACCTGTTTCCTCTGGCATAGTAGTCACAAATCTTCCAGAGGATGTTACACATGATTCTGTTGAGATGTATTTTGAAAACACACGTCGGAGTCAAGGAGGTCCAATACAGAAGGTTGAACTTCATTTAGAAGATGGATATTGTCTTGTGTTTTTCATAGACGCTAAAGGTAATTCATTTCACATATTTTGTGTCTTAAAAAAATGATACCGATAGCAAACAATACTTTGAAATTAGAATTTTTATAGGGCGGTAGGGTAGAAATTGATGATAATTAATCGTCTTTTTTTTCTTAATTTTCTGGGGGCCGGGGTTGCAATCGTTATGATGTTTGCACACTCCGAGGGTTCAACAGGTTTTAATACTTGACTAAATATATGTAAGAAGCAACTATGAAACTATAACAGCATGTATATATCAGTATTAATATCATACATTCCTTCCTTTAATAAAGCATTTTCGTTTATCAATTTATTAAACATATTTTATGAGTACAAAGACGTTTGAATATGATATACATGTACATGTATTTCACAGTTCATTATACATGAAAGATGTATATAAAATAATAATCGTATTCTCATACGTAGGACATTTTTTCCAGCGTTAACATGGCTTATTTTAGACTGTTATTTGTTTTTATATTTCAGTTGTAAGAAGTGTTTGCCAGAAGAATGATCATAAAATTCATAGCCAGCATGTTGAAGTGAAACCTTACAATGAATTATTAGGTCTTTCTCCAGAAATGGAAGGCTTAGCACCCCAGTTGCCTGAGCCATTATCTTTAAATGATGAAAATCCCCATAAACTGAGATTTTTGAAAGTTAATAAAGCCCGGAGATCAAAACTTGAAAAGAAACTAGGACACTGCAATGCGCGTATATTCCTCGATGATAACCCTGTCACGATTGAGTGTACTCTTACAAAGCATGACAGACCTTCTAAAAAGTCCATTGTAAATTGGCCAGAGATGGCAATGGAGTGTGTAAAGCAATTTACAGATGACCTAGACGTGATAGAGAAAGCAGTGGATGTTAAGCTGTGGGGCGCTATTCTAAATGAACTGAACAACCTTCATTTTTCTAGTCCTGATGACGTAGCGCTAATTACAGAAAAAGACCGTGGTCGAATTATTTTTGTTGCTCATAATGATGTAGCTTCTGAGTGGAAGAAAATTGAAAATGAAATTGATTCTGTGGAAAAGAAAGAAAAAGAGAAAAAAGAAACTGCTACTGAGGAAAAGGTGCTGGACAGATGGAAAATAACTTATTTAAAGGCTTCCAATTTTGAGGAGGACATGAAACGTGCCTATAAAAATGTTCAGATTAAATACGATAAGAAGAAAGACAAGGGCAAAATTATCATATCAGGGCCTAAAGGCATAATTACAAAAGTGCTATTAGATATGTTTGAAAGTATAGAAAATGTTAAAAATAGAGATGTGGAACTTGAAACTGAAGAAATAAAACTTTTGCAGAACGATGCAACTCGTGAAAAAGTGAAAAAGCAAATGAAGAAAAAGCATGTGTCGGATGTATGGGAAGCAAAGCAAGATAAAGTGGTTTTGTATGCAAACAATGATGATGATTTAGCTAAGATGGAAACAGTCATAAAAAGTACCTTAGCAAAATTCACAATTAATCTTGATTCTGGCACAGAGACAGTTTTGAAATCCGACAAATGGAAAGCCATTGAAAAATCATTACGAGACAGATTTTCAGGATGCTTGGAAATAAGCGTTCAAGCTAACTTGCTCAACATCTTTACGCTGGCTGACATACAAGATAAAGTATCCGATGAGCTTCAGAACTTCCTGTCAAAAAACGCAACATATAAGGAACAAATGTCTCTTCCACCACATGTCATTGCATGTTTTAAACATGTTATTAAATCCAGTTATGAAAAGGATATGCAGTCCCTGAAAGAAAAAGGCCTAAATATGAAAATTGTTTTAAATGAAAAGAGCGGAGCGGTATTAATTGAAGGTAAGCTGGTATGTTTTTGTCACATTTTTCAAAGGTTCAAGTACCTAACTTTCCCATCAAATATTTTTTCCGAATGGCACCTTGTTTGTTATCTATTGAAAACATATTGCTAAATGTATCATAAATTTATTTTCACTTACATACTTGCTTTTGATATAACAAAATGTGGATTTTTAAACATAGGAATATTATCCCCCCACTCACCGCTCTCGGAACAAACCCCTACACGGACATAAGACTCTTCATTTGAATAAGAAATCCAGATAGCTTATTGAACGTCGGTGGTTTACTGTATACCTGCCTTTGCCTAAACAGGGGACTGCTGAGGCCTCCTTCACCACTTGAACTAAAAAGCCACCATATTACCATAAAGTGTCAGAGTGACTTAAACGCAACAAAAAATAAACATAAAAGTGTAAGAAAATGAACTAATTTAATTAATATGAATATATATTTAGGCACATCTGAAGAAGTGAACGAAGCTAAGAGGACGATTAAACGTCTGCAAGACAAAATTGAAGTCAAACAACATAAAATCAGTCAGCCAAAGGTCAAGAAATATTTTGACTGTAGGCATGGGAAAGATTGTGTAAAGAATGTAGAAAACAACATACCATGTGTTATAGATATGCAAGGATCAGCTTTTAAAAAAAGTTTACATCTTCATCAAGGGTCCAATTTGGTAAAGTTTGACAAACCTACCACCTGTGCAGAAGCCGTTTTTGGATCTGGAATCAAAGTTTGTAGATTTTTTATATAATTATTTGCCTGTTTTCCCATTTAAGTTACATTCTTATGGAGATCGTTAAGTTTCGTGTCTGAATATTACTGATAAAAAACAACATTAACTGTTTTCTGTTAATGTTACATGTTGATCTTTCATCAGCAATGACCGTACATGAAAATTTGAGGGGCTTCAATAGTCGAGTGGTTAAGGTCGTTGACTTCACACCATTTGCCCATCACTGCTGTGGATTGCTTCCCGAAAGGGGCTTTGGGTTCTTTGATTGAGGAAGCTATCTATCGGTGGCTCTACACATGAAATAATGCACGGAAGGGCGACCGAGGTCTTCCTTCATCAGTAAAGCTGGAAAGTCTCCATATGGCCGATACTGTGTTGATCCATAACAAAAATGAACATACATGAAAATGTATATAAAGATGAAGCGTACTATAATTTTTACTTTTTGTATTGCAAAATGAAAGCATATATATTTACCATCGGATAACTACAACATCATTTTTTCAACTAGTGATAAATCGGCGACCAAATCTTAGCCATGAGTACACGTCCTTTTAAATGTTTATAAATTGTCTCTTTGATACTTAAATTGAGATTCCGATCCTAAATGATGTTATTTAACTCCATATAAAACGTCTGTACTTTTCATAAAAGGAATAACAAGTGGCAAATGAAGGGTTCACTACAATATGTTATATCTCGACCATAATATATAATGTTTCAGGTACATGTAGTTGGTGGGGATATAACTGAGTTGCAAGTTGATGTTCTTGTGAATGCTGCTAATTCTGAAATGAAACATGCCGGAGGTCTGGCGGCTGTAATAGTCAATAAAGGTACATGTATATTTTCAACTCTTATTTTTTAAACTCTTTTTTTTTGTTTGTTTTGTTTTTGTTTTTTTCTACAAGAGGCACCACTGTAAAAGTTACATGCTATACAAAAACATATTACAGTTTGTCTTGAAACACAAGTTAGCTTCTATTAATTTGTACATTCATTGATAGACATAACTCTTTGCCTTGGCCATTTTGTCCTTAATTTATCGTAAATAAAGAAAGTAATGTGATTTCAGTCTTGTCCGTGCAGTTGGTTTAAACTTAACACCTATTTTTTAATTTATAGTTTACTCTCTATCCAGTGTATGAGCATAAACTCTTAATCAGTACTCAAGCAGTTATTACTGGCCAAGACTTTCAGCAAGCTTACTTTTTATATGTTCTCTTTTGCAGACAATTTCATAATGTTTAGGTAATCGTTTTAATCTCATTGTATAATTTTATTTAATTGTAATCCAATTCTATTTGGGAACACTTGTTTTCATGTTTTCTAACTTTTCTTCAAGGAGGAAACTGACAGATTATTTATAAATCATTTTATATTTGTAATATTTTGACTATATTGATATAAAACCATTCTTATTATAAGTAACATTTTTGCCATAAATTAGTTTTTTTCAAGGGTAGATATGTTTGTAATATATATTGTTTGTTACAGGGGGACGTGGCATCCAAGATGAATGTGATGATTTTATAAGGAATAATAGGTCTTTACCAGACGGTGAAGTCTTCGTGAGCATGGGTGGAAATTTAAAGTGTAAGTATGTTGTCCATGCTGTGGGACCTCATTGGCGAGGCGGTAAAAATGGAGAAGAGTCCTGTCTTCAGAAAGCCGTTTTTGCTTGTCTAGAAGAGACTGAGAAGAAAAGGTTATCGTCAATAGCTCTACCAGCTCTAAGTGCCGGGATGTTTCAATATCCAGTGCATATGTCCTGTATGGCAATTGTTAAAGCAATTGATCAACATTTTCAGGTAAAGACTTTTTGACGTGATTTTGGGTGATTTTGACGATATTGTTGAATATTACTTTTCTGTAAATTATTGTTAACATTTTTATTTTAGCGATCAGCAGTTTCTGTACTGGTTATCGATGCTTTATATAAATGTATGATTTTAAAGTTAATCTATAAATATATCTGAAGAATGTTGTGAGCCTATTTTTTGAATAACAAAAAGAAAAACCACACATATTTAAGAAATATTCTATATGAAGCAATTGTGTTTCGTGTTGTAATAGACAAAATCTCGAGTGTATGTCTGGATGCAACTAGTAATGGTTGTAAATGTTCTTAAAAAACAATCGAATGCCCATGGCTGGGTTTTTTTCGTAACGCAGTCTTAGGTAGCTAGTAATGTATAGAGTATATGAGTGTTTGAATGTAAGTTAGACCACGATGTGCCAAAGTTTCACATATTAATGTGAGTTCTGATCAATGATTAAAATTTAACAGATTTGAACTAATAGAATATATGTATTATATTAAGTTATTGTTTTTTAATTACAACAGTTAAGTTTTGAATATTTATTTACCCGAAAAATTCATGTATAATATCGTTTATTGTAACGATAAACTTTTACAGGGATCAAAGTCCTGCATAAAGGAAGTTTATCTATGTGATATCAGCAAAAGCACAGTATGCGCATTCACAAACGCCCTGCAAGTTGTGGCTCCAAGTCTAAATGTCCTGGGTAAGACATCTTATGTTTATTGTGTTAGCTATGCATAGTATTTTTATATATTTGTTATAATTATTGTTGACATAAGTCGTTCACAACTGTAGATGTAATAAAAGAAAACACACAATTTGTGCTCAAGTTAACTTTTGATCTTGGCGAGACATTGGCGAGAAAAAAAGACCTATATAAAAACAGATTGAACAGATATTGTTAAATAGCAATGATAAGTATGTGATAACAGTATCTTTTTTGTTCTAAATAGAATTGTGTATAGTGAACGTAAGGCAGGCCGCCATTGCGTATCTATGAAGGAGGGACTTAAATGCGGCTTTTACCTACATGAGTGTTATTATTGTTTGATATATGCAAAAGTAATTTTCAAGAACATTTTATGAACAATTATTTAAACAAAGATTTACAAATTTCTGTGTCCATGAATTTTTACATAACTTGACATCAATCATACTCATCAATCATACTTTTATTCTTAACCAATCAAACAAGACCTCTATTCCTGCCAATTGCAATGATGAAAATACACATTTTGGATGGGCGTTTCCATTTTCAAATTATCGTCGAGTGTGAACTATTGCATCTATTATGTAATTAACTATTAACTAGGTAATATCTTATCTGTTTGAACGTAAACATAAGGAAATGAGTTATGAATAACTTTTTATTTCATTTAAGTGGACCTCCGACAAGGAGATGGACAGCCACAAAAATGGTTAATTAACAATGACAGTGATAAAGCTGGTGCACGGTCAACAGAATCATGTAACAATATCAATATTGAAGTGGTGAAAGGAGAGCTTGTCAAAGAACAAGTAGATGTGATCGTAAATTCTACATCCCCTGATCTACAGCTACAACGGGGAGTGTTGTCAAAAGCTATTCTGAAGGCTGGTGGAAAAAGAATACAGGACGAATGTGATAGAAATTATCCCGATGGTATAAAAGTAGGGGATGTAGCCGTAACTACAGCCGGACATATGCAGTGCTCTAACATTTACCACATTTCAATAAAACATTTTGATAGCAAATCACCACGATTTTGTTTACAGGTTATTTCACTTTGTACTTGATAGATGATTCGATTTAATTTCCTTCCTTGAACGTTTATGAAAAGTGCAACCAACTTATGAATTCGTTTCCCAGAGGCATTTTCTTTATGAGACAGCTTTTTGTATCTTTAAATGATATATCTAATTGATAAGGATGTTCCTGTAAAATAAGTCATTTATTATTTTGTTCGTTTCAAATTACTAGAAATATAGCGGTATAAGTATATGCCCTGTCAAACAAATTTATCATGATGACTATCATTTTAAAATTCAGATTATTAGCCATTTATACTCATGTTCTGAACAAATGAATATATCTGTTTCACATTATTTTTCACTGCTTGCAACAGGGTGTAAACGAATGTGTGACCGCCTGTTTAGTGGAGGCCGACAAGCAGGGATTCACGTCTATCTCATTTCCTGCAATGGGTACCGGAGCACAGAAGTATCCAAAGGATAAAGTTGCCAGAGAAATGTTTAAAGCAGTCTCCGACTTCGGCAGTCAAAATCCTTCTTCAAATGTTAACAACGTTAGATTTGTTATATACACTCAAGATGACGATACCTTCGAGGTACATTTTTAGTAATATAACAAAATGAAATTGATAGTGGGGATAATAATTATTAAATGTAAAAAGTATTAAAGTGATAAAAAAGAAAAGCCTTCTTGTTCAGATATATACAGCCTACTAACTTATTAATTAGCCTTTGTGGAAAATGCAAGATACTTAAACAGAGTTAAAACACGTACTCTTATCTTCATCAACATTTCACTCGTTTTCGATTAACTGTAACATGAAACTTAAAACAAACATCGTACAAAAATAACAGTTTGAGACAGTCTTTAAGAATTGCGAGCAAATCTCCATATGTTAATATTGAAGTGTTTTATTTAATTTATTGAATAAAACTGAGTGTATACATAAACTAAATAAAGTCATTAATTATATGATATGTTAAAGTTACTTTAGGAAGAATAGAATAAAGAAATTACAAATGTATTTATATTTATTATAGTGTTTTGAAATAGACTTTTTTGGAAGCTGACAGGTTTGAAATACGTTGCATCAGTTGCGAATGTTTTATTTTCATTTAAAAACGAGTATATATATCAGAAAACATCTTTTAAATATTTTTAAGTTTGATTAAAACAATACTTTCAGACATTTGTCACTGAAGAGAAGAATTGGAAATCTGATGATCGTCAAGGACGACCATTTTCTAGTCGTAAACAAAGTACCAAGTCTGCTATAGGGAAGCTTGTCAATGAGTCCCGAGGTAAGAACAATGATTTGTCATGCAAACTGTCTTGTGGTGAAGAAATTGTAAAATACATGACATATTAGTTGCCTTTTACTGGCGGAGGAAAACATATGGGGCTTCTTCATGCATTGCTTTAGGCACGAACGGGCGCAGTAAGCTAGCTGGGTAGCTTTAAATGAAATAATTCTAAGTGGACACACAGCGTTGGGGGCAAGTGGTCTGAAGTCACCGAAGTTAATACTCGGCGCCCGCGAATCCTTACTTCGATCCTTTGCTTTGCAAGTATGATACTAAAATGATGTTGAACAAAAGTTTTAAAATGATTGCAGTCTGATGATTAAGTAGGTCGCATGAGCTTAATATAGACTTAAAACATCAAAGTTTAAAATTATTTTCCAGGGGAACTACTATACTTAAAGCTTAGTTATTTGGCACGTAGGAGTACCATTTTGTACTCATATACAAGTTAGGAAAATTATGCCCCTAAGTTGTCGAAATTTGCTCCGTTCCTAACTGTACTTAGTTTATGTAGACAAACATGAAATTTGCGTTAAGCTACAATATCTAGAGCCATGTAAAATTTCATTGTAAACCGCTACAGTATTTGTATAACCCAGGTGAATGATTAAAAATCTAATTGTTTGATAAGATAAATAACCACAATAACATCAGTTACCCCATGTGTATGAAGTATCTTCTTTCACAGCAAAATTATTCTTTTCAAGGTAGAGCAGAATTTCAAATAGGTCATATTAAGATCGTCATCCGTGATGGTGACATCACTGAGGATGGCTCGGAAGCAATTGTAGCAAGCTGTAACATGGACCTTGACCTTTCTAAAGGTAAAAACTGTGTCATAGTTATAGTGTTTCAGGCTATTTGCATCACACTTGTTATATTGAAAGTTATACAAATGTATATAAATATCGTACGATACTAAATTTTCAAATTAGAAATGCTAAAATATAGACTGTTAAAATGGGCGGGATGGTCTGTTGTCTATTGTCAACAATGATCAATGTCTTCGAAAGTATTTTTCGACTTAATTAGAATTATTCAGCATTTCTGCATTTCTTCAAATGCATTTTTTTCATATTTTATGCATCTATCCCTGCAAGAGTAATCATTAAATCTATTAAATTTTGACATATTATCGCAAACCCTGTTATTAAGTATCTATAGCAGGCTTACATCAGTTTTGATGAACATTTATTCAGACTTTTCACATAGATTTCTGACTTGATTTTGTAACTTATTACTCTTTGCTTAGTATATCATTCTTAATACTTTAATTATTCATTATAGCTAACTTAAATATTGTGAATTATGTAACACAAAATTATTTTCACATATTGCTTTTGTTATTAATATGAATGATGTGAATAAAGGTCTTTGCTAATTATATTTAAGGAGCAGTGACAAAGGCTATTTTGAAAAAAGGAGGTGATGCAATAGCACAGGACTGTAAACAACAAAGTATATATTTTCATATGTTTAAAAAAAAACGAACTTGTATACCGAAAAACGTGCATTTAGTAACTGACAATATGCCATGGACGGTACAAATATTTTGAATAAGACGAACCTTTTCCATTGTATTCGTACATTGTACTAAGAAACGTGTCACGGCATTTCTACCTTTAGTTTCAAAGTTAGATATTTATGTTTATGTCTATTTTCCATACTTATTATAAAGCACTTTATAACTAAACTTGACAAGGCCTCTATCAATAAAACAAATAAAGTGCTTAATAATATTACTAAGGAAATTATTAATTACATATGAATATTAATACATGTTTGTTAGCATGAAAATGTAGTTTTCATATAGGTATGGTACATTATAATTATACAATGTAATTATTTCAAAGTAATGAAGTAATAGAGTTACTAAGTTAATGATTATGAAAGTTATAAAGTATCACAATTGTTATCATAAATTATATTCAAAAATGTTTGCAAATTTACATAATTAACCAAGATTAATTTTGATAATTTTAGAATCAACAATGAAAAATGAAGGAGTCGCAGTGACAACGGCAGGAAAGCTGAAAGCCAAATATATAATTCACGTGGACACAAAATATAAGACACGCGACTGGCCACCAGTTGTTCTTGCTTGTTTAAAAAAGGCGGAGAAACACAAGTTTTCAAGTGTTGCATTTCCAGCTTTAGGAACAAGTAAGTTAATATATTTATTTGATAATCATTTTAAGGTATCATTGTTTCATATTCAACGTCTGTATCGTAATAAATCGTGGCCGGTATGTATCAAAAATCAATTTAGACAAAGGTAGTGATATTGTAATAGTGTGGTAACTATGATAATTTTGTCATAAAAATAACACCGTACTTGACAGGAAACACCAGCGTCATTTTATATGTTACTGAAAATCTTCAACAATATTTTTAAAAAATCTTTATTCATTTATGAGAAATTAAAGCCTCTACACGTATTTGTATTTTTATACCGAAAGAACATTTTTACTGGACATCAAATGCGAAATATTTAGTTCTTATAAACACACGTTTACTCGTGAGCCCCTTTCTTCGTCTACGACTCGTGGTTCGCGTACTTTGATATGGCCACGACCCATAACGAATATGACGTAAGGTGACACGCAATACCAAAAAAAAGAAGATAAAACATACTGTGTTTCTTAAGCTAGTCAGGTTCGCGGGTAAGATTTTAGATTTAGAAGGCTATATAATGATCCCACCAACTTATAAGCATGTAACTTTGAAGTGAACGCCGAGGTATTTCCCGATGATGTTTGTAAATTAGTGAGTGAAATACAATGATTGTTTGATTGTTTCGTTTGTCACAATAATGAATATCTTTGGCATACATTTTTGGGGTGTTTTTATGCAATTCAAGTAACTTAAATCCGTGTAGAAGCTTTAATTGAATATATATGTACATGTACTTGACATTCCCGTAAATGATTGATTTTTCTCACTAACCCATTAGACTGAAAAAATGTTCAGACTTATTCATGTAAAAACCTGTTATTCCAATAATAAGCAAATGATATTCTATTATCGCAGGCGTTGGATGTAAACCTGAAGATATTGCAGAAGTGATAGCTATGGCAATAAACGACTTCCAGAAAGATAATCCAAGACATCTGCAGAAAATCAAACTCATCATTTTTCAGAATGACATGTTGACAGATTTCATAACAGGAATGAAAAGAGCAATTGTTGGAGGTAAGAATAAAAAACAAATCGAACTCATGGTCGTAATTATACAAGCATTAAATCAATCAACTATTTAATTACTATCAGTCACAACAGAAACTTTAATCAGTAACGTGCATGGCGCTCTTAGTTATGACATTATTGAAACACAATAAGGGCCAATTGAGTCGTGGTGAAGAAAATAATTCTGTTCGATTCGTAATAAACTTGCAGCAAGTAAAAATATCTGCATATTCTTTATTGACAAAGCACATATGTTTTAGTTTAACATGAAATATGGTATAGATATTAATTTGTGTTTTTAACCAGTGACATATTTAAAAGAAACATATATTTATATCATCTATAAAAAATTTGAAAGGCCGCCCGCAGAGTGCACAAGGAACTTCACAAGATAAGCAAGCAGGTCATAACCGTAAGTCAGGTCATAGACACCATAAATCAGATCAGCAAGATAGCGAACATGATACTTCCGATGATTCTTGTACTGTTACTGTGTACGCTGAAAGTAAGGAAAAGATTGACAAGGCCGTAAGATTGTTAGAGCGAACAGTTAAAGACGAATGGGTTGTTAAAACCATTGAAGACCAGGGTATCCATAGACTTACAGGCAAACATGTAAATATTGTTTAAGATTCTTGTTGCCTTAAAGTATTTATTGTTGTTATGTTTGATGAATTCATTCGATAAAGGATTAGATATATAAATGTAATAAAGTTATGTTCTGTTATCAATTAAGTATGTGTTTGTTTCTTGAGAAAACTAGTGTCAAAGTACCTAAATCGAAAAACTGGTACACTTAGTGTGAACAAATTATCAATAAAGCTACTTGAAACAGTTGAATACCCGGTATGTTTAAGCATGTTAGCATGTTAAGTGATGATATAAACATTATAATATAAACGTAGTGTATGTACCGAAACCTGTAGGGTTTTTTCTTTTTTTTAAAAAAAAACGGAAAACGTTCAAGACAACAAAATTAAAAAATGGTGCAGTCCCGGTTTGATTGAGCCTGTTCATTGTCGATGGACAGTGCTGGAAAATTGCAAGTTACCTCCACATCCCATACCGGCTTATAACTCGGTGTTTGGACTTGTTGTTCTCCTCTCTTTTTACTTACCCGAGTTTAAGAAGTGATTAATTCTATTCTCATATACCATGCATGTGTGTTGTTTAACAGAGGCATATTTTGCTAAATCTCCCGCCAGGTTTAGGAATATTACGACAACATGAGAGTAAAGTGGGTTTTGGGTTCTTTTGCAATTTTCTAGTATATTCTGTAGCTTAATGTTAACATCTTTTTAAGTTCTATATAAAGTGTCTATAAAGAGAGCAATATTTGTATTGCAAGAAAAGTGACTTCATATAATTATTTATCAACTTTTTATGTACTATCCAGCCTGTTTTCTTGTCACAGTTTATTGTCTTGATTTTATGAACAATAAGACAATTTTTGTTTGGCAATATCGACTTGGGTCATTTGAATATTAATTAAACTTTTTGTCGGTAGTAGATTCAATAAATCAAACGGATTGTAAAGTATAGCGAAGTTGTATATGTATAACATAAAATTACCAACATTACATTTGCCTTACCAGCCTCACTGCAAAAGTGTTACACTTCTAGTTTAATTGTTTTATCGTTTGAAATTTAGATAAAGGAGATTAAAACAATGGCAACGAACAGTCATGTAGACGTACATATTGACAGCGACGTTGGAAACATTTTGGTCACTGGGCTTGTTGCAAACGTTGTAGATGTTTTAGATTCCATACATAAACAGCTTCGATCTGCAGATTCATCATTCTACATGAAAGGTCAAGCTAAACTGATGTCTAGCATGGTCAAATGGATCTATCTTAAAGATCAGAAAGAGTTTCCGTTTAATGATCGTGTAAATTTGGAAGTAGAAACCGCATATAAGAAGAAAGAAAAGACAGTTAAGATCAAAGACTTTTCAGGTGGCGAATACGTTATTGATTTTGGAACGATGAAGGAACATGATGTGAAAAAACCTAACGAACAGTTCCCAGTTATAAGACGAGATCTTATTGCAGGTACTACCAAAATAAGCCTATATTCTAAATTTATTAACATGTATTTTGGCGTTAAATGTCATTTAAAATACAAACATGTATATATTTTACTTTAAATAGAAATATTCGAAGTGTTCGGACTAAGACTGGGTTATCAAGTTTACACTTTACAAAAGTTATTTTATTATACAATAGTTAGAGGATGTCGAGTATGACGCTATGGTATTATAAAACATATTAATATTGAATGTGTATATGTCTGCATGCATTCTGTGAGAATCTTATATGATGAATGTTTTGCATTGCTTGAATTAGATCTTCTGTTACATATGTTTTGTAAAGAATCAAACTTGTAATTAAATCATGATTATCAAATACACATTCAGTTTTACTGGCATGGTTCATATCTTCCGGGTTTCATGTTTTAACAAAAGTGCATATTTAAAAGACACTCTTAGCAATTGTCAAGCATATCTGCAGATTCTTGATGTCATCGTCCTATGTCCAAAAATTCTTTTGAATCAAAGTCACATTTAAGATATTTGTAAATCAGTCAGGAATGAAAGCTGTATTTATCGCAAACCATGCCAGTCATTTCTGAAGAAACACAATTTGTTCAGGACATAAACATAATTTCACTTTTCGGTTTTAGGTGCTAGTTTTGATATACCAAAGAACTGGCGTTCAATGAACGATAAAGAAAATCTGAAACTTGTGACGTTGAATCAGCAAGATCCTGAATATCAAAAGGTGTTAAATGAGTTTACGAAAACATTAGGGAGACAACCATCCATTGTCAAGGTACAGTAACTTTTATATTCCTTGGTAGTTTCAACACACACAAGAACAAGGAATTTTGTCCGTGTGATCGTGAGATCAGTTTTTTCAGGACGTTATTCCAAAACTATTAGAGGTATCAACATTAAACTTTATAGTTATGAAGTAGATAAAAATCATAGAGGAGAAGTGCAGTGCCCAAGAACCATAACTATTTTACAATTTCTTTAGCTATAACCCTTGGTATTTTTTCATACTTACTAAATTTTATTCCGTAGCAAAACTCCAAAAGTATAATTAGTTTCATATTGAAAAACTTTAAATTTGGACCGATTTCATTGAGAAAAGGATTTATTGCCTTTGGTGATTTAGCAGCAGATGGTTAAAAGAAAAACAAAACAAATTTTTCAAGTAACTATATAAACCGTATATACTAGTCAATTTATGTTAAACTCTTTTGTTCATAAATGATATAGGGTGAAAGTTAAAACTCTTTTGTAATGATATGAAATGCATAACATATATAACGCCGTGATTTTGCTTCTTATTTTACAGATTGAGAGAATACAAAACAAAACACTGTATACTCAATATGCGGCCAAACGTAAAGAATTGAACAACAACAACAAATCAAATAATGAAAATGTATTATGGCACGGTACTGCGGATTATGCAGTTGCAAGTATCAATTCACATGGGTTCAACAGAAGCTATTGTGGCAAGAATGGTAAATTTACATCCTGTTGGATCCTTGTTTATCAATTATTAACATTATGTTCTTTTACTTTTTATGCAACGATTACTTAAGGAGTCGAGAGAAATTGGTGGTGATTTTATTTTATTTCCTCACAATGTTAGATACGAGTTTGACATTAAGTGTTGGTTTTTGTAGTTGTTGAAAGTGTTTGCTATACAATGTATACTTATGTTGTAGTTTTTCATGTTTCTACTTAACATACATACAATCGTAATCGTACTTTTTTATGAATTGTCAACCTGCAAACAATGTTAATGGATATTATATATGCTGGGATATTATACTCAGTCTGTATTTGACCAAACTGTTACAGTTGATTATTTTTTGTTGTGTTATACCTGCACAGAAGAAGTCATATGGTAACCTTCCAACTTTAGTGTTGAAGGAAGACGTTAGGTGCTCCTCTGTGCATTTCAGGCATGAGGCCCCTAAGTAGAACCATCGACAGTCTGTTTCCTAGCTCGACAGCTCCCTCAAATGAAAGAATCAAAAGTTCTTAGCAGGATTCAACTCTACAGCGGTGAGAGGCAATTGGTTTACCGTCAACGACCTGAACCACTTGGCCACGGACGCACCTACTTAGCTATTAAAATAAAATTACTGAAAACTTTCGCACATTTAATTCAAAATGCCTTACAAAGTGTCAATGTTTAAAGAGTGTGAATATTAACAGTGTATATGAATGTGATCTTTTTTCAGCAACTGCTATAGGTCAAGGTGTATACTTTGCTGTGCAATCACAATACTCGGACCAGGGCACATACTCACCTGTAGGAAACGATGGAAATAAAAGAATGTACAGATGCTTGGTACTGACGGGAAAATATTGTGCCGGGAGCAGCGATATGCGAGTTCCTCCACCAATTGACAAATCAAAGCCACATATTCTCTATGATTCAGTTGTCAATAACACTAACAGCCCAATAATGTTTGTGGTATTCAACGATACACAGGCATATCCCGAACACATTATAACATATAAATAGACACGTTACTTTATGTAAGTCATGTATACTCTTACGGAAATTTGTGGTGCATAATGCCTTTTTTTTGATAATTTCATTCTTATAGATATTGAACTGTTTCATGACATTGTCTTCTTTACTAGGGTGCATTTTATTATCATGTTCATCATAATGCTCATCATTATCACCATTATTGTTACCTGTTAGCGTGCGCTGTCTAGATGTTATCACCAGGAACATGTGTTAAATTCTGTCTAAAAGCAGAAAAACAATGAAAATAGTATGTGTTATTGATTATAGTTAGTTAGATGTAAAATTATTGTTACCATTTTTCTAAATGTAATGACAAAATGTGCATTCAAAGTCAAATACATGTATCATCTTCAGGACTTGATTAAAAAAGCCGCTGATAACTGATTTTTAGGATAAAAAACACTGATGAGCGAAAATACTAAGGGGTCCTTTTATTTTGAGTTAGATTATATACAAGGTTATTTATTTCGTTAATTTTATATGTGTCACCCCAAAAATATGCGGCAAGCGGTGATGATGATAATGTACATGTACATTAATATTTTTGTATCAAAATTTATGTACCAGTTTATAGTGTTGTTATAGTCCTTGGGATAATTCATTCTAGCATATCAAGCTTTGAAGAATGAATACCGCAACAGTACTGTTTCACTTTTTTATTATCCCTCATGAACGGGCTCAATCAAGGAAAGTCTGTACTTTTTATGTAATTTCTTTGTTCTCATTACTTCTACATGATCTACCCACTTGCCAGATTTTTAACTTTAATTTTTTTCAATTATGTAATTGTTTTCATCTGTTTTAGACTGTGTGAAACTGTCGTATAATCTGGTGTAAATTTACTGTAGCCTATATGTTATTAGACAAAGTGGTGTAAACAATATTAAACTAAAGTTGTTGAATCAATAAAAGTTTACTGAATCCTTAATGTGAAATTGATCAACTATTTTACTATTTCTTTACATTACATACTAGATTTTACATTTTGACTTAAATTATGAATAAATCAAGTAGAAAAAATTAGATTTTGAGCTGTGTTATGAATAACACAATATTTACCATATTAGCTTTAGTTATATCAAAAAGTTATTACAATATACACCACTTTGAGAATAAATCAACAGCTTTATAGTTGATTTTGTATAAAGCAATGCTTTACAAGATGATTGTTTATATGAACATTTTACACACATATAGCCGTTGCTATGACTGTTTTCTTCATTTTAAATGTAGTAGTGTATACTTCTTTGAATGTATCTTTAATTCATGCAGCTCACCTTTAGAATCATGCTTTATCATATAATAATATTAGAAAATGCAGTAAATATTAAAGAGAAATGTGAACAGTGTTTTAAAAAACAACATGTTGTTTCTGGGAAAAAATGAAAGAAAAATGTTATAATTTATTATTAAAACGACCTGGATAATAGAAAGACGGACCCACTCTTTTTGAGAATGGAGTGTTACTAATTTTTTTTTCTGTGCAATATTTGTAGAAATTTCCATTGGATTAATTATTATTTTTTCATAGTAAAAATTTCATTGAATACAATTAAGAAAAATATTTAATCAAACACAATTATCATGGCAAAATGTTATTTTGATTTTATAACGTGCACTGACTATTTGCACTATCACTGTGAGATAGGATGTAATCTAAGGTACTTGCACAATTGATTTATTTAAGGTTCAAATGAGAACCATCTTACCGCAACACTGCTGGACTTAAAGTGTAAATTTAAAGTGTAACTTAAATGTGTATTCATTTGTATATCATGCCAATAAGATAATAGAATGTTACAGCATAATAAATTTATACTATACTGTTGAAATGACTTTTGTATATATCACACTATTGTCTCGACTGAAATTGCCGTTATTCTTTCTTTAAATAAAATCAAGTCGATACTTATTATTGTGTTTTTGTTGCTGTTTCCTTCCTTTTAAGCTCCGATCAACCGGTCTTTTTTAGTCTTTCAAACATTTGTACAAATGCTGCTGTAAGTGCATTTCTAGTTAATTACATTGATCATGATTCCATACAAAGATTTTTGAAGAATACGCATTTGATTTCTATACTTTCTAACAATCTACGTATTTGGTAACATTTTTTGAAATGTCTTTCTAAGAATTTTAATTAAGATATTCACAGTTAGGGTTCGAATATTTCATTTTAAACTTACTTACCTTAAAAGGCCTCTTTGCTTTGACTTCAAGTAGCTGACTTAATTGCTCAGTTACTTGGTCCGAATAAAACGCAAATGGTCGATATTTTCTTTATTTAAAAAAATGGAACAAAGTGCATGGAGGGTCACCTGATGTCTAACTGGTGGAGATAGACCTCAGATGCCCCGAGCATTATGTCAGGTACGAATGGGCACCTGAGTAAAACCACCGACGTTCTGTAAGCTAGCTGGTCACTTATTGTCATGTTTTGTATTCTGCAGCTGTAATCGTCAGAACATTGTTCTATGGTATGAATCCTTAATCCCTGGCAGGAGTTGAAGTTACAACGATTTGCATGTCATTGATACTTACATTATAAATAATACTACCACTATATATGAACTGTGGTTGCATTTAACTGCAGCTTATATGAATTAAACCATAAAATAAAAGGCGAGCATATTTCTACGTTTTTTTAAGTCTGGAATATCAATCAAGTCAGAGATATTGTAACTGTGAATAACGCGACAATATACAGCATTTCAATTCCCACTTGGGGTCCTGTTACTAGGTACTTGATACTTAATCTCCAACCACCGCCCCTGCCCCAAAATCTGTAAAAAAGACTCGTTTTCATAAATTTATACCATTGATACATGTATTGATTAAAATACATCTTTAATTTAAAGTAATTATGACTATCAAAGTGTCCGCGGAGACGAGCTTGCAACGGTGAGATTGAATGGTGATTGAATGGTGTTTTAATCAGTGTTGTGTTTGTGTTAATCGCTGTAAATTCCATAACTGTTAGGCAATTGATTGTATGTATGTTCTTTATACGAGATTGGAGGAAATAACAGAATCTATCCAACTACCCAATGTCAAGAATTTTATATATGAAACACAAAAAATGGTTTAAACTGGGGAATAAACTTAATAACAATAAACTTAATGACATTGAAAGTTAGATAATATTATATATTTACACTGGAAGTTCAATAAACTTTTTAAATTCTCTAAGATTGATCGAGAAAGGATTATTTTTTAAACATATTAGTATTAAGTGTTTGAAATTATTTTTGTCCAGCATTCCAGTTTTTCAAATGAATCGTACGTATTACATGGGTACTAACCGGCGCTAGAGCTCCACAAAATCGACGGCTAATTTTTTTCGGCCAAAAGCCGATCTAAAATCAGTTTGACTTCCTGTTAAATGTACAGGAAAGAACTGAGTTTTTACATTGGTCATTTTAGCATTACAAAATGAAATGTGGGAATCTCGTTTGCCATTCTAAAATAAAATGTTACGGAAAGTTCTTGTCAGTCTAAGATAGTTCTAAACTAAAATGTAAAGGATAGTTCTTGCCGTTATAAAATAAAATGTAAAGGATAGTTCTAAAATAAAATGTGCCGGATAGTTCCTTAACTTTCTAGTTCTGTTGCAGCAATTTAAATTCTGTTAAACAAAACTTCCTCCCATTAAACATTTTACACTGCATTCAGATCTGATTACATTTTCTAGTGAACAATTTATTACCGAGTTTATTTTACACAAGATCGGAGTTTGAAATTTTGTCCAAAATAATGAGGATAATATCAGAACTTATTAGGTGCCCTAAGTTTATTATGTACGTTAAGTGTCTAATAAATTATATGATTATTGGTATGTTCAAATTCATAAAATGTTTATATTTTTCATATATATGTGTATATTAATTAAGTATGTATGAAAATAATTGCCTAACGACTGTGTAGATGTTGGGGCTAGAAAATGAATTCACTTACCGAAACATGACAGGTTCGTTTAGAAACACACCTCTAAGTTATTAACCTGAAATCATTTTATGCTGACACATACCAAGTTAACCATTTGTACTTCGGCTAACGCTAACACTGTTAAGTTTACGCTTTACCGCTCAACCGCTTTAAGCGCTAACTTATCTACATTTGTGTGAATGTAGGGCAAAATGGCGAATTGAATGATTGTGAAAACGAAAGTGAACGGTATTGTTGTAAATTTGTACATCATGGCAGAATACTGAAATGACAATATATGTTCCACTGACTTCTTTTAATAGGTATGTATTTGTTTAAACTGTTCTCTTGATAGTTTATCATGTAAATGAAACCATTTTTGTTTTACACTGCCATTTGGCAACAATAATCTTTAATAATGATAAGGCAACTGAAAATAAATTCATAGATTCTTATCCCCGTCCGACCTGCAAAAATCGCTCCGCCGGAACGTCTATTTAAAATAAATGCGTATGAGTGATGACAAAGATCTAAAATTGACTGATAACTGCATGTATTACGGATTTTTTTTTTTGCTATGAATTAAATGTCCTTTGACTAGGGGACACTCTCCGGTAATTTTCTATTTTCATATATGTAAAATTTTATTCACGTGATGGACTAAGGAAATACTTTTTATTTTTGTTGTTTTTTAGTTTTATTTATGCTTGGCGCCGGAATGAACCGTATGTCCGAGATACATCTCCGTCCTTGCCGGTCCGCATCAGGGATGTTTTTGTTTTTTGTTGTTGTTTTTTTTTCCACGGTAAAGTTCTTTTATGTTACATGGTGGTAACCGGAGGTAATGACAACAGCATCTTTCTTTCTTTCTTTCAAAACGACCCTTTGCAGGACCACAACCTCCTCCAACCCCTCCCGTATTAGGTACATGCCTCTTGAGGACGTTCTTCGTGTTAAGCTGACTTGTTTATTATGAATATATACCAACCTTCCGGTAGGAATCAGTTAATTTTAAATCATCACAGCCCATTTGAAACTCGGATATTAATTGACTTATACCTGCTGTTCGTTCCTAGCTATCATTGTCGATGGATTTTTGTGCAACGGAGATTTATTTATTTTCAAAACTAGCAAACAATGTACTTTTTTATTGAATTTGCATTAGTATATGCTAAATAAAGTCATATTTTGAAATTACAGAATCAACTATAAAAGCATTCTTTTATTATAAGCATTCATTGTTTTGCTGTAATACCTTTCATAACTCCGTTGCACCGATCAATACGGATTTAAGGTAGTTCTACCACGTGGTTTAATATGTATTTGACATCCAAACAAAGATAAAGTCTGTTTCACTACGATTATGGATGAAAATATGTTTGACAACCATTTTTCATTTAAAAATGCCCACAGATGTACAATTTTAAACAAATCCGACTATATGTCAACATGTTCGATAATAAAAAATATATAAATAATGTAATATAATAAACTTCTTTATATTGAGAAAAAAACTTGTCAATTACTCCCAGCATTAAAATACTATTTGTTAACATGTTAAGTTTCCTAGCGTAGGTTAAACCGAAATACTGTATCCGTTCTGTGTATTCATACAATTGAGTTCGAGGTCCTTAGGAAAGGGCCGAGAAGTTGCGATCATATATTAGAGTAACTGGGTCCATTTTGTTTTGTCGTTCCAGGTGTATCCCCCAAACATAGAAGACAAGCATGGCAAAGCATAATCCTGATCAGCGTGGTGGCGCAAACCGTTCTTCCTATATACCACCAGTACATGCAATAACATTTCCTGGTTGGAATGGATCTGATAATGTGGATGTATCTGAATCAGCACAACATTATGCTGATAACTCTGAACAATTAGGATCAGATGAAGTCTCTGAAATATTATGTGATCCATGTGAACTTGCTGGGGGAAAACGTCTAGCGCATGGGTATTGTAAACACTGCTCAGAGTTCCTCTGTTCCTCTTGTTATAATGAACACAGAAGATTCAAACCAACACGTCACCATATTTTGCTTGATAACAGTGAAATGCCGACGGTGAAAAAAGAACAAGCATTCAAGGACACATGTACGGATTTTTGCTCAAATCATGAATCTAGTGTTATTGAATATTATTGTAAATCCTGTGATCAGTTTGGCTGTTCACATTGTTTTGTAACTGGTCACAGAGATTGCAATGTGGCGAGTATTCAAGATATGTCCACTGGACTTGAACATTCAAATGAATATAAACTATTCAAGGAAAGTCTTGCAAGAATACAAAGAGGCCTGAGGGAAAACGCAAACAAACTTACCAGTTCTAGAGCCAATATTGCTACTATACATGATAGGGCAAAAAGAGATATCTGTAATCAAAGAAATGCTGTTAATGCATTCTTTGACAATTTGGAAAAACAAGTAGATTGTAAAATCGACGAAATAAGAAAAGTTGATAAGGAGAAAATGGTAAAAGTTGCCAAAATGAACAGCAAATTTGCAAATGACTTCGGAGCAAAGTTGTCTGATATTGAAAAGAATGAAAAAGACGGGCGAAAATGTCAGCTATTTGTTGATATGAAATCATATATTGATTATCTGCGAGAATTTGAAGACAACTTTACCTTAATGAAAGAAGAAAATAGGATTTACAGATACAATCTTCTCATGGCAAATGAAGTATTTCATATGATGGAAACTATGAAACAACTCTCTGTGTTTCACAAAACATTCTCGGTATGGAAAAGAAGACCAAAATTTTCTGGCAAATTGGACATGCATGCGAGAGGTGATAAAAAGGAATGTTACATAGCAGGAATGTGTTTGTTAGATAAGAATTGCCTGTTAGCTGCTGATCTGTATAACGTGTGTGTTAAACTCGTGAATTTGGAAACCGCTGCTGTCCTGGCGGTACCAGTGCATTCTTGGCCGTGGGATGTTACAAAAGTAACAGAGGAACAAGCTGCTATAACTCAACCACTGCTTGGAGAAGTATTGTTCTTCAACAAGAACAAAAGGACTAGGAAATGGTGCGCAGGCAAGAACATAGATGTCGGGCTTGAGTGTAGAGGTATTGAGTTTAGTAGAGGAAAATTTGTCGTGAGCTACACAACGAAACCAGGGTGCGTAAAAATCATAGATCTCAGTGGCAACGTGTTACATGTATTCAGCGCTGACAAAAATGGAGATAATCTTTTCCAACAACCGGCTTATATAGCGCTTGGACTGGATCACAATATCATATATGTCTCTGACAATGAGACACATATGGTTACAAGTCTGGACAGGTATGGGAATGTCAAGGATGTTTATAAAAATGATGACCTTCGTTGTTCGTCTGGAGTGGTCACTGACAGGGTTGATTCCGTATTTGTATGCAGTAGTCGATATTGCAATGTGCACCAGATCTACTCCGATTTAAGTCCGGTTCAAATTTTACTTGACCACAGTAATGCTGAAGAGAAACCACAATGCATTGCATATTGCAGTTCCACAAACAGGATTTTCATAGGATTCCAAAATCAAAACTTTGCAAACATTTTCTATCTTACATAAGTTGTCAATAAAAAAAGTAAGAAAAAAAATGTTTCAATAATAAAGTTATCCAGAACTAAATACAATTCAAATTACTGATCTTACCTCACATCAGAGGAGTGAGTGTCATGACTTGAAGCAAAATATTACATAACAGCTGAAATCCCTATTTTGACTATGAAGAAATGCACGTGGCAAATCATTGTCTATGAAACTGTTATGTGTACTAGTGAAGTTTGTGGAAGATCTATATGCTGGTAACCAAAAAGGCACAAACTATTCTATGGAAATTGTCATTGTTTAAAGGAAAAAGCCTTTAAAAATAAAACTGCAGGACATTCGATAGATGGGATGGTGATACTACACATAAGTGTCCCATATGCAATGTCTGTCAATTAGAATTAGAACAGAAGAACCAATGCAAAAGGGCAGACTGGTTCTAAATGCATTTCAGAAACACTGTTTGCCAATTATAGTTAATTGCAAATGTATTACAAATGTTACACATTTTAAGATGTACAATATACATGTATGTACGAAACATTAGATATGATCTAGATATTGTAGACATTTAAAGTGATCGTAAGCCATCTTTTCCAACTGTCATTACTTTTTATATCACTAAGATAAAGAAGACTGTTTATATCACCAACATTATAGAATGTTTATATTACCAAGATTAAAACAACTGTTTATATCACCAAGATTGCATATTATTATATTATTATTATATTCCAAGATCACACTGAATTGGCGCATGCGCAGTACTATCTCATTTAGACCGAAAGTGTTTTGACGAAATAGAATCCTATTTATATCATCAAGATTTAAAAAAATGTTTATATCACCGAGATATACATATAGGGAAAAACAATGACCCCCCCCCCCTTGTGAGGGACTAATTTTGACCCCAGGGCTTTTATTTGAACAAACTTGGTAGACACTCACTAGAAGATATTTCATGCTTTGTATCTAAACTCTAGCTCTTTAGGTTTTTTATATAGAAGATTTTTTAAGTTTTTACTATACACATATAAGGAAAATCAATTACCCCTGGGGTGGCGCCAATTTTAACCCAAGGGCCCTTATTTGAACAAACATGGTAGACACCCATTAGAAAATATTTTATGCTAAATATCTTAGCTCTAGCTCTTTGGGGTTTTTAAAAGAAGATTTTTTTTATAAATTTTTACTATACATAAAGGGAATACAATGACCCCTTGGGGCGGGGCCAATTTTACTCCAGGGCTTTTATTTGAAAAAACTTTGTAGACACCTACTAGAAGATGTTTCATGCTTTATATCTAAGCTCTAGCTATTTGTTTTTTTTTAAAGAAGATTTTTAAAGTTTTTACTACATACAAATAAGGAAAATCAATCATCCCCTGAGACGGGGCCAATTTTTACCCCAGGGCTTTTATTTTAAAAAACTTGGTAGACACCCACTAGAAGATGTTTCATGCTTCATATCTAAGCTCTAGCTATTTGGGTTTTTTATAAGAAGATTTTTTAAGATTTTACTATATACAAATAAGGAAAATCAATGAACCCAGGGGACAGGGCCAATTTTTTACCCCAGGGCTTTTATTTGAACAAACTTTGTAGACACTGTCTAGATGATGTTTCATGCCAAATATTTAAGCTCTAGCTTTCGGTTTTGTAAAAGAAGTTATTTTAAGTTTTTTCTTTCGGTTACCATAGCAACCAGAGTTCTGCTTGGAATTAAATTCTTTGAAGAATTTTTAAAGTTGACTACCAAAGGAACATTCCTGAGAAGTTTGGATGAAATTGGCTCAGTTGTTTATGAGGAGATGTTGTTTAAAGTAAAAGTTTACGGACGGACGCTGGACGAAAAGCGAACACAAAAGCTCACCATGTCACTTTGTGACAGGTAAGCTAAAAAGACTAAAATGAATGAGTGTTATTTTTGAATATGTACCGTTCTAAGAGTATACAGCATTACTTTAATGCTTACATTGCTTTTTTAGCATGTCATTGTAGATATACAAATAAAATGTCAATGTAATAAATATGTCTTTAACCTTTAGCCTCACACCCTGTGACTTCTTTCTGCACCAAACCACGTCTATTTTAGCTACACTCATTGTGACATTTCAACTTATATAATACAGTTCTGTTCTAAAGTTGTAAAAATAAAAAAATAACTATCTATTTCACATAAATTTATTTAATCTTGAAAAGGCTATAGATGCTCTAATTTAGAACAGAAATTTCATATTGCTCTGTGAAATGCATAGGTAACATGTCACATGACACATTTATCATGTTTTCTGTAACTTGTAATATGTTAATAAATCATCAAAATCTTCATCATCATCACCCTTTTCTACATCATTTAAAGTCAACTTCTCAATTTCATTAACAAAAGTGTCATGAGACTCGTTTTCCCATTTGTCCTGCGTTTTTTCCGATTTTTTCTTTTTCTGATCTTCTTCTTCCTCCTCAGAATCGTTAACACATTCTTCTTTGTAAGGCTCGTACCTGGCACTCACTGTGCCAGTCTCATGTGGATGGTACTTTATTTGAATATGTTCATTTACGTTCAGGCCGCAGCCGTCGTTTAACATTTTTATGGCAATTCGAGAAATATTGATTGAGTCATCTATCCCACTATGTGGTGATCCTTCAAATTTCATTCCTGCATTGTAAATAGTTCATTACATTTCTGTACACTGTACAAGGGGTATCCAAAAGTTTGTGGACTTTCTTTGTTGCATAAAATATATATTTGAGATATTGTATGAAATTCTTACACTGCTTAGAAGAATAAATAACAAATAAACACAGACAAAATCATGTTAGTAGCTTCTTATATTACAAAAATATTTAATTTTACATAAACACATGTTGGGGACAGAGGCGCTCTCCAAAAAGTTATGACGTCAACGTCATAATATTTATTAACTATGCTTCAACCTTACGCAGTCAAGAACAATTACTGCTTCACAAACTAATGTCCATTACTAAATTTTTTATGCCAGTTAAACACTAATGATAGTAAAATTTTATTTTCTCTGTTTGCCTGCTGTTTTTTTTTCAAATGTTTTTGTTGATGTCATTCCTAAATTACAACAAAACTTTATGATCACGCTATTTTCTAAATTCTGTGTGTCCGTCATTTTCCCGTTGTAAACAATAATGTTGTCTGGTGTTTTTGGCAATTTCAACAAAAATTAACGGAAATGACGTCCATAATTTAAAGGAATTACTTAAATGACATCATAGAAGAAATATGCGATGTTTAGCGGGTTTTCTAAATTAGTTAGTAGTTTTTTAGCAAAAAATATATGATGACTAACAGCGTTTTTCTACCATGCACCGGGTGCTGTTTATGTGCTTATTTAAAAACAATATAAAATCATTATTTATTGACGCAGTTAACTGTTCTGTTTCAAAACGAGTTGATAATATTCTACAATGTATACTGATAAAATTTCATTACAATACACGTTGATGTTCAAAAGATATTTAAAAAGTCCACTAATTTTTGGATAACCCCTCGTACATTACATTTCCGTATACAATATATTACATTTGCCAGATAAGTGTCTTTAGCTATTTATTTAGAAATACTGAAAATGAAAGCAAACATTTATATCAACTTCCAAAATTTATTTTCACTTATATTCACTTTTCTATTTGAACAACTATATTTAGTAGTATACCAAATCACATGAAAAACAAGAGAAGACAAGTAAAAATATATACCGCAAACAAATGTGAAGCTACCATTAAAGACAGGGATAGCTTTTGTATTGATCATTAAAATTGGGAAAGCATTAAAAAGATGACTAAAAGCTTTAATTAACAGAAGTATCAAAAAAAATCTTTTGAAAAACTAGATGTAACGTTATACTTACCTAAATTTTTCAGCATTACTTCTATACCTCCCCTACCACAGTGGTAAAAGTTACAGTATGATTTCCTGATGTTAACCCATTTCTTTGACCAAGCAGGCATTTCTATGTCACTCTCTTTACATTGATAATACATGAATCTAAACATATCCCATGGACTGAAAATAACAATAACAATATCAGTATCTTTCTGTGGGGGATAAATTTTCACGGATATTTTACCAACAAATATTTGGGTAGCGTCAATTTCCAAATCCTGACCAGAATACACTGTAGGATCAGAAACTGCCAAATTTTGATACATGCAATTTTACCACTTTAGACATCCTTTGACACTCCATTATGGTTACAACAAATGCATTCAGAACTACCAAATTAAATCATGGACTTTTCCTGTTAACTGCATGAAAATCATTTATTTTTGTATCACCTGTTCTATGAAAATATGATGAAATAATTTAAAATTCAATTACATGTACCTTAATTATAACTCATTACTACATAATCACATTTTAAAATTATCTCTGCATTACAAAGTGTTATATAGTAAGTGTGACTCTAATGTTTGAGTTGTCTATAGGACCACCTGTTTCATTACTTTCATTGCTTGAAAGTAAAACAAGACTCTGGATAAAGTAGAATTTTCTGAGTTGAAAAAGGCCCATAAATCTGTCAAAATCCATGTTTAAGGTATGGACCATGGCAGTGACTTTGTATTATGCTGTAAAAATAGTGTGCAAGTTTCAACCTAATAACTCTAAGCAGTTTTGGAAATACAAAATTACAAAGTACATATAAAAACTTAACATAAATGTGGCGACATCACAAAAACCTGGGTGAGTACAACAGCTCATTCTCCCTGTTCTTCAAATAGTCTAGCATTAAAACAAATTGTACTTATAAAGACAAATTATACTAGATACTGATTCATACACTGACAAAAGATGATAGGAGTTCCCTTTCTCTAGCCTAGCGGTAATATTACAAAAATAACATGTCTCTCGGGGTTAAAGTGCATATTAGCAACCCAAGAAGGATGTTACCTCAGTTCAAGGGTTGTTATTATGCGCTACTACCCTGAGAGACGTGGGGTATTTTTGTTTCATTACACCGAACCAACATTTTAATGTTTTTTTTCGCCACTATGGGAGCCATTTATCATTGATTATTATCAAGGGAGAGAACTAGCTCATTACATTTTCTTAAGACTATATAGATTACTTGTCCCTGGGGTATATTGCAAAAAATTATTGACCAGGTGTTATTCATTTCCAGGATGATAAATCCAAATAACACCATGTGACGTCATGTAAGGCTATATAATAAAAAGTTTACATTAGGTATAATAAAGTTCAATATACATGTTAAAAGTAAAACTGTTTGAAGATATTGACATTTTGAATGATTTACAAACACAAGTATTTTGTTCCTTTACACCTTTTTCAATTTTCGGATTTTGGAAGTAAATTTGAATTGAAACAAGAGCTGTCAGAAGGACAGCGCGCTCGACTTTTTTAGTGCTTGCCTATAAAACAAAACTTTGACAGTTAAGGGCACACAAGACTTTAACTAGGAATTTCTAAGTACAAATCAAGAAACATTTTCACAGAGTTATCTTCTCTTGCTTACAGATAGGTCTCATGATGGCACATAAGAACTCCAACTTCCAAAGTAATATCTCAAATGGTTAAGTCAACAAGTGGACAAGAATGAAAATCTTAACTGAGTTTCTAAGTCAAAAAGGGCCATAATTCAAATAAAATCCTTAACAGAATTACCTTCTCCTGCCCATGTTTTGGGACCATGATGGTAAACAAGTATTCCAAACTTTCAAATTAATATCTCAAACAGTTCAGTCAAAAAGTGGACTGGTACTAAAAACTTAACCAAGATTCTAAGTCGATAAAAGGCCTTAATTTTTAAAACAAATCCTTGACAGAGTTACCTTCTCTTGCGTACAGATGGGGGTAATGATGTGAAATAGCATTAAAAGTTTCAAAGCAATATCTCAAAGGGTTAAGGCAATAAGTGGATTTTACCCATATTCAATGTATTTTCTAAGTCAAAAAGGGCATAATTCTGTCAAAACCTTGACAGAGTTATGTCCTCTTGTCTGTTGATGAAGGTCGTGATGGTAAACAAGTATGGTCAGTTTTCAAAGCAATACCTCCAATGGTTTTGAAATAAAGTGAGGTGGTACAAAAAACTTAACCAAGCTCAATACACTTTCTAAGTCAAAAAAGGGCCATAATTCTGTCAAAAACCTTGACAGAGTTATGTACTCTTGTCTGTAGATGGAGGTTATGATGGTGAACAAGTATGGTAAGTTTCAAAGCCATACTTGTAATACTTCTGAAATAAAGTGGGGTGGTACGAAAAACTTAACCAAGGTGTGACGCCAACGCTAACGCCGACGCCGACGCCGGGGCGAGTAGGATAGCTCCCCTTTTCATAGAAAAGTCGAGCTAAAAACCCAAATTTTATCCAAAAAGCGTTTAGAATTTAGAAATTCCATAATTCAGCGGTATTAATTACATAGAAAACAGGAGAAATTTTGGGACCATGAAAAATGTTTGGATTTCAGATGTTTCAGGATTCTAGAAGTTCTGGAATTCGGAAGTTACACTGTACTTCATCATTTATCATAAAAGAATCCAATTCTTCCTGGAGAAAACTGGTGTACCTACCCATCTGTTAGAACTGCAAATGACTTTTCGGCACCAAGTTGATGATCCTGTAACCAGGTCTCTACCCTTTCTAATACCACTGGAAATGTGTCCGCTTTGTCTACTTTGTCCTGAAATTATGTGTTCATTTCAATTCAGTATTTGTTAACTTTGTCCTGAAATTACATGTTCAAATAAACTCAGTATTTGTCTACTTTGTCCTGAATTTATGTGTTCATATAAACTCAGCAAATTATACCAACACTTTTAACATTTCTTTTCTTTTGGCTGGTTTTTAAACACAAGCAATACTGTAATAAAACACTAAAATTAAACAATTCAAAATGAGTGAGCATTTACTTATTCTATTTTTATATGCTTCTAACTAACTTAGTTGCTAGCCTTTTAAGAAGGCCTTGGTTGTGTTTATGAATAGTCAGATAAACCCTATTTAGGTCATATTATGCAAATCAGAAAATCTCTTATAAAGACAAAACAGTAGGTCAAAGTTTATAATTGTAATGTCATGTGGTAACTTTGCTGTTTTTACTAGTAGAGAAGGACCCTTATTGCTTGTTTGTACATTGTTTTAGGCATGCTAACTGGCTGGTATCACCAAAACACCTACCAGCAGCCATATGCTGGTGTGATGGGTTGGTTGAATGTATCATTCAAAGTTAGTGGTAAGGCAGTAAGCCATTTTGAACCCACAATAGCATAGTTCACCTACTGCATCATTCTATTGGCAGGCTGTCAAACAGTTTACCAGAACTAGATGTCGTCACATCACAAGGAACTGATTACTTTTGTACATGCCTGAGCAGAGGAACAGTGGTAATGACCATAGAAAGGATTTCCGTGATTAATCATCGGGTCACCCGATTTACAGTCCAACCCTGTACCTATTGAGCTAAATTAAACTGGCAGGTGGGTTCATTCAAACTTAATAACCATGACCATCTTTGTAGAAATTTCAGTATTACAAATATAATAATTTATACAGGTGCTCAAAAAGAAAATCATATACAAGTGATGACGAGTTTGAACATTGTATTCATTCATCAACTTAAATTTGATGCTGGAATAATTAGACACAAATCCAGTAATTTTGGCATAAATTCAGTTTAATAAGGTAAAAGAATTCTCCACAGAAAACTGAATAGATAGAATGTATGATGAAAGTGAAGAGTACGTTGAATATTGCTGAATAGTGCCATGTGTGCAAATATGATTGTTTCATATGTTTGATGATGTGAGGGTTGCTATCCTGGTTCTAAATAAAAAAAATTCCAGAAATAGCAAAATCACCGATTTTTCACAATATCTTTGAACCACTGTGATAGTTTCTCATTCACCCCCCCCCCCCACTCTTTCGCCAACCCTTCGGCCCTCCCCTATATTAATAATCTGAAGACTAAAAACATCAAGAATAACAAGACCAATATTGTATAAAGTGAGATAAACAAAAACTTGAATATACTATACCTGAGTAATGCCAGTGAGCTTGGTACAAAACTTAGTCAGTTTAGGGTTTACAATTGGCTTCACATATTCATGGAATTTTGAAACCTGAAAATCATGTAAAATAATTAATTTACAATAAAAATATATAACTATGAACATTTAATCACAAAAGACAGATACAAAACAATGAAAGAATTCTTATCAGCAAGTAAATCATAACCTTTAAAGTAATCGTAACAATCTTAATTTTATGACTGACAAATTGAATGATATTGAGTCATTTGGTTTTTTCCTATTCTGAAGCACCAGCCAAATAACCATTTTACGGTTTATGTCTTTAAACAACAACAGAAGCTGCTTCTACCAGCCAAATAACTATAGTTATGTCTAACAACAAACAATGTACATGTCTAATAGCATACATTTACACAGGACACTTCCACCAGTCAAAAACTGTTTTATGTCTAACAACATACATGTACACAGGTTACTTCTGCCAGCAAAATAACTGTATTAAGTCTAATGTGTGACCTTTAACTTTAAGGTAGTGGTAAATTCATGCTACCGGCCAGACTTGCTACCATCAACTTATGCAGTACTCAACTCACAATTTCCATTTTATCCACATCAACAAGAACTATAGGAAATTCTATAATCTCATGTCTGTAGCTAGGGTTGTTCTCATCGCATGTCGCCTCAAAGTCAATCACAGCTAGATAATCATATAGAGTCTTTCCTGACGTCTTCATTTTAGATTTCCGAAGGTTGCGTCTCCTATAATGATTCTTCAACCTCTTCTTTAAAACCTCCTTCAGACCCCTGTCATCAAACAGATATAAAAAAAAATCTATAAAATACTATCAAATCAAAATACAGGCAAAGAAAAATTTACATAGGTTGACAATTATTTAATTAGGCATGAAACAAAACACAAAGGAGAACAACTAAAAAAAGATTGAGATTGAGTAACAACATGAATCATTCTTGTGTACTGCACTCAACTTATTTGAGATATATCAACATAAAAAGGTAACAGTTCATGTTGATACCCCAAATAATTTTTGAGTTCTGCTCTGGACAAAAAAATGGCACAAAATGAGAGACAGCTTTTTCAGCAGGGTATAAAGATTCATACAATGCATACAGTTTACATAATTATGAACAAATATCTGGGAAAACTGTTCAATTTTTGTCAGTAAAAACATACAAGAGCTGTCAGTAGACACCATTTTTGAAGATTCTGTGCTTTACAGTAAAACAAGAGTCTGGATAATGTAGAATTTTTTAAGTAGTAAAAGGACCATAACTCTGTCCAAATCCATGCTAGAGTTATGGGCCTTGGACAGTGGCTTCCCACTTATGCTCTCAAACAAGTGTGTGAAATTTTAATCTACTGTATTTAATAGTTTTGGAGAAACATATACCAACTTGTATGCAAAAATTTTCAAAACTGGCAATGGGTGAATATAAATTATAATAGCTCTCCCTATTCTTTGAATAGCTGAGCTAAAAACATATATTCAACTTTAACAATATATTGTAGGTTAACTCAATGCGACCAGCAAAAATTAGGTGATTTGTCACTCAAGTTGGGTAAAGTGTTAGCACTATTCATAAAACCAAGCCTAACCCATCCAATCATTTCCTGTTCATAAGATTTATCCTTTATTCACTTATATACCAAAAATACACATAATAGTTTAAGTGGGGCTTGTGGAGAGAATTACAGCTTTCAGTTCAATCCACTCTATCATGATATTGTATTAATTTTCTGTTTGCTGTGTAGCATTGTAACTTGATAAAAAATAAATAATTATGTTTAAAACAAGTCAAGGCAGTTCATTTCTAAAGTTGGGCAAATATTGTTGTGGTGCAAATTGTTTTGCAAAATTGTAGAAATAAGAAACAGAAAACAAAAATATAAAAAATTCATACCTTGAGTCAAGACCATGTTCTTTAAGTTTTCCTTGTAGTTCCACTTTTGTCAGTTTGTTAATTTCTCCATTTATTTTTGACAATTTCTTATACAATGGGTCATTGTACTGTCCATCTTTATATACCTTTGGCTTGGTTCCAGTTGTTGGTTCCTGTAAAAAAAATAACTTAATAACTGTTTGTATTCATTTTGATAAAAATCAATTTTACAAATGTTCAGTAAGACTGGTTTAGGGAAGTTAATGCAAGTTTTATACTTTAACACAGGGCTTCCATTAATGGAAGTTTGGGAGACTTCAGGGCTCTCAATTGACACGGGCATCCGGGTTTTGACTCGTGAAAATCGGGAAATGCACAAATTTGACATGTGATAAAATCTCCTCAAGAGTCAATTTGCCACATGGGATTTTCAGCTACGCAATAATAATTACCCTAAATCCACCCCTAATTACCTATCAAATCCTACAAATGTTCAAATCACACTCATTAAAAATGTCAACAGGCAGTATAAGCCGTGTATAAAATGCTTTAAACACGGCAATTGTTTATAGCCTGTGCACTGAAGCGCGACAATTCAGTGGCTGCAATTTGACAGCACTAAAAATAGCTCTACACAACTGATAAGAATTACATACTTGAGGTGTCAATTATTGATTGCTTTTAAAGGTTTATAATACGTCTTTGATTTACTTGGAGTACCTGTGCATTTGTTATTTCTTTTTCCATTAAATATTCCTGGTACATTTTGGTATTTAAAATTAATATGATATAGCATACCAATAAAGATATTTTTTTTATATTTTATACATTTAATCAGAAAAGCTGCTGCTTATTTTATTCTTTCACAGCAATTCATTTTTTTGTTTTATTTGTTTTTTGTTTTGTTTTTTTTTAGGTGGAGGGGGGTATAGACACTTATAATTAGGCATTTATTTCTGTCAATTTAGACTTTGGAATCTCCAAAAATGACCTCCAATACAGTCATTTTTGTAACATAAAAATGATTGATGTAGTCAAATGATACTAGAAAAAAATGATTTGACTCATGAAAATTTTGGCCAAAGAGTCTTTGACTCGTGAAATTCTGACCCTACTGAGAGCCCTGGGAGTATTTTACTCCTTAATTTTGGCTTGTGACATCCAATGTCAGAGGTTTTGTAGTCTCTTTACTTCCAAATTTTGAAACTTAATAGAAGCCCTGTTTACAACCTATGTTGATCCCTGTTGCAATGCATCTCACAGGCTCACCTCTTGAAATCATATCAGAGAAAATGAATTCTTTCAAGTAGGGATATCCTACTTAGTGTTAGATTACAAAATGTTGGTTGGTCTACTAAAATAACTATATAATTTTTCCGCCAGTACAACTTGAAGTAGAAAAAGGGCCTTGATATGTTCAAATATGTTGTAAAAACATGGTTTTAACATGTCTTTAAAGATGCTGTATGTTGTGATCAAAGTGGTAAACCACACTATGTGAAATTATATATATTTACATAATCACGCAAATAAAACAATTTTCAAACATCGAAGAATATATAAAATATGTATTGCAAATATTTGTGCATATTATATGTAATCATTAAAATATATTGTAAAATTTGACTTAAACTTTATAGATCTCGAAGAGCAGGCCCAAAGGGCCAGTTTTCAAAGCCAGTTTTACGGTTTTAAAAACTTTCGCTGGAGGTACTGCAAAATTATGGGAAAGTGACACATCACAACTTTTCAAATTACAGGATAACGACAAAAGCCGAGGAATTCTGATTGAAACCGGTTGGGTAGACTGGTCTCCTGCTCACTTCAATGGGAATCATAATAGGACACTGGGAACCAGAATAAACAGCAGTGTATAAAATACTAAATTCAGTTTTAAAATGGAAAATGTAAAATAAAAATTAATGATTTTTACTATTTCACAGAAAGGCCCCCACGGTTACACGTTTAAACGGATTGTTTCAATTTTCATTCGTAAACGTTTATGATATTGTTTACCGTTTAATCGAAATGACCATATTATCTTACAAATATCTTGATCATTGCCTGTAATCATGGATTTTATCAATTCTAATTTGTTTATTCCAAAGTCAAAAATGGAAAATAGGTGTTTACAACCTTCCACACAGCATTACCGTGCAATAATCGCTCGCGACATAATACACTTTTTGTAAATTTGATTTTCCTTTGATCTTTGAAAGAATCAAAAGAGAGAAATGGGGAACATTGGGCTGAAACAATTGTGATGGGCCGAAACAATTGTGATGAGCCTCGAACATTATTATATTTTTGTTTTGTACATGTGTAAGTCATCATCTGGCAACAGGAATACATGGTGTAGTATAGTACATAGAAATACCACCGTTAAAAACGCTATCGTTTCGGTTCTTATTTCTTAACAATCGTGTAAATTACATGGGTGTAAGTAGAAAATTTGGAAAAACCTGAAAACTGTAATTCATAATCATTTTCCTACATAATCTAATAAGAAAACATGATGAAATTTGTCACAAAAAACCTGAAAACTTGCACCCATGTGTAAACATTTACAAAAAAATGTAAACGTGGGAGCCTTATTTCACAGTAAAAGTAAGTGATGAGGCTTTGCCTTTTTCATATTATTACAGTTGATGCTTTTTTAATTTGTTTTTCATTTATAGCTTATAGATGCAAAACAGAGAACAGCATGCTGTTCTATTATTCTACAATACATTCAACAATTTTGAACAGTATGTTAGTTAAAAGTAAAATTATTATTTTTATAAGAATGTTTACTTTAGTTAATTATCTCAGATGGCTAATAATTACATTTATCGTGCTGTATTATTCGCTAATAATTACATTTATCGTGCTGTATTATTCTATTTCAAACAGAGAAGCACATTTCAACATTTTATCATATATTTTCGCGAGCACTAAATTATATTAAATAAAAACATTTCTACCTCTGGATTTTTGAAGTACTCTATTTGTATATCATTTGAAGCCATACTGAATGAATATTCCCCCGTTTTTTATGGTTGAAAATTCAACGGTTTAAATTTCTGGACACCCTGATTAATTTATCAATTTTTACAATGTTTTGATAATTTCCTACAATGTCGCTTAAGACAAATAAAATAATTATCTATTTTCTTTTAATTACACAACACAGTACATCAAGGGTTTGGGTAATTTATTCTACAAAGTGATCTAATATTAACATGGGCTGCTGCGACTTCATTTAAAATCTTCCACATTTATTGAATAAATAATTTCATTGATATAAGCAAATTGCCAAGATGGTTGCCAAACAAAAACTTCCTGGTTTTGTAAACTTGTTATTTTTTTTAAATACACTCCGTTTTTTCAGGTAAATTTCGAAAAGATTTTAGAAGAAGTTTTATTTTTCGACTTGAATTATTTTTATGAAGTTTGACTGAAATTTTTACAATTACAATTGTTAAAAATTATGATTCTATGATATGAAACTTCAGTTCTAAGAATACAAATTTGAATCAGTGGATGAGTCAGAGGAAATATATGTTAAGACAATGCAAATTTTTAATTGATAACATCTCACATACTATCATTTCACCTTCATTCTTCCAAGTATGTGACATGTAAAAAAGATAAGAATGATAAAGTGTCCCTTTCATATTTTATCGAACAGCCCTGGTGAAGTGTCTGATGCGTGAACTGTACTGTAATACAAGACTGTTTATATAAATGTATACATGCCCATGCTTAGAAAGTAGTACATCAGTTCTTGTTTAGAGTTTATCTCTAGTATTCAAACTTGTAGTCATAGAACATACTTGTGTCTCTTATTTCTCATTAGAGTTATACATTGTCTAGTTGTGATATAGATCTACATGACTGTACTGACACACATACAAAGCCACATAGTACATGTATGTCCCTATCAAATTTTATCAAAACAGGGGTGAAGTGTCTGAGGAGTATACTGTCTGTAATTTAATCAGTATAAAGAGTTGATTAAGTGTAACGTGTACCGAGCGGATGTACACAAATATATTATTAATTTTTCTTTGGGCTACCTGCCGTTTGATTAGATACAAATGATTCTTAAATGATCAAATATTATAAACAATCAGCTTGAATTAACACTCCGAAATACACTATTAAATTCTCAAAAAGGCTCAATATAGTAAAGATGATGTTTACAATATAACACTATAAAATTATTGAAAACTATAGATATTACGCTGCAACCCGATAATTTCCTATAGTCCAGCAACTACCTCCCTATCTATGAAGCGAGGCTTCTATTTAGATAGAAAGATAAGTTGCTGGTAGGGATTTACAACAAAGTTCCAACTATACAAAGCTTATTCGTTTTAAATCTACCTCTGGATTTTTAATACCTATATGTTTCCAATTTTCTGATAGCGAGGCTTTCAGGAAATGTGGTGGTCTATAAGTACCCAGAGTCAAATACAATTTCACAACTAAACTATAACGACACTATATCCATGAAGCTAGGCTTCAATTGGATAAACAAGGGTATTTAGTTTTGCCAATTCTTCTTTTCTACCTATGAAGCTAGGCTTCAGTTAGGTGGACGAAATTATCCTCAATGTATGAAGCGAGGCTTCAGTTACACAGAATAACCTGGTCCCGGTGAATTCCTCTGCAGACTAAATAATTTTGATCTAATCGCCGTATTTATACCTGCTGAGATGATCGCTCAAGCATGACTTAATTTTCATTGGCTGATTAGAATGATCACTATCACTGAGACGATTATTATATTATATGATATAAAACGTATATTGAAAATACGTATACTAAACGTATATTGTAAAGTACCGTAAACTAAAATACATTGTCGCAACATAAACAATTAACATAATAGTAAAGTTACACTAAAATCATTTCAGCAAACGATAATCTTTAATAAAATCTAGCTTGGTAAAAATGTCAAAACGTTACACTACCCACGCCTCCATTTTACATGCGCCCCGCATGAACTTACAAAATATGTTTTAAGCTGCCTCTAACAATTAGATTTGGCATACACACACTTCGAATCTCATTTATATTTATATTCCAGAACTATGTATTCTTCTACAGTGCTGTCTTATATAAGCTTTCTTTTTAAATTTCATTCCACAAAAATGACAAATCACGCGGTTACAACCAATCGGACCTTTACAATTTATTTTCATCTTTTTACCATTGGCTGTTAACTGATTATTTGGAACATCTATTACAATATTTCTTGCTGTCATAAAATCTAATCCTAATATTGCATCTCCCTCTATGTCAGAAACTATGAAAGGATTTGTTGAAATTCTATCATTCAATTTAATATCTAAATGTGTTCTTCCTTTTATTTCTAAAGGTTTTCCAGATGCATTTACAATGTTTGTACCAAACGGTTCTAAACTTACTGGAAACTGACATCTATCTATAAAACTTGAAGAAATAATTGAAAATGTTGCACCAGTATCAATTAAACAATTAGCTTTAATGCCATTTATTGTAGCTTCAACAAATAACCCGGAACCACACGAATTAGACGAGTTTTCACAATCTTTCTCCAACAGATTAATTTTTCGTTTCGATCTGCCACTGAACTTTCGACAATTGTATTTATTATGACCTTTCTTACCACACTCATAACAATTCAAACTATTTGTATTTGGCTCATTAGCAAATGTTCTTGAAGACGTTCTATTATTCTGATTTTGCTTTGAAGTATTTCGGTTTCATTTATCAAATGTTTGATAGTTATTTTGGTGTCTAAACATAAATAACATATTCTTCATTTCCTCTACTAATTTTGTCAGGCTATCTAATTTGTCATCTTCACTTTTCAGAAACTCATACTGATCAGAATTTAACTTTCTCATATAACCACGGGTTTCATAGGACTTTTGTTCTGCTCTGTTGAAAGCCTCAAGCTCAACAGCGTGTCTTACTGCTTCATTCAAGCTAGTAGGACGAGCTTGTTTAATTCTAAGCCTCATATCCGCGTTGACCAAAGAATCTATAAATTGTTCTTTCGCTAAAGTTTCTTTCACATCTGATGGTGCTGAAGGGTATGCAAAATTAGTCAAACGTCTTATGTCCTGCCCCATCTCAGATAAAGATTCTGTAGCTTTTTGTCTTCTTTCTCTTAGTTGAGCTCTATATAATTCAGTTTGATTGGGTGGTGAAAACCTTTCTTGTAATGCTAATACAAGTTCATCATAATTCGGTGATTTGCTTGTCAGATTGCCAAATACACCCTGAGCTTGACCTCTTAATAAAACAGATAAATAAAGACCTTTTTCTTTGTTTGTCCATTGATTTATTTCTGAACATGCTTCAAAATGCGCTTTATAGTCTATCCATGAGCTAGTTCCATCATACGTAGCTGGCTTCATCATAACACTTCGTTCTGAATTTGAGTTTATAGGGTCACGTTTTATTTCTGTTGAATTTGAAGTATCCATTTCTATGTTGTTGTGTATGGACTCTGTTTTATTTGCTGGTTGTAATTTTCCCTTTTGAAAAGTAACAAATCGATTTCTCGGATAATTTAAATCAGAGCCACAAGAAGATTCCGTAAACCTTTGTTTTTCAGCTAATTGGGTTAAGACACTTTCTATTTTAAAGGGCTTTTTATCTGGGGTCGGTGGTAATAAACGTCGCCTTCTTTCTGATAGAGGTGTTGCATATTGTCTTGTTAAAAATTTCGGTGTTGACGTTTGTTTGTCTTCATAGTTTGAGTCATATTGATTTTGAAAAGATAACTGCATACTGTCAATCTGTCTTTCAAGTATTGATATTTCATTTTGCAATTTCAAAGCTTCATTTTGGTGCTGCAAATCTCTGAGTTTTTCGTGTAACAAAATAAGCTCATTGCTATTACTAAAATCTTTACTCTCAGCCATTTTTAACAAATATCTATTTTAATATGTGGGGCCAGATAATGGGCCTGTCTAAAACGCGGACGCCTTAAGCGGACAATATAAACATATAGGGAAAACGCTGACAATATAGACAAAGAGGAAAAAAGCGGACGATATAGATATATAGTGTAGACTAATTGGTGATGATTTTGGGCATTGATGAAGTTTATAAAAATGATGTGTAATTGGATTTATACTTTAATATATATAAAAAAATATAATAAATTAGCAAATTGGGAGAAATATTAAAGTAATTTATGATTGAATGTCAATGAATTTTTTATTATATTTATATGACACATTTTCGGAATTTCTAAATATTGAAAACTAATATATGAAACAAATGGATCAAATGAATGTCTTTAGAATTACAATGATGGTACTAAATTGGCAACAGCTGATATGTAATTAAGGATATGTATTTCATTTTGGCATTGTTTTTGTCTGTCTTTATGTGCAGTAGGCGGACAAAATTTTTGTTCGCAAAATAAAAAAAGCCTTGATTTTTCAAAATCAAAAGTTTGTAAGAGTAATTTTTAATTCTAAATTATTGATATAAATAAGTAATGACAGGCTGTTGTTTTTTATTGATACAATATAAGCAGAAGCGTGCTGCAAATTAACGGTAATTATATAAGTGTGAACAACACGCTACTGATTAATCGTGTCGGCACTTAGCTAGAGATAACATGATACGCATTTTGCGGACAATATAGATATATAGGGAAAACGCTGACGATATAGATATAGAGGAAAAAAGCGGACGATATAGAAATTTAGAGTAGACTTAAATATGATGAGGTGGGAATCGATGAACTTTATAGAAATGCTGTATAATAGAATAATATATTCATATACGTAAAACTTAATGGCAAATAAGATAATATTTTTTTTTCAAATTACGAATGATACTAAATTGACCACATTAAAAAAAATAAGGATAAAAACTTTCATTCACATTTGTACAATGATTTTTGGACAAAAACACGCTTATTTATAAATTCATGTTTTTAAGGTAATTTTAAAGTTTAATGGTCGTTGATAAAAAGAAAAAGGCATGCACGTATACTCTTGTGACGGACACGTGTTGCAAATTAACGACAATTAAGTGTCAACAACATGCTACCTGATTGAACCTGTCCGCTCTTTGCCCTATTTTTGCGGACAATATAAATATATAGAGAAAAAGCGGACGATATAAATATAGAGGAAAAAAGCGGGCGCTATAGATATAGTGTAGAATGATGTGTGAGATAAAATCATAATAAAATAGATAATGATAGTGTATAGTAATATTGTGCAGTAACAAAAACGAAGATAAAGAATGAACTTCGTTGCAATTTTATTTAAGCAATATAACACATTCGGTACATGAATTTATTATACACATACAAATAATAATATCAATGTAACAACTTAATATATGTATATAGCTATAAAGAATATAACAATCACATATTTTAACAAAATCCCTTACTTAAGACAACAATATTAAATAGACAATGTAATACACGTTTATAGAGATATTTTTTTATTTATAACAGTTTTCTATTCTCCCGTTCTATACATTTATTTCGTCAGCGTTTTCCTTTTATATCTATATCGTCCGCTTTTTCACTATATGTCTATATTGTCCGCATTTTCTGTAGCGACTTTATTAATTGTACAAGGGTGAGATGTATGATTACTTGAAATATACAAGTGTCGGTGCGTGATTAAGTCAAATACACAGGTGACACGTCGATACTTTAATTAGTTGATTGGTATTTATAGCAGAAAGTTTCTTTTATTTACTTAATGGATAAAATATAAATAAAACTAAAAAATATTATGAAATAAAGAAAGTTAATTGATATAAATTAATTATATACATGGTAGAAGCCAGATATTTTTTTATTTATAACAGTTTTCTATTCTCCCGTTCTATACATTTATTTCGTCAGCGTTTTCCTTTTATATCTATATCGTCCGCTTTTTCACTATATGTCTATATTGTCCGCATTTTCTGTAGCGACTTTATTAATTGTACAAGGGTGAGATGTATGATTACTTGAAATATACAAGTGTCGGTGCGTGATTAAGTCAAATACACAGGTGACACGTCGATACTTTAATTAGTTGATTGGTATTTATAGCAGAAAGTTTCTTTTATCTACTTAATGGATAAAATATAAATAAAACTAAAAAATATTATGAAATAAAGAAAGTTAATTGATATAAATTAATTATATACATGGTAGAAGCCAGATATTTTTTTTATTTATAACAGTTTTCTATTCTCCCGTTCTATACATTTATTTCGTCAGCGTTTTCCTTCTATATCTATATCGTCCGCTTTTTCACTATATGTCTATATTGTCCGCATTTTCTGTAGCGACTTTATTAATTGTACAAGGATGAGATGTATGATTACTTGAAATATACAAGTGTCGGTGCGTGATTAAGTCAAATACACAGGTGACACGTGGATACTTTAATTAGTTGATTGGTATTTATAGCAGAAAGTTTCTTTTATTTACTTAATGGATAAAATATAAATAAAACTAAAAATATTATGAATTAAAGAAAGTTAATTGATTTAAATTAATTATATACATGGTAGAAGCCAGATATTTTTTTTATTCATAACAGATTTCATAACAGTTTTCTATTCTCCTGTTCTATACATTTATATTTCGTCAGCGTTTTCCTTCTATATCTAACTATACATGTATGTCTATATTGTCCGCGTTTTCTTTTTCGACTTGATGAAATATGGTATAAAGTATCAATTTTAATAATGTAACAAAGTCATTCACACTTAATTGTAATGCTTTAAGTTAATTTGCAACACGTGTATTTTCACCGGTAAACGTTAATTTTCAAAAATATACTCATTCGCCCACTATTTCATAATTATATATGTACACAAAAGAAGATTCGGCTAATATGTCAATTAATGTGCAATATAGAAACAAAAGTAAATTACAAATCATAGTAAATTGTATATTTTGAAAAGAATGTCAATCTACACTATATATATCTATATCGTCCGCTTTTTTCCTCTATGTCTATATTGTCAGCGTTTTCCCTATATGTTTATCATGTCCGCGAATTGCGTATGCAAAGTGTTCAAATATATTCAAACTTATTTGTTGTGCCCTTATTCAGTTTTCCGCACGTGACTGTTGCATGTTTTGTACTGTTTAATTAAAAGTTATTAAGTCAATTAACATGAACAAATAAAAAACATAAATTTAAGAATTTGAACAAATAAATAAACTAAAGTCTTTTTTAATTATTATAATAATTACACCTTTCAGAAATTACTTTATAAAAGCCAATTATTAGCCTTTAATATGAATTTAACTATGCTCAGTCATTTTACACTATATATCTATATCGTCCGCTTTTTTCCTCTTTGTCTATATCGTCAGCGTTTTCCCTATATGTTTATATTGTCCGCTTAAGGCGTCCGCGTTTTAGACTGCGCCCCAGATAATGGTGTTTTTATCTATATGATCCCACCGTCCCTGCCACCAATTTTTGTAACGTGTACCGAGCGGATGTACACAAATATATTATTAATTTTTCTTTGGGCTACCTGCCGTTTGATTAGATACAAATGATTCTTAAATGATCAAATATTATTAACAATCAGCTTGAATTAACACTCCGAAATACACTATTAAATTCTCAAAAAGGCTCAATATAGTAAAGATGATGTTTACAATATAACACTATAAAATTATTGAAAACTATAGATATCACGCTGCAACCCGATAATTTCCTATAGTCCAGCAACTACCTCCCTATCTATGAAGCGAGGCTTCTATTTAGATAGAAAGATAAGTTGCTGGTAGGGATTTACAACAAAGTTCCAACTATACAAAGCTTATTCGTTTTAAATCTACCTCTGGATTTTTAATACCTATATGTTACCAATTTTCTGATAGCGAGGCTTTCAGGAAATGTGGTGGTCTATAAGTACCCAGAGTCAAATACAATTTCACAACTAAACTATAACGACACTATATCCATGAAGCTAGGCTTCAATTGGATAAACAAGGGTATTTAGTTTTGCCAATTCTTCTTTTCTACCTATGAAGCTAGGCTTCAGTTAGGTGGACGAAATTATCCTCAATGTATGAAGCGAGGCTTCAGTTACACAGAATAACCTGCTCCCTGTGAATTCCTCTGCAGACTGAATAATTTTGATCTAATCGCCGTATTTATACCTGCAGAGATGATCGCTCAAGCATGACTTAATTTTCATTGGCTGATTAGAATGATCACTATCACTGAGACGATTATTATATTATATGATATAAAACGTATATTGAAAATACGTATACCACGGATTTATATTACAATATAATTGTAATATAAATCCGTGCGTATACTAAACGTATATTGTAAAGTACTGTAAACTAAAATACATTGTCGCAACATAAACAATTAACATAATAGTAAAGTTACACTAAAATCATTTCAGCAAACGATAATCTTTAATAAAATCTAGCTAGTAAAAATGTCAAAACGTTACATAAGGACCCATTCACAATTAAGAACGGTCCTTAACAATTTTATCAGTGTTTTTTTTTTTCACCAAAATAGTCGACAAAATTTTACCCCCTCTAAAAAGTATGTTTTTTTCCTCCTCAAAGCCATATTTTTCCTCCTGGGCCCATACTGCAGCGCTAATTTGCCTGAAATGAATAACATTTTTTGCAACTAACTGCCAAAATTTTTTCATGTTATGCCTGTATGACTTAAATTCTGCTGTGGATATTTAAGAAAAAGCCATGTATTTTAAACTTGTGTTGCAAGAGTTGCTCCCCTTTTCTACGGGAAAGAAAACAATATCGCACAACCGTAAATTTTACAGGAAAAAACTTTCTTCAGTGAATAGTTGCAAAAAATTTGATATTCTGGATTCTTTTTCATTTCTCCTCATTTGTAAAGAAATAAAATTCCCCCTCCTATTGCATTTTCCCCCTCTAAAGGGCACCGACCCCTTTCCCATAAAAGTGAGGAAAAAAACACTGTTTATGAATGAGTCTGACAAACTTGTTCACAATTTTCTGCAAAAAATTTACAAACTACATAAAGTTAGCTTACAGTATCATTGGTTTTTCCTAATTTGTTTATAATGGTGATTAAAATATCAATTTGCAGTTGTGTTGTTGTATTGTTTAATATATGTTATGTTACTGCCGATATATGATTGTACATGTATTCAAATTGAAAGCTGAATTGATTAACATTTAAATGGCAGATTTTTAATAAAAGTTAAATTGAGTAAATGCCAGAATTAGCAAAAACATATTCTTATCCAGGTTCGTTCAAATTTATATAACCCTGTCTGATACGCTGTATGGGAATTTTGTATGAAAGTCAATAACGGTAAAATCGTGTTGTTTCCATTAACTTTCTGTTAATTAAGATTTCTCCAATAAATGAGAAACATACGACATCTCTGTTATTTTTTACACAGTAGTGTTTGAAATTATTTTTTGTCCAATAGGATTGCAGTATTTCAAATGAATTGTTACACATTTACTTCGGTAAATTGTCAAACTGAAATCAGTCTAGTAAGACGACTGTTTATAGAAACAATTTTAAACACTAAGCCGGTTAAAATTTATTAGTACATATTTACAAAATTAAATTGATTTGTGCCTGACCAATTTAATTTTGTAAATACATTTCCTATACTTATATTGCACCAACAGTATACATGTAAAATGTTGAGGAACAAAATATTTTAATATTCTACTATTTTATGTAGACTTTAACAATTTAACAATGACTTTATTATTATGCTTTTCACTTTTAAGGAAATAAAAACATTTTTCTTTCATTCAGGTTACAGGCTTCAAATTAGTCTTTTTCAAAATTCATACAATTGTAACTTTTTATACTACATGCAGCAGATTTATTGCACATAAAATGATGGTTTCTAATTTCATTTCTCAATTTCTTGCTGATTGCTGAGTGAATTAAACATTAACAAAACTCTGGTACAGTATTATTTGCCGTATAAAATTCTTATATAATAGTTTATCATTAATTTTATAAACATAGTTCTGAAAGAGAATTTGACATACTAGTAGGGCAAATACTTAATCCTTTTCAAACCCTCATAAATATACATGTTTTATACAATTGTAATAACTATATAGTCTTCTTTAAGTACAGAATTAAAGTGTGCTAAGATCTGCAACTCGGAATGTATTGCAACTTGGATGTTACTGGAATGGCCAACCATTCTATTCTATGAGGGAAAATCCAAGTACTTACTAGTAACCATGTACATGTAAGTTTAGTAAAAAGATAAATGAATTGTTTTAATCATTATATTTCAGTTTATACTGTGAAGCATCGTCTGATCAAGTACAATATTGTTGGTCAGGTACAGAAGATGACATATCTGCCTGGATGAATCTCACATGCTCAACAAACCAGTCAAACTTACCAAACCTTGTCTCATCAAAAGCCCTACCAACAACAAATCAAACAAGTCATGACACTACGACAATGTTACCACAGAAGAAATATTATTGTATGGCATTTCAGTACAATGAGACAACTGAGAACTCTAGCACTGGGGAAAAGGTTGTAAAGTTTATGGCTGATTATTCATGTGACATGGAGAATTTATGTGATGGTAGGAGTATGTACTCGGGGTACACGGTATGTTAAAATAAGGATTGACCTCTCTGTGTGAAAATGTTTCATTGCATGCTTAGATTTCTGACGTATAACAGTGAATTATATTTTAATAATACAATGTAATACATTGAACTTACATGTAAGAAAAATCACTGAAGCAGAACAAATGTTATACTTTTTATATGCTTGTGTACACCAGGCCTTTCTGTTTGAGCTCTGCCGCGGATCTCAGGATTTACTGTGGTCAGTGTTGATTCTGTGCTGGTTTTTGACCAGTCAAATGCCTATGATCTGAGTTTGAGCTCAAAATATTTAAACTTCCTGGCTTCAAAATATTTTAACTTCCAACCCAGTTGTTACTTATTTGATTATGACTATATCACTCATGAAGACATTGCATTCTGGTGTCTGGTCTTTATCTTAGTTACACTGGCACAAACAAGTTTCTATATATTTACTTGTACAGTCATATAAGTAATATAGACTACATGGTGCATTTATTTCAGATCTTCTCTGACAAAAGACAGAGGGAGGGGCATCTATATTGTTGTGACTCCGGTAACAACTGTAATACACATATGTTGGTGTATAAGAGAATAAATCAACACACATGCTACATTGGTGATCGTAACACTTTCAGTCGTTAGTTATACTTATTATAACACTGTTATCATTACTATATTAAATATTGCCAAGATGTTCCAATCCCATTGTGGCTTAGGTGTTGTCTTTAAGGGTTGAGGTATCAGAATTGAAGATACTATTAATCCCTGCGTGATTGTAAGAGGTGACTAAATGGGTTCGAATTACAGAAATCTATGCATCCCTTAGCTCCAGCAGGTGAGGTGGTTTTGACCCCTGGTGTAATTTATTGCTTAAAGTTTGTAACACCAAAATCTGACATCTTATCATATAACTTATTAAATCTAGAATTTAAGCAAATGTTAACATTGATATATAAGATACATATATTATTGTTGATACATGTTATAGGTAATTTGATTCCAAACTATTCTTTCCACCCAATCATATCTTTATTATCATCGTCCATAGAATATGTGGCGGTCAAGGGCATCCCCCTTGACACTTTACATTATAATCAATATTTATATCATTATATGGTAAGTACAATGATGTAGTCAGTACCATTTTTCCTATAATAATATCTATACATAAATACTATAGCTTAGCAGCATACCGTACATACCCACTTGTAAGACGCAGTTTTGGTCATGAATATTTTGACAAAAAGTTATAACCTCGTCTTATAAGTGCAGTCTTCTGAGTGGTGTTTGAAGAAATTATGCACCTGGTGAATTTTAGATCGTAGCTGGTCATTCCCAGTCACCAGCAATCGCTCACCATCTACGCTCGGTGAAGCATAATTCCAAATTGATTGTCTCAGTACCATGTGTACAGTGGAAATCAATGCATTGTGTAATTTTAGTGTTACACACATGAAAAAAAAATAGTAAAATTAATTTTTTTTTTAAAGTTTGCACTTATGATAAAAACTTTTACTAAAATTTTTCTGGCTTAGATCAGCATACCAGTTTTTCCAGATTTGCTTCAAATTTTTTACAATTTAATCAAAATTTATTTATTTTTCAGTAAGTATAGATCACTGCCCACATCAGAAAACACATTGTGTGAAAACCGTGGTGAAACAGACATCTAACCAATCTCCAGACATTGAAACTATACAAGAATCATATACTTGTGATATCAATAATAAAATCTGCAGTGAACTAACTGAAGCGGAAAACCATAGCTGTAAAGAAACCAAGGTATAATTTTTCTGGTCCTTGAATAAATCATACTGCCTAGTGAAGTTGGACTTTTTTTAATTTTAACATAGTTATTTTACAATATTACCGTTGTTTTTTTATTAATCTATGGTGGTTAACTAAAATGTTTGTTTTCTTTCTTTTTTTGTCCTGACATCGCCTTTTCATCGATATCTTTAGTAGATACCAATTTAAATGAAACATCATCCCACCCATCCCTGGTGAAGTGTGGGGCATGTGCCATGTTTTTACCTTTTGATTTGGTTTAAACATATTTATTCAACATAACATTTTTAACAAGTGAACAATATTTACAAAATACATTTTGGGATGGAGCTTATATCTATATATCTTATATCTGGATATTTTGATAACTCCTCACACTGCTTGGTTAGTGTGATTGTTTTGTTTTGGAACCAAAATGGCTAAAGATATGTCAAAATCACAGTGGCAGGGATGAAAGCAAAGATTTAATCATCAGACTCACTACAATTGGGACCTTAAAAAATTGAATTGAAAATAAGAGCTAAACCCCTACTTTTTCCCCACGTATGAGGCTATGATAACTGTTGATTACTCCAGTGTTAGATATTTCTTCTCTGTTATAAGACATTGTGTTACTACAGTAACCTATTATGAGATAAAATTCAAGGTTAAAGTTGCTATTGGCCCTGTTAGATTGTATGAAGTTGGTTCAAGATTGGTAAAGAAAATTAAAGCAGAAGTTTACTCTGTTCAAGATCAAATTTGTATGAATACGGTTCTTAAAATAGGTTTTGAATTGTAGACATAAATCATGTATATGGATTAATTGTTAAAAGAGATATAATCAAGGTTTGGTATTTTGAATATAAATATATCACCATTCAGAAAGCTGTGGTCACTGAGTATTTTTTGTTTCTTTTTGCAGACATCTTTAGCTAATGGTACAACTTTTGAGAAGACCGTTTGTTGTTGTAAGGGAGATAATTGCTACAAGCCACCATGGGCGGATGGTGTTATACCACGAGGTGTGACTAACAAACACTCCATGCAGAATACATGGCAGAGAACTATGCTTATAATTATAGGAGTTGCTCTAGGTATCCTGGTTGTAGGTAAGTGTAACATTAAAATACTAACATGTCTCTCCTGGTGAACTGGGTACGAATATGGCTCATGCTGTTATACTTGGTTTGTATTGCATATCACTTATCAATATAAAAATATCCATTACTGTTTTCGTTCACCTTTTAATAAACTGATTTTGGCAGGGAGTTTTCAATGTAATTTGGGGAATTTAAAAGTCAGACATTGGGAAATTTGTCGTCTACATGTATTTTTTATTAGGAACAGTGCTATTTTATGGTATCAGTTATATATGGGGAAAAAATGCTACAGTTGAATATCTATAATCAGATTATATGTTATTAGTGTCATATGAACATTGCATTTTATACAGGTGTGACATTATTCTTTGTAAGAAGATCCATACAGGGTGAGGGAAAATCAGAGAGTCCGAGTAAACAGTACAATACAGCGTACCGAAGTATGACGATGGAGAATGGTGTAGATACAGATGATAGAGTACAAATATTGGCCACGTGATGTAAAACTATACAAAATGGGTGATAAGTGATGTATAACTATACAGAATGGGTGATAAGTGGTGTAAAACTATACAGAATGAGTGATAATGTGATGTAAAACTATACAGAATGGGTGATAATGTTATGTAAAACTATACAGAATGGGTGATAAATGATGTAAAACTATACAGAATGGGTGATATCATGATGTAAAACTATACAGAATGGGTGATAATGTGATGTAAAACTATACAGAATGGGTGATAAATAATGTAAAACTATACAGAATGGGTGATAAGTGATGATTAACTATACAGAATGGGTGATAATGTGATGTAAAACTATACAAAAACATGCATGTGGTTGTATTGTATGATAGATACATTATTTTACAAGTTAGTCACAAATGTATCATCATAGAACTAGTTAAGGTTGTGAAACTTTACAATATTTTCATGGTGAAGTTTGATAACTGATAATCACGATGTACATGTGTCTTATCGCAAATGTTATAACGTAAACATACTTATTACACAAAAAGGGTATTGAAGAAAAACAGTACATTGAGGAATGTCTAAGAATGATATATAAACTGTAAGTGTGAATGGATATAAGTGTTCTTATTGCCAAGTTTGAGTTTAGTTGTAGGAAAATATCACTTAAGTGTCTTTGTAAGAATCACCAAAAATGAAATCTGTTTGTTGAGTTTAAGTTCTTTTATACTTGTACATAGATTTGTTTTATAAATACATAGTTATATATGAGCAGCGTCACGACAAAACCAACATAATGGGTTTGCTACCAGCTTGGATCCAGACCAGCCTGCGCATCCACGCAGTCTGATCAAGAGCCATGCTGTTTGCTATCAGATTCTCTACTTGTTATAGGGTTTGTTAGCGAACAGCATGGATCCCGATCAGACTGCGCGGATGCGCAGGCTGGTCTGGATCCATGCTGGTCACAAACCCATTATGTTGGTTTTGTCGTGACGCGGCTCATATTATGATAGTTACATGGAAGTATTTGAAAAATAACTTACCTTGTATTATTATTTCTATACAATATTGTTTTCTCATTGTTGTCTCCACAGCTGAAGATAGTACATAATAAATTGATAATTTTTAGATAAAGATAAGCAGAACTACATAATCAGGCTTCTAAGTTTAAAGTTATTAGTTTTCTTTATAACATGCTTTTCGGTGGTTTATAGAAATATATCAGTGAAATAAAAACTGATAATTTCACTGTTTTAAACAGTGAATTGATAATTTCACTGTTTTGAATATTTGAGCCTGTTACGTTGTTTCAGTGAAATACAAGCATTCACAGTACTGGAAACCAACTTAATGACGTCACGTCGTAAATGACGTCACATTGTATTATTATTTGGCGCCCTTTTCAACTAGTACTAGGTTAAAATGTCTTTTAAAACGTTTCTTTGCATATAATAAAAAGAAAATTTGTTTAGTTTAATGTCAGATCGAAATATATTTCACGTCGTGAACACCAAAAGTTCATATTTCAGTGAAATATACCTTTTGGTGCTCACATGATGAAATATATTCCGATCTTACTGAGACTGAACTAAACAAATATCCTCTATGTTACGTATTTAAGTGGGAAAATTAAGTATAAAATAGCAATCATATTTGTTTTGAAATAAGTCAATTTTCGTTCTAAATATTAAGTCCAAATCATATTTAATGGTAGACTGTTGCTTTTTTGTGTTGTTTTTTTTTTTTGTCATTTTTTTTTTTCAAAATTCATACTTTTTTATTTTCTTATCTAATTTTTTTAAACATAAATAAAGGAAATTTTGTTGATACTTAAACAATTTGCCAATTTTATACATATCCTAAAAAGAATTTATAATATACACTGCACTTTAAAAATCAAAAACGAACTCATTACAACGAAATCAAAGTCAATTTTCTGTAACTTTATTACAGGTAATCTTAAACTTTTCCACATGTGCTATTTTATCTTAACCGTCGGGAATTTAAAGTGATTAAGCCTTTGTCACCATTTTCGAGCTAAGCGGCAGCTGTAAAGTCTGTATTTCCATGCAGTCTGGTGAGGCTCTATAATGTTGGCCAACCAAATAAAAATGTTCATCTTGATATCCCTTAAGAACATAATGGACACTTCCAAAATTAGAGCTGGACAAGTGCATTTTAAAAAATTCAACTATGTCAACTTTGTAGCTTTAAAATTTGAACTATCCATTGTCATAAATTAGGGATGTCAATACGTAATTACTTTTAGATACTTGAACATAGCCAGCATAACATCTACTGCAAAATCATTAATATTCGGGGGGTACTTTATGGGTAGATCAATCAACAAATTCTTTCAAGGATCCAACATTATATGTTATTTTGGTTTTGAAGTGATATATGTGGATATATTACCTGCTAAGATTTTATATCACCCGAGCCGTTAGGCGAGGGTGATATTTTATCTTGGCAGGTAATATATCCACATATATCACTCCAAAACCAAAATAATAATTTTATTACCCTTCCCCTGCCGAGTTTAAACGATTTTTTAAAAAATCATTGCTGTTTCAAATGAAACGTCGAAATAAGATTCCCTTTAGGGTACCTCTTCATCACAACATGACGTCACATAAATACATGACGTATTTTCCCGTACCTAATGAATGTAAACAAGAGAAAAGGAGTAGTCTATTGAAAGCACTTTTTTGTAATTAATATCAAGCTTTCACAAGGTCATATTTGTTTTCAATACTGATGGGAATTTGCATCATTACTCTACTTTGGTAAATATTTATCATTTGACAGTTAAAAAGTGCTTGTAAATCGGAATTTACACTGCGTAAAATCGAACCGTACGCGCATCACCTCAGCGCATGTCGTTTACAACGTTGGGTACCCAACGGGGACATTTAATGTGTATATTACCCGTCTGGCTCGGTTATATCAATTTCTTTCGGGTGATCAATATCCAATCAAAAAGGCGGAAAATATCTGGAAGGGTAATAAAATTTTATTTCTTGGGCTCTAAGATTATTTTTGTAAACTTATTTGTGTTTTACTCTTTTATTTTTTTTTAAAGAAAAATAGAGGGGGGAGGTGAGGGGGGGGTTCTAGCATTGATAATGACCTTTATGATCTTACTGGGAGGTCAGTGTAGAGCCACCACGGTTAGCCTTGTGTATCTGTGCAGCCTGACATGTCCATATTGTTGACTGTGCAAATTTTAATAGTTAGATATAGAATCATTGGTAGGTCTGAATACACAGTAGGACACTAGGGTTAGTTACTAAGTCCTGGTTTTTTGTTACGTACATATTTCTATAAATAGATTGACGTTTTATATTTTATGTAAGTTTTTACTACATGTATAGGTCTGTGTCTAATGATGTGTAGATTTGTCAAAAAAAAAAATTGTGGGGTGTTTATTTTTCTTTATTTTTTTATGATTTTTTTATTATTATTTTTTGGTCTATTACATGTTTTTTGTAATATCTTTTATTTCAATTGAAGTTTTTAAATATTTTTAAGTATTAGCAAATTAAGGTACATATATGAATTTAAAACAAACTGTCTTTAATTGTGAAGAGACAGTGGTTTGTGATATGTCTAACACACTTTTGTAAACATGTTTTTGATCATTTTTGGGTAAGAAAGTTTTTAAAAAATATTGGCATTAAGGAAAAAAACAACAGCTGGGCATAAACATTATTAAAAATCAGTCAGAAATAAACTGTGATAATTTGCACGCATATTTATCGTAATAATATACATGTGTATCTCATAAATGTAGCTTTAATATTTCTATTAACACCCCCTTTCAAAGAAAATCGGGTATATTGTTTTGCCACTGTAGGTAAATCAAGTTCTTTTGCACTCAATAACTAGAGAACCGTTTGACCGATAGCCTTGAAACTTCATAGGATGGTCAGCCACATTGAGTACCAGACTCTTAGTGGTTTTGGGCTCTGATGCATGAAGGTCAAGGTCACAGTGACCCAGCTGAAATACCAGGGTGTGGTAAAATATAAATAATTGTTAGGTTATTAAAACGAAAAAAAAAACATGCATAATGTAATATTGATTTTAAAACTTAGTGTAATAAAAAGATTTTCTTGTTTGTTTGAAATTAAGAAGTAGAATTATAATTGAATAAGGACAGTCATTTTAGATATTGTCATTCTGGGGGGATTTGATTGACAGCTTAACTCTCCAAATATATGAATATTTTATGTGATAGGGGGGGAATTTTACTTGATTGGTAAAATAACTACATGTTCTTGACAGACAAGCATAATTTATTAAACTTTATAATATTCTAATTGTTGGGAAAACGTTTTGCTACTGGTGAATTTATTTAATTTCATTATCTTTTGTGTAATATATCAGATCTACAGAGAACCAGTTATTTGCAAAGGATTAGATACTATGTGAAAATGAAAATATTTAATGTGTGTTTTAATCAATAATTTTAATTTTTTTGTACCTTATTGCACCAGAAATTATTATAATTGTTAAAAGTATCATAAACCTACAATTCTGAAAAAAAAAAAGTTTGTACTTTGTTAATATATACCATTATATACGTGTTAACATATTTTTTTGTGATTTTCAAAACAATTACTGATTCGTACTGCAAATAAAATGTATGGGGATAGGGGATTAATGTGTCATTTTGACATTTCTTGCATGATTATGCAATGAAGGTTGTGTAGATATGTGTATAATGTATTGAAAATATGTTTGTTCATATGTGATGTTTGTGTGTTAAGAGTATTAAAAAATTTTTTTTAGTATTTCGTGATTTTTTTCACATTCCACATCTCGTATTGCTGGAGTTGTGATGGTCACAAATGTGGTTTTACTTTATCATTATACAACTACTGTTGTCGAAAATAATACATATGAGCTGCGTCACGACAAAACCAACTTAGTGCGTTTGCGACCAGCATGGATCCAGACCAGCCTGCGCATCCACGCAGTCTGATCAGGATCCATGCTGTTCGCCATCAGTTTCTCTACTTGTTATAGGGTTTGTAAGCGAATAGCATGGATCCTGATCAGCCTGCGCGGATGCACAGGCTGGTCTGGATCCATTTTGGTTGCAAACGCACTATGTTGGTTTTGTCATGGCGCGGCTCGTATAGTTTTCTCTAGGTCTTCTTTATGCATTTTACACAAGGTGTGTAATAGAAGGATAATTCATGATTGTGCTATCCTGGGAGATTGTATCACTCTAGTTTATTGGGCAATGTTGTTTTTTCATTTGACCTGTGCAGTCATAAGAATACAACTTTGTATAATCAAATTGAATTATACAATAAAAAATGATAATACTCTTATGTATAATAAGGAGTTATGTTTTACTTGCACATTTAATTATTTGTCTATCTGTACCAGTGTGTTGTTTTATTTTTGTGATAAAATTGTGTTTAAAAAAATTTTCTTTAGTGTTGTTAAAGTATTAACAAATATCTAACTGTGTTACATTACTTTGGGGGCAGTACATGTTTACATTGTTTTGTTTGGAAGAAAAAGTCCAGCTGTTATTATGACGTCTTCGTCGTCCTTGCCATTGTCATGGTGCAAAAATTTTATGTAGCCCACTTATACTCTTACAATTTTAAAGGTATCAATGTAAATCTTGGAATGCTTGCTAGTTAATCAAGGGACATTGTTCTGAAGGCTTTACTTTTGGAGTTACATGCCTTTTCAACTAAGAAATTTTGTTAAAACTAAGGCTTACGAAGCTTAATATCTTTTAAGAGACTTGTTCATCTTCCAATACAGTCTAGACCATTTATTATTTTTAGGGAAGAATTCAAAATAAATAAATGAATAGGGTACATTATTGAGCATAATTAGTAGGTAAATATTTGCCCACTGATCTTGGTCGGTACTTGTCACATGGTTAGAATCTGCTGTCGACAGCAGGCAACAGGTTGATACATGTATATTATTAGTTATAAAGATTCTTGACAGTTTATATGACCCTATGTAAATTGGCTGTTTGCATATATAACTCAAACCACTAGGGTTATATTTTAAAACAACAATTTATATACGGACATATAACCTGTCAGGAAAGTTTATAACAATTTTATAATACATTGTACAAAAAACTCCATTTTTGAGAGAGAAAAATTGAGATTTCTCTATAAATTGACTGCAGTCATGTACGTGTGCATGAAACTATAGAAATGTCACAATTGTCCAATAAAAAGCGATGTTACAAATAAGCAGTATGACAGTAAAATTTATATCACATTGGGATTATACAGACAGTCACTAAAATATCAGTATTTGCAACAATATTCAGCTTTATATCTGTCCAACAGCATACATGTTTTAGTGTATATATTTTAAGAATCATTAGTTTTAGAATCATTTTTTTGCATAGCTTTAATTGGTATGTATAATAAAAGCCTTTAACCATAGAATTCAAAAACTTTTAGCAAGTTATAAAATCAAAAATTTATGCAATGACAGTGTTTTATGTATGTTTATTGTTAAATGTTATTGTTTTTGTTTTCTAATATGAGTATAAATGATTACTTTAGATGAAGTTTAAGCAATGGTTATGATCTTGAAGTAGAGTATTTAGAGCTTGATTTGAAAGAACACTTAAAACGGGCATTGAGTAAAAAATGAGGTGGCTATTTTACATTTTAGAGATATGCTTATTTTTTTATGCTTATTTTTGTACACATTGTTGAATTGTACATTTGTTAAATTTAGTTTTATCAGTAGTATTAGACTAATTTTAGTACAACTCCTGAATGCAATGTTTAAGAAACATTCTGTAATACTAGTACATGTATATCATTTTGTGAAAATACAATGCACATGTACAGTGCAACCTTTGCAGAGTGACCCCCTGTAGAGCAATCACCTCTATACAACAACAGGAGAATTAAATCTACCCAAGCTTAGATTTAACGCTGAACACTTCAACTTCTCTAGACCAACACCTCTCCGAAACAACCAAAATTTTTGCCTCCCAAACGGTGTCTTTCTGAAGAGGTTTCACTGTAGTTTCAAATGTACTTTATATATAAACATGTATATATGTTACAATTATATAAAAGTTATATTGTTGGTTTGTTTTATGTAAACGTCTTTGTTAATGTAGCTCAATGTTAATGAAATCCATGCTGTTACTGATACATGTTGAAAATCAATAGTTCCTTTTATCCCTTGCATAACGCTTTGAAATTGCTTGTTAAGGTTTTCCATGCAGGTTCTATTCATACACCTGTGGAAGGTGTTCACTTAAATGTATTTTTTGCATGAGGATATTCACTTCTTCTCAAATAATAAATTTTTTCAGTTATAAAAAAAAAGCTGATTTTATGACTTGTTACACTTTGGTATGGGGTGAAATGTGTCATGTGTTAATTTCAGTATTAAATCTTGCTTCACTTCTTCTGTGACTTTTCGTAAATTGAAAATTTTCTTTATCCTGTTTTAACTAACTAATCATTACATTTTTCATTGTTTTTTTGGTAAAAATTCATTCGATTTTCATTCTATGATTTAATGAATTTGGTTTATCATGGTATTTTCATAACCGTCCAAGAATATTTTGATAAGGCTGCTGATAACAAGGTTACCAAATATTCCAAGCTACTGTTCTAAAACTGTTTTGCTTATATTATCAGATAGTACATAATTATTCGTGTAAAAACCTGATATACAGGTGTTTCTATTATACATGTAATTATGTTATGTAGTAAAAAACACTTGACTTAAGAGGTATCCCTTTTTTAGAGAGAAATCAGGTTTTGTCTTCGCTGTAAAAAAAACGATGTTAACTGTTTAACATAAGAGTACAAATTGTTATTAATATATTTATCATATATATAAGGGGGGGGGGGTGTACCTAGCCTAGTTGACTTCAAGCCACTTGCCCCTCACTTCTGTAGGTTTGAATCCCGCCAGTGACTTAAGATTCTTTCATGTGAGGAAGTTGTCAAGTGCAGCTATCTAACAGAACGTCCGTGGTTCTACTCAGGTGTTCATTTGTGCCTGAAATAATGCACAGAAGGGAACCTGAGGTCTTCCTCCAGTAGTAAACATGGAAAGTCGCCATATGACTTGAACATTGTAGGTATGTGTGGGGGGAATGATAGCATTATAAGACTTAATGGCCCTTTGATATTATAATATTTTGGATAGATATCATTTTGTTTGACTGCAGTGCTCATTTTTGTGGGCTTTGTAGCGTGATAATGCTCTAAGGTAAATAATACTAAGTAGCTTCAATCAATTGATCTGTGTCATTTGGCAAGGATATCAATAAAATGAATGTTCCATCTCAAATATAATTATGTTGTATTACACTTGTATTTGATATGATAAGATTTGATAGACTGTGAGATCTTTAACCCCAAAAGAAGTATTGATTAAGATTGGTTTATATTGAAATGCAAAGTGTGAATTTGATTGGGTTTTTTTTCTTCATGAAAATAGGATTAAATATACAGTATGTATAGAATTTTATTTTTTTGCCTTTGATGTAAAAAATTAAGATTGGAAATTGGTTTGAAAGAACAAACAAATATATTGTGAGAGGTTATAGAATATCATTACGGATGCACTGTGTAACATAGTTTCACTGTAGACATTTAGTGGAAGAAAACACTCTAAAAAGTTGTTACTATCAAAGTATTTCATGTTTTTTTATTTGCCTTAAACCTCAGTTTTGTTCGTCTGATGAAATTTTCTACGCTGCATAAGGAAAATGTAAAAAAAAGTTATTGACAATTTTATAATACAGTAGGTTTAATGCATCTTGGTGATTGAATGGAAAGGGCAAAAATGTAATTTGATATATTTCTTTTGAGCATGAACACATTAGTGAAAAAGATTGTATTGAACGAAATTAATCATGAAAATTAATATGTGATATTTTATCAAAGCATGTATTGTTGAAAAATGTATTTAAGAATTAATACTATTCAAGTTTTAATTAAGAAATAAATGTCATATTATTAAAGATCTAAGAATTTTAATTTGAAAAAAAAAATGAATGTGCTTTACAACAGCTTTGTTAGGCAAAGTGAATATAAATTTGTTAAGGGTTTAACAGTTTACAAGTAAATACTCTATAATTTTCTTGAATATTTTACTATCACAATTACAATTACAGGTTTATTCTAAAATAAAAATTCAATATTATATAGTATGCATAATTTTTAAATAGAACTGTGTAAAAAAGGGAAATTAACTAGTTTATAATCAGATAATTTATTCTGTAATTAAAACTATTCATTGACAGAATCTCAAATTTCACATACTTGTTGAGTCTCATAATTTTACTTTAAAGGTACATAATGCCTCAGAAATCCATATTAATTAAATTCTTTAGAAATGTCAAACATGTGTTAAATAATGTTTTATTTGTGAATTTAGATTATGTTAGATGTTCAACAGCTTGAGAAAGTAGAACTGAATGTGCAGTAATGTGCCGTAAAAGTAGCAAAATGTAAACAAACTAGTATTTTGACATACAAAATATCAATTTACTATAATTTTACGAATTGCCAACAAAGCAAAGATAGTTTATCTTTATGGCAAATGAATATTTTTTAAAATCTTTAACAAAGAAAAAAAATGATAGCATTTCTGAGGCACAATGGGCTTTAAAAGGCAATTTACCATTGATGTAAAATAATTTAACTGTCCTGACAATGTATATGTCTTAAAATAAGATTCTGACTATGGGACACATGTCATTTTTTCATATTTTTTTTAACATGAATAAAATATAGCCTTATACTTCTTATAATTTTAATATCAATATTATGAAAAGTAAAGTTATGTATCAGCAAAGTTTCCTCCAAATATTTACTTTAAAAATTATAATTCACGGCAGTCTGAAGCAACTCTTGTGTATGTCAAGAGCTTTAAAATTTTCATAAGATTAGAACGGCCAGGTTGTAAAAAAGGGTGTCCATTTTCATTTTGTTTTTCTCTTCATTTACACAAATCAATTTCATTTTACAGATATGTCCCTTTAAAGTTATAAAAAAACATACCGGTTATAGTTCATAAGTGTGTATTCTATGTGTTAATTACATGTGATGTGAAGGTCAGGTAGGAACTGACTGGCCAGACTTTGTTGTGCCTGATTGTTCTTGTATATATTGTTAATTGGTTGTATCAAAATTGTATGTGTTATATGTTAAGGAGAAGATGTCATTAATTATATATATATTTCTATGTTTTATTGTGACAAATTAATATGCTTGAAAATAAATGTTATAACTGTATGGTTTTACTTTGTAATTTTTTAGCCCAGTTTTGAAGCTACATGTATTTATAGAACTCTTTTACCCTCACATCTTGCAATCTAGTCAAAACCATAAAACATCTGTAGGGGAAGTTTCAAAATATAGACTGAATAGAAAACAATGCCGACCATGATCAGTCAGGGCAGATATAGTTAACAATGCAGATATAGTTAAAATGCAGATATAGTTAACAATGCCGACCATGATCAGTCAGGGCAGATATAGTTAACAATGCCGACCATGATCAGTCAGCGCAGATATAGTTAACAATGCAGATATAGTTTAAAATGCCGACCATGATCAGTCAGCGCAGATATAGTTAACAAGTTAAAGTCAATGCAGATATAGTTAACAATGCAGACCATGACCAGTCAGGGCAGATATAGTTAACAATGCAGATATAGTTAAAATGCAGATATAGTTAACAATGCAGACCATGACAAGTCAGCGCAGATAAAGTTAACAATGCAGACCAAGATCAGTCAGGGCAGATATAGTTAACAATGCAGACCATGACAAGTCAGCGCAGATAAAGTTAACAATGCAGCAGATATAGTTAGTTAACAATGCAGACCATGATCAATCAGCGATGATATAGTTAACAATGCAGATATAGTTTACAGAGCAGATATAGTTAAAATGCAGATATAGTTTAAAATGCCGACCATGATCAGTCAGAGCAGATATAGTTAACGATGCAGACCATGACAAGTCAGAGCAGATATAGTTTACAATGCAGATATAGTTTACAATGCAGATATAGTTAACGATGCAGACCATGATCAGTCAGGGCAGATATAGTTAACAATGCAGATATAGTTTACAATACAGATATAGTTTAAAATGCCGACCATGATCAGTCAGAGCAGATATAGTTAACGATGCAGACCATGACAAGTCAGGGCAGATATAGTTAACAATGCAGATATTGTTTAAAATGCAGATATAGTTAACAATGCAGACCATGACCAGTCAGGGCTGATATAGTTAACAATGAAGACCATGACCAGTCAGGGCAGATATAGTTAACAATGCAGATATAGTTAAAATGCAGATATAGTTAACAATGTAGACATGACCAGTCAGGGCAGATATAGTTAACAATGAAGACCATGACCAGTCAGGACAGATATAGTTAACAATGCAGACCATGACCAGTCAGGGCAGATATAGTTAACAATGAAGACCATGACAAGTCAGGACAGATATAGTTAACAATGCAGACCATGACCAGTCAGGGCAGATATAGTTAACAATGAAGACCATGACAGTCAGGACATATATAGTTAACAATGCAGATCATGACCAGTCAGGGCAGATATAGTTAACAATGAAGACCATGACCAGTCAGGACAGATATAGTTAACAATGCAGACCATGACCAGTCAGGGCAGATATAGTTAACAATGAAGACCATGACCAGTCAGGACAGATATAGTTAACAATGCAGACCATGACCAGTCAGGGCAGATATAGTTAACAATGAAGACCATGACCAGTCAGGACAGATATAGTTAACAATGCAGACCATGACCAGTCAGGGCAGATATAGTTAACAATGAAGACCATGACCAGTCAGGACAGATATAGTTAACAATGCAGACCATGACCAGTCAGGGCAGATATAGTTAACAATGAAGACCATGACCAGTCAGGGCAGATATAGTTTAAAATGCTGACCATTACCAGTCAGGGCAGATATAGTTTAAAATGCTGACCATGACCAGTCAGGACAGATATAGTTTAAAATGCTGACCATGACCAGTCAGGGCAGATATAGTTTAAAATGCTGACCATGACCAGTCAGGCAGATATAGTTAACAATGCAGACCATGACCAGTCAGGGCAGATATAGTTAACAATGAAGACCATGAACAGTCAGAGCAGATATAATTAACAATGAAGACCATGAACAGTCAGGGCAGATATAGTTAAAAATGAAGACCATGAACAGTCAGGGCAGATATAGTTAACAATTTTGACCATGACCAGTCAGAGCAGATATAATTAACAATGCAAATATATTTAACAATGTCGACCATGATCAGTCAGCGCAAATATAGTTAACAATGCAGACCATGAGCTGGCCGATCTTTGTCTGCATATAGGTCTTATGGGTAGAAAGTGCTGCCAACACGATTTCAATATGCAATGTACGAAACGTCTTAAGGTTGAAAAACAAAATCTTTAAGCATTCAGATGCTTCAGTCTGACTTGTGTTAACGGCCACGTTTGTCTAGCGACCACCTTTGAGCAATTGTCACATGGATTTCTCCACACAAAAAAATCCCAATATTGATGATCGCAAACAACGATCGACAAATGGTGTCTATGGGTGTCTTTTAGCTACTGTGAATCCTGTAAAAAGGGTTTTTGATTGAAAGCTTACGATATTATATCCAGTCTGCATCGGCGTTACATGGACTGAATATTCTATTATTATAGAAAGTAAAGATATCTTTTCAAGAAAAAGTATATTAGTTTAATGCGTTATAAAGAAATAAACTATGCGTGAACTTCTTATGCGTGGTATAATCAGTTGTGAACGCAGCTGTGATACATGTTCCCAGATCAATATTAGTAAACCACTGTTTATCTCTATGAAAGAGAATGACCTATAACTATTAAAGTACACGGTTGTACAGTCACTATTATAAACTACTGCCCATGTTTCAAACCATTTAAAACGCTTGCCAAATTGCGTTTAATGAACCGATTGTTTGCGTTCTATTAGTCATTTCAGTTTGTGTGGGTTTTGTTTGTTTGTTTGTAGTTTTTTGTGGGTTTTTTTCTGGTGGTATTTTTTTTCATTCTATGTTATAGGGTGTGTAAGTGAGTAGTGATTTTGCTGTCCTGTGTTACTGGATTGTTGTTAGTACCGAGTTGTTTAGGTTGTTGTCTTTAAATCACGTGGTCCTGACTAACCACTGTGGATTCCAATACCACCAGAGACTTCGGAAACTGTTGGTAGTGATAATTAAATTAACATATATATTGTATATTACTAAAAGCAACCATATTAATAATGTGATTGCATTAAAACTTTGTACATAAGCAGACAATTATCATAGCGATTTTGATGAAATAGAAATGTTGTACATATAGAATAAGTCGACTTTTACAGACGATGCTGATGTTTTGTAGCGGTCCTATTTACAGGGAGAAGATCCCCCTTCTCATATTACAGTAAAACACATATATTGCTGTAAAATGTTTAAATACTGCTGTTTAATGAGTTTTCATAGACTAGACGGGATGGATAAACATAATTATATATTATCTTGTTTCCGCCGGTTATAAAGAGTAAAACATGCATTTATTATGTAAATCTATACTAAAATTTATAGACTCGTCCATTTAAAATGTTCACAAATTTTCCGTATTATACAGAGACGCGTCACGGCAAAACCAACATAGTGCGTTTGCGACCAGCTTGGATCCAGACCAGCCTGCGCATCCGCGCAGTCTGATCAGGATCCATGCTGTTCGCTATCAGTTTCTTTCCTTGTAATAGGGTTGATTAGCGAACAGCACGGATCCTGACCAGACTGCGCGGATGCGCAGGCTGGTCTGGATCCATGCTGGTCGCAAACGCACTATGCTGGTTTTGTCGTGACGCGGCTCATATTATCAATAAAACCCTCAGGACTGGCCAGATGACACAGCGGCATGGAGTGAGGTTTCATATTTATTTTATATAGCTACTTAATACATGTTTTATAAGAGGCTATTTGAACACATTTTGAATCATAAATATTTAAGAAATAAATAACAGTAACAGAAAAATAGATACAATATGATTAAGCACCCGTTTTACATATATATCATATATATTTACATATTTTGTGAAGGATGTCATAATGTTAGTACAAGAGGGGTACATATAGCACTATATAGTTGACACTTTTACTTGTTTACTGACTTTCTCCCGATCTGTCATTTTATGAGTCCTTCGGCTACAAAGTAGACGAAATAAAAGTGTTTATTTTTTATTATTTAACAATATTTTTAAACTAATTCTTCTCGTCATCATAAATCCAGTTTGTTGTGTTGTCAATATTTTCCGTTTTATACACGTGACCTGTAAGAGATTTCTGAGATGACTTTAGCCATTGTTCAGTTTTCACTTTTGACGGTAATTTCCGCCTGTTTAGAGATTCCAACAACCCCGGGGTTACCGGACGGTAACGGGACTGGCACGGATTTAATCTATTAAAGCGGTTGTTTTTCAAGAACATTTCATAAGGCGCACCAATCGTTCTTTCCTCTTCGCACCAGTCAGCGCACGAAGATGGTGGCGTTGCACGAGCATCATTAAATCCGGCCGCCATATTTGTCTCTAGGTTAAACTCCATGATAATTTCCGGTAGACTGATGTTCTGACTGCTAGATTTACGAGCAAAAGTGTTCGAACTTTTTCTTGTAACGCTACTATGGTAGCCACTTTCGTCTAATATTTCTATATATGGGTGAGGACTACTTTGTGTAATTTGTCGTGAATTTTTACTATCACTGCAACTGTAACTTTTAGAATGTGTCCCGGCTTTTACACACATTTCCTTTGAATTTAATCGCGGAAATTTGATATCCTGTCTAAGAGGATCAATCGGAAGACATGATGACGTAATATACCTCACTTCTCCTTGTTTTGTATACATAGAATCCATTAAGTTTCTCCGAGCATGTTCTTTTCGTTTTAAAGATTTTCTCCGCTGAATCACTGATGCCATTTTTTTATATATAATTTTTATTCTCCGTGGCTTTTTAACTTATTTGATTTATTTCATTCCCATCCTTTCAACAAAACACTAATGAAAAGAAAAACAGTTCAAATTCCACATTCTTCTTAAATATGCATATATAAATATCTATAATTTATAGTGATATATTCCGCTTATCAATATTATTATTGGGCGCGTATTTCATTTAGAGTGAGATATTTTGATATCACGTTTTTATTACACTGTTATCAGTATTTATTCACTCTGGAGTGTCTCATCAAATGTTAAAGGTTGAGCTGCCTTTTCTTTATGTATCAGAATAACCACCGATTTTTATGTCAATAAAGAAAATTCTTCCGTATCGAAGAGAGTAAACAGTCATATACAGTTTCATTACGTCTTTTTAGGATTGTAAATTATGCTGTTTACATCAAATCCTGCCGTTTGTCATGCCGTAAATCCCTATCCGAAGATTAACAGGTCGCCGACACTTGAAAAGAATTTCAAAACAATATCAAGAGCACCGAGAAATTAATACAACATGTGGTAAAGTCGTATAATACAATTAACTATGGTCCAAATTTTTTTTCTAACATCTTTTATTTCTAACGTTTTCTTTACAGGCGTAAACTTTCTCTCTTTCATACACGCAGGTATAAGTTATAAATTGATATCAATAGTTTATTCGATACCCTGCAGGAGTTTGACATTCATATTCATTATATATTGGTAAGTTCGTAAACTCCCCATACAACGTCACCGCCTGTGTAATCCTATAAGCTACAGCTTCAACATCTAAAAGTAAAAAAAAACTCTCGTGTGTTAAAGTAAAGGTTCTGTACTAGTATCATATTTTGTATGAAGGCAAACCTTTTTGCGGAGACATTTCATAGCGTATCTTAATTTGTTTTATATAAAAAAGTTTCTCTAATCTTCGTGTAATCCGCCATTGTCACAGCTTTGATAGATCGCTCATTTTAGAATATCACACATGAATATAAATCCCCCATGAAGAAGATCTACCATCATATATCATGAGATTTTTATTCTAAAAATAAAACATGGAAAGATAAGGAGATTAGTATAATTTTCTCCCACTCGGTCTTCTTTAAAAGTTAAAATCACTTAAACACAAAAACAAGATTTGTTTAACAGTACCCAGTTTTTCAAATTTAAGCTGTAAACATTTGTGTTTAATAAAGACGAGAGGTTCGCTTGTAAACATTTGAGAAGCCATTGAACGAATTTCAAACATTTTTTTTATCCGTTCCATTAAACGATCTCTCGTTATTCAATATTTACATTATAAGCTACCGTTAACAGCTTTATCTAATGTAAATATAGAAAAACGAGATATTAAAATCTAATTTTACACGATTTTTACCCTTTTAAATCGGTAAACAATGCACTATCTATACCGAATTAGTCGTTTTGATAAAAATTGGTGTTTGCCAACCATTTTAATAAAGATGTTGAAAGAAAAAAATTAGATGAAATTCAAGACAACACTGAAAGTGACTGTTTTAGGCATACGATAAATGTGAATAATAATGACATTGATCGTTGAAAAATAAGGGTAAATTCTCTTTTCGGAGTATATATTATATAATTTTATTAAATATATATTATTTCATGTAAATATCGCACCCACTGAGAAGAGTCTTTACATTTTACTGTTTCGATAAACAACTGATTAAATTTGCACAGAATTACATATGACCTAAGATGTAGTGAAAAAGTAGTCCATTTCAGATGATAAATATACCTTTTGTTGGCCTTAGCATGCAAATTTAGCCGATTATTATTGCGATAAATATTCAAAGTAAATAAAAGCTGTCAATATAAGCATAATAAAGAAATGATATACAATCCTAATATGGCATTTCGATTTCTTTAGTTGAATACATAGATAGGCATTAAATGATAAGCCAAAGAAAAAGAATTTGAATGCAATTATAAAATCAATTACAACGTTATGTAAAGTTAAAAGTAGACCCGCAGAACGAATTATATGAAATCTATTTGAATTTTTTCTTTTAATATTTCATAACTTATTTAGACAATCTCGTTTTTTTTGTTTATGTTGTATAATACGTAATTTAACATGTACATGTATAGCGAGTTTGCATTGATGTTTTTAGAAAAAGAGAGGGATATCTTTTCATATTTGTTTAAAAGTGTAAAGAGTCAAATTATTTTTGTAAATTAGCAATGAACGGTCTGTAATGTGCACATTAAGTAAATATACTGTTTTTTGCAGTGATGTTATAGCATTGAAGATGAATACCATTGCTTATGTAATTATTGGTTTTATTCTGATTTAGGAAAACAACACACATTATGACTTTTGTTACTAAAGACCATCAGTTTGGTAGTTAAATAAGCCTTTGGATTTAAAAGATAAAATTAAAATTATCAATTATTAGTTGTAAGTTAATCCCTTCGATTAAAACGATAAACTTAAATTATCAATTATAAGTTTATTACTTGAATCATTGTATAAAATGGCATTTCTTTTATTTTAAAATATAATCATTCAAATATATCGAAAATTAGATACAGAAGGTTTCAACCGCTTGTAAACTGATATAAGTAGAAAAATCGGCAGTATTACGTATTCATTATTTTCATCTGATAATTATATATTATGATCTTAATTAAATATCTCATTACTTGAATCTTTGTTAAAAATTTAATTGTATCAAAAAGTCTGAGGCGGTGCTAAGGGGGTGTGAACGGTAACTTTCAATCTCAAGTACCGTATATGAACAGGCTGATAAAATCGAGCCTGCAAATACTTTCAATTTTGTCATTTTGAGCGTTGTTTAGAAATTCTGTTTCTCGTTATTTTACTATATATTGTGTAAGATATTGTATTTTTCTACTCAACAATAATAGAATGTTTTCTTTTTAGTGCATCAGCTATACAGAAAACATTTAATTTCTTTAGGTAATTTTTAGTATTTCTTAAATCTTACAAGTTTTAACTATTTACAGATTTTTGGTGTTGTTGCTGTGTTTTTTTAACTTTAATTCACTCTATTAAACATAGTTGTGATGTATATTCAAACTTATTTATTGTGCTGTCAGTAGAAATTAGACGCAACAAAATTCATTACAGAGAATATTTGTTATAGGAGACTATTTGACAGTTCGTTGCAAAGTTGTAAAAGGCCATAGTAAATCTATACAAAGTATAACCATTAGAGAGCCTTTGCTGCTTGCGGATCTGTATTTGAACAAATGATTAAATTCTATTTATACTTACATCAAATCCCATTAAATTTATTGAAATCGATAATGTATATTGAACTAAATATTTCAATGTCATTGCTTCTTTTTTAATTTTAAATTAATACATTATCAAGTCCTAAACAGGACAGGATGAAATTTTGTGAGCATCATATATGAACCATTTGCGTTAACTGTAAACTATTTACTTTAAGAGTGAAGTGTTTTTACTTAAGTGTGAAGAGTGTACTTTGGAAAGACATATATGTACATGTAGCATCATTTTTTAACAAAATACCTATCAGGGTACATAAATTTTAGCCAGAGATATTGGAAAGCCACAATGCCACTTTCATAGAAGATTTTCACCTTATTTACAAAGTATTGTATAACTGATATAAATCCAATAGTTTATAAGTAAATTTAAAATAGCAATGCCAGTCAATAAAATTAACATTTTTTTTTTCAGTTCTCAACAAACAAGTATAAGTAATAAAGAATTATGAAGGAATATATGCCCCAATATAAACGTTTTTTTTACATCTATAACCCCCAGTCATCTGATGAGAGTAATAATATTGCAACCAACAGTTTAAAAATGACCATTTTGACCAGTCACTCAAGAACCTTTATTAGAGAGATAATTAGAGAGATAAAAGAAATTACTTAATGAATTAACAGCAGCCATATCGTCGTCACGATTATCCAATGAAAAGCAGCGGTATATGAAAATGATGATTTATACAACTTAAAGGCCCATTATGCCTTGGAAATGCAATAACTTTTATTTCTCAAAAACTCTCTATCTTTGGTATCTTGTCATAGTTTCCAGAACAGAACTCATTTGCTATAAACATAAATAATAGTTTGCTTATTTTCCTCTGTTGGCAAATGGTATATTTAGTGAATTAGTATTTTCTATGGAAGTCAAAAAACACTTGGTTTTCATTTTGCTACCATTACAACATTTCATTGCATGTTCAGCGCAATTGTTCGGTTGTTTGATATCTAACATGTTCTTAATCCATTATTAAAACATTATTAAACACATGTTTGGCATTTCCAAAGAATGTTTTTAAAAATCCAAGGCATAATGTGCCTTTAACATTTCGCACTTTCAGATTACATTACACTAGAACATTTTTAATATCATTGTAACGTAATTTTGTCATCTTATCAAGTAATATTAAAAATTCAGTAAATTTGTGATATCGTAACACCATGGACCTCCACATTCATTTTATTCTACCCAAGTTATATTATGAAACGTGAGGGTAAAACATGAAAAGTAATAATCATATTAACTAAATAATAAATATTATATGTCAATAATTATGCTACTAAAACTGAAACTAGTCATCGTAAATCCAGTTTTTATTATCAATATGTTCTGTTCTATAGGCGTGATATCGGTGTAAATTCTGTGATGACGTCACCCACTGCTCAGTTTTTACTTTTGATGGTAATTTGCGGTCGTTCATTGTTTCCAAAAGTCCAGGAGTAACCGGTCTGTAACGGGAATGACACGGGTTTAGCTTCTGAAATCTGCTTTGACTGAAGTTCACCTCGTATGGTGTACCAGACGCTCTATCCTCTTCATAAATATCCGCCAATGAAAATGGTGACTTCATACCGAAACTGTCACGACCAATGGCCATATTTGTTTCCAGATTGAATTCCATGATGATTCCCTGAAGACTGATATTTCGGCTGCAAGACCTTCGTGTTAATCCTAATGTGTCCTTTCCGTTTACACTAGAGTTACATCCGGCTGTAGTCGCACTATTAACGGAGACAGGACTAAGTGTAGGTTTATACTTTGAACTTTTATGTCCATTGCTATTTCTGTCGTTACTATGTTTCCAAGTTTTTAGAATATTATCCCTCGAGTTATTAAAGCGCGGAAATTGTAATTCATTATTCTTGCGTTCAGTTTGCAATATTTTTAAACAACATTTTATGTCCCTGTTTCTAGTATTTATAGAATCGAGCAGGTTTCTTCGAGCAGTTTCCTTTCTGTTTATTGAGTGCTTTCTTTGACAGATAGTAGTCATTTTACAACACCAAACGGAAGTTAAAGATTTTACGCGTTATAATTAAGTCCAGTCACACAACAGCATCAGTGAAGAAATTTTCGATTTTTGTCACGTTTTTTGTTTAACAGTTATATATATCAAGAGCCTCTGAGCAAATGTTGGATTTAGATCTTCATTCATCTATTTCAATGTAAACAGAATATTTGAGTTCAAATGCAAACAAGGACACCATAAATAATTACGATTTATTTCATTTTCTACCGGAATGCGAAACGGGACTCTCTCTTTGATAAATATTCCCGTGTCGCATTTATTACTTTGTTATCAGTATTTATTCGCCCAAAAGTGTCTCGTTTTAACAACTAGAAATAATGCAGTTATATGCATAACTACAGAAATGTTATTGCAATTTCTAAATTTGGTATAAAACAAGTAATATTTTATGTTAGTTAGGTTTCATATTCGCACAAGACTTTAAATATGCATTACATTGGATTCATATTATGATCTCAGTATTGTTAATACTGTCAGGCCGGTTCCGAGTCAGGATTATAACAATAGTCACAACAAATTTGTAAAATTAAATAATTCTTTTAATTTTTTATAGATCTATCACTCAAATAATAAATTTATTTGACAGTCAATGATAAACAAATACATGTAATAAACAAATACATTTAATAAATAGAATATATATTACTTAAAATACCTTAATACCTTTATCTTTCATTTCTAAGACTGTTATTCGGTTTATAGCTTTTATCTTTCTGTTATCAATTTCAGTTATCTTTTCCGTTATCTTTTCCGTTATGAACCTTTAATTGAACTTCGGTCTATTTATATGCTTCTTTTGTGAACATATGACGTCAAAATGAAAATAGGGTTTCCCGTAAAAACTTGGTTAATGTGACGTCACAAAATGGCGGACTAATTTCAGACAATATTTGATAATGAGGAAATGTGACATATATTAGAATATATAAACAATCAATCATGACAGGATATAAATGTAAGTTAACTTAAATATGAGACAATAATGTTATGCTTAAATGTTATCGCTGAATATCGTATCAGCATGGTAAACAAATGCGGTCAATGAAACGGAGTGGGTGAGGAACAGCCTAGCAATACTTGTGACTAAAACCTTACAAATTCTGACACCACCACACGATTGTTTGTACGTTTTTAAAACCGCATTTGAATTTTGCCACTCCCCCTCCAATGCCCCCACGCCCGTGTATGCCCGTGCAATCAAACCAGCCTGTATACCGTTGATAGCTTATTTTTTGTACTTTGATATTGAATCCCTTAAACCTTAATTAGTTCAAGAAAACATTAACTAAGATTTTCAGAAAAGTAAAGCCATTCAATAATCAAGTAATAATTCAAATGTTAAATGTTGTGCGATTAATGACTGATTTTGGCAGTAGAACTTTATCAGCATCTTGCCACGCAGTAAGAGCTATTTTTGCATATCTTAACCTCTTTTCGGTAATTTGCGTGGATTGTAAGTGCCGATTGCAATGAGCAAATTACTTTTTTTGTTCACTTTACCATATATATATTTTATTTCTAAGTTCATTTTCATTCATTTATTCAATTTCATTCATGTTCACGACAATTAGCATGCATCTGTTGACATGCAACTTTAAATTTTGAATGGACTTTTCAAAATTTAAAGCAGAGCAAATCCATTATATAAATACGGCAGGTGAAGAGTTAAACGAAACAAACAAAATTGAATTAAACAATATTAAAATTTAATTCAAATATTACATTATGAACCTTTGATTTAGCATGTTCATATATCCTATATAAGTAATAGAAAGAGCATAGAAATACGAGACTATCTGATTTGTACTCGGAGGCGTAGCCCCCGAGTATAAATCAGATTTGTCGAGTGTTTTGATATTTTTTCTCTTTTGTATCATTTGTCATAAATAAAAACACGTTCCCTGATGTCACAATATGACACCCCAGAAAAAAGTAACCAAGGAACGAGCACCTGAATATGATATTTCTATCGCTATCCCTTTCTCTGTCGTCACAATAAGTAAACCCCAGCAAAAATGAACCAATCAATGGGCATGCTCTGGAGTGCGGGTAACTAATACCTGCACTCCAGTTAACGCACTGTGCATGTATACGATTTAACTGTTACTCTTTCCCTCATTTTCAACAGAAAGGTCCCCAAACTATGATACAATGTTCATTCTACTTCCGAGGTATTTTCTTATGGAATATAAGTTGACTATTAGATTGAGTAAATTGATTTATCGATGAAAGCCTTTGTTTTGCGACATTCTGATTGACATATATCCAGCTTTATTCCCTATCGGACGCGACCCTCTAATTATGTCAGATGTATCCAGTCAATTTATAACTTGTTTGTAAAGCACGTCTTACATCTGATATGGTATATTTTTATGTTCTTTTAAAAACATTCAGAAATTTGTATTTTTCTGTTTTTTCCCCCAATGTAATTTAATACCACTGTATTGCGATGTGTAATATTGCGTTATTCTGCGGATGTATATTGTTGCGTAATTCTGCGATTGTGTAATATGCGTAAATATGTGATGCATATTTAGAACGGAACGTACTGTTTTGAACAGAAATAAAATAAATACACCTAGCTTGAAATTATTAGCTGGCGTAACGAGTTTAGATATTAGATATACATTTTACACAAACTCATTTTAGTAATTTGAAACGAAATCTATCTTTTTTAAATACAACATTCTTCACTGTTAACTTTAATGGCACACTCCAAATCTAGCGATCTTGAATTCGATCACATAGTTCTCTTCTAAACATTTAGTGACTGTATTTTGAATGATACTTAAAAATCAGAAAATGAATGTTTGCTCGCGTTCATTTTAAAGAACCATAAAATATCTCTTGAACTTATGACTAAGTTGTGTTGCAATCTCCTTCTACCAAAAATTAATCGAACTGTATCTGCACACTAACAGGTGACAATTTTAAGCATTCTGTCATAAAATCTTGGAAAAAACAAACAAACAAAAACGCTGCTTTCCTCGAAAACGTTTGGTATGTACAAGAAACACATATTTCAATTGTTTAAAAACTGCCGAGCATTTATTCGATATTTAAACCTTTAATCATATACAGGAGTGAACAATATAGAAATAGTTTACGCGCTTTCGATATTTTCTTTTCTTTAAGCATTACCATGCTATATATCTTAAATGAACTTGCCCATCTTTCAATCTGGACAAAACCATTCATTATGTTAGGGGCATTTTTTACAAAATAAATAGGGACTGAGCAGGGAACAGTGCAGATTAAATCAGACGGTCGAAGGGGTATACATCTACTTGCCGCCTGCAACCTAAAACGTAACCTTAATTAATTTCTAAAATCGCCGAAAATAATGCTTGAACAAACAGCTTTTTGATTGCAAGATTGCCGAAATTTGCTTCAATAGGTTTGCCTGTGAATCATACGGTCGCGTGCTTTACGCCAATTTTGATGTAACATCTCGCTTTTAATCTTAGTAAGCGACAAAAATGCAATAGGGACTAATTACTTTTGAACACGTTACTTTAAAAATGAAATAAAATTTTAACACCTTATAATAAGTCAAAGGGATATAAAAAAGGCATAGAAGTTAAACTTTTATTTAACCAATGCAAACTATTAACAAATAAAAATGACCTATTTCGGCGTTTTATACAAAATTAGTTTATCGACCATTTCTCCGTAAAACAAAATACATGTATCGATTTCATTGCATGAATATAAAAGTTGTTATATGTACAAATGTAGTTTGGAATTGACATATTTGCGTTTCAAAATAATTGCGGGTAAAGTTTATTTATAATTTATATGATTTGTGTGTATTATTGTATGTTATGACAATGATCGAGCTGTATGCTTAAGTCTTTAATAAAATTTCTGTTCTGTTCTGGTCTGTTCTATATACGTTGAAATGGTTTGAATTTCTTTTTTGAATACCCTTCTTTTTTCTCTTTTTTAAATTGATTTCTCCCCCATTAATAATAGTAGTCCCTATACTTGACAGAACATTTTATCTCTAGATACAAGTTAATAACATTGAGTAGTTGATATCTTTATACACATGCACACGCACTCACACGCACATACGCACACATACATGTTAATGAAAACTTTTATATTTCTTATAACAAGCAAATGTCGCATTCTAACTTTCTGTAGAGAATTAACTTCTCACAAGCTATCACACTATATCCAAGAATAACGAAACTGTCAATAATATTGTCAATACATGGAAAACTGTTATACAGTATTGAACATTGATAAGGTTAACAATTAAAAAACTTAGACACCATAAAAACAAAATTCTGTAATATACTTAACAAGATCCCTCCAACAACAAAAAATGTACAAATGTACAAGGGAATTTTGTATCCTTGTGGGAATATTTCTATCGACATTTGCGAAAAAATGTATTGACTACAGTCAAGATTGTTTTCATTGACATTTCATTATAACAGAACATTGTTTATGATATAGATAGTAAACAGGTGGCAACTAAAAGTTACAGATTTGTATTTTTGTAAATGTTTTTTTGCCTCTGGATACGGAAGGCTATTCCAGCCCACTCCAAAGTTCATGCGGCCTAGAGCCTTGTGCTGATCAGTTTTATTGTGCCGGAAGCTATAAGATTATTAAAACACTCTCGAATTCCTTCCTGGAACCAACCAGTACTAAGCAATGAATGTAAAGTTTCTTGCTCAAGGAAACAGCGGCTTGCCACTGACAGGATTTGAATCCACGCGGCCAGCAATCCTTAGATTCTATACCACGCCGCCATTCTATGCTGATCTGTTGACAGGCGGATTATGATTAGATGTAACGTAACTGTTGGATATAAGTATTTAAAAATGATAACAATGAACAGCTCATTGTGATAAAATAATATCTTAACACAGAGATTTTGATTTATTATTAAAATTAAGAAAACATATGTTGTAAATAATCTAAACACCATCGCTCGTCACCCTGTCAGAAAACATTAGTATGATATCGGAACATTGGATTAATTTACCAGTCAGGTTTAACATTTTAACATTTGAGCCCCTGATATTCAAGTCTTTTGGTGTCGACTGGATACTGTGAACTGATTAATAAAGATCTATTGACTGACTTAACATACTCGTACTAAGAAGGCAGGCCTTAAACGTGGGTCACCCATATAATATAACTAATAAAGCAAAAAAAGGAAAACAACAACAGTACCAAAAAGACCCAAAAATCTACATTGACCTTTAATATCAATACTCATTATAAATCCAATTTGTTTTTAAATCAATTTTAATTGAATTTTGTGTAATTTTGTCATGATTTGACAAATTTCTCATCGTTAACTTGTGAACGGTAATTTCCTATCATTTATCGTTACAAAAACGCGTATTTGCCTACCGGTAATGGTTATTCGAGAGATCGATCGAGGTCTTACTGATTGAATTAGATTTAGGTAAACTTGATTGTAATAGAATGGTAAAAAAGTTGGGCTGTTAATACAGAGGTCGACATTTTCATTACTAAAAGCTTTGAAAACCACTTTGAGCTAACGTTAAAGTGTATCTTTGAGCGACAAGTTTATACCTTTTGCATGAAAATTCTTAACAGGTATAGCGATTTGGTTTCTCCCGCTGAAGAAGTTATCAAGACAAATTTCTATCATTCTTCATAAAGTAATAATTTTTTATACAAATCAGGAATCGAAAGACCCTTCCTGACTTTGCACAATTCTTTAATACGCACATATAAACAAAATAAAAAACGCCAAAAAAAAAAACTTATACAACTATTTGTTGTGTCATTCATAGTGATATATTTAAGGTTAGAAACTATTCTAAGGTCATCGTTACAATTTATTATCCTATCCATTAAACTTTAAACAGTCCTTGTATAACTTTTGTTAAAAAGGGGCATTCATCTACCAACAATTGTTAAGAAAAATCCATCTACGTAAAATAAATACTAAATTTGTATACCTTAACGATTCCCAATTACATATTAATATATTCTTTAATTGATTTCGACGTTTAACGTTTTAATCAAATATTTGGATAAACAATATAGAATATTCCAAACCATTTTATTGTGTGTGACATTGATTTTATCAAGCACAATCAGTGTTTGTTCTTTAATTAGCAGCCGACATTTAAATGAAATCACTGTTGAAATAACTTTATAGCATGACTGTGTCAACTCTGATCATTACAATATCGACATGTAACTGAATTACGCCATTTGACCTTAAATCGCCTGCTTTATGGCCATTTTTGATACAATTTCCCACTTTCGTCTATGTAAGTGACACAAATACTACTAAAATAATTATTATTTTCGAACAAGTTTCTTAAAAATCGATTTAAATTCTATAACCCTTTTGCACGCCAAAGCAATTTATACATTTCATGTTTACCACAGTAACCCCTCCCTTGAGTATTTAATTTTTCATAAAGAGTATAAAACTTCCGATACAAAATTTGCAAAAAAAATGTAAAGGAATGATTTATAGCTTATAACTACATGTACAACTTTGTTTTTGACGAGTAGTTTTAAACTTAACTATAGCGTTTCATTTATACAAAACTGGTATACACTCTTTCCTTCATTGATTATTATTATAGATCTGTCACGAATTTTCTTTACGGCACAAATGTTTGCTTTGCTCTCCATCAAATGTTGACATATAAACATTTTTTTTCAAGTTTGTCAACATTATATAGTATAAAGTGCATTTAAACGTCATATCTTCCATTCCGGCAGTAATATCATCATTTTGAATGGTATTGTGACATTGCATAGTTTTGATCCATGACTGTGTATTTTAAGATAAATCACCCTTGATTCCGAAATAAAGGAACATGCAAATCCTTTAATTTTCATATATCCATTTTACTTTATCATTCGTTCGATCTGTTTCATACATGTGATCGTTGAGAGATCTATGTGTTGATTTTATCCATTGTTCTGTTTTAGTTTTTGATGGTATTTTTAATTTGTTTAGTGTTTCTAAAAGACCTGGGGTGACTGGTCGGTAGCGAGCTCGACAGGGGTTTAATATATTGTATTTGGATTTGTTCAAGACGTCTTCGTAAGGCGTTCCAAAAGCTCGTTCTTCATCCTCACATCCCGTCGATGATGACGTCATACACATACCATTATGGCCTACGTTAAATTCTAAAGTTATCCCTGGAAGGGTGATGGGTTGAAACTTTGCTTTATGTGTACGTCCTTTAGAGACATTTGTCCAAGAATTTTCAGTACAAGCACAATCGTCGACAGTTTTTTTGTTCGAATCAGTTTTCATTATTGAGCTGTGTTTCGAGCGGTTATTGCAATCGTCTGTACGAATGTTATTATCTTTTTCCAGAGGTCTTCCCTTTGAATTAATTCTTTGAAATTTAATTTTAGGTTGTAACTTTTCAACGTACAAGCATGGTTTACCGTACCTCATATCACCTTGTCTTGTAGAAATAGAACCCATTAAATTCCGCCGAGCCGTTTCTTTTCTTTTAACTAATCTGCTTTTGGGGAAATCTCTCATAATTTGCCTTCCTAAATTTTTATCCATTTTCTTTTGAATGAAATGATCATAGACGTTACATCAATATCCCTTTGTCTTAAAAACGAATATAAAGCAACGTTGCGATTTTGTCTGTCTGACTTATTTTTGTCTCACTCGGAATAAGAACTACTATCTCTATTATCTATATATCAAATCAAATATTTCAGGTCGAAAAGGGTTATATTCAATATCAAAATAACATCGATATAGGATCAATTATTCAAATGAGTAATCTTCAGTATAGAATAAAGTTCAAGTCCGTGAACATTTATTTCACGCATTAATAGTTTATAAATTATGTTGTTTGCATATTTCTAAATGTTATTCTATCCTTTTCTTTTCTTTTTTATTCCAAACCAGAAAACATAAACTACGTGTACAACTAATGAATGCCATCAAGCTGTGCTAGCTCCAACATTGTTTATAATTATATATGAACAAATAAATCCTCTGAAATGTGTACTTCTGTTATTTTGCAAGTAGCTCTCGACTCTTGAATCTCCAAAGCTTACATATCCTTAAAGACCCTATTTCTTGAAATGCATTTTACAACAATAAGAAAGTTTTTTTTTTAAAAACCTACAAAACAAACGAAGGCCCATTAGACTGTATCTGTAATATATTAATATCGACGTATTTTAAGTTCCCACATATTATATTTGTGACAAATTATGACTCTCTTGAATGTATACATAATCTAAGTTTTAATAAAAGTGACAAACTGTCATATTATATATATGGTCAATAAATCTCCTGGTTAAAATCGTTAAAACTTAAAAATGATTTACTGATTTACATGTCAATATTTAATAAACATAAGGTAATAATTTCAGCCCTAACATGCTTTTCAATGTCACATTTTGAAAACATGTATGTTAGTGATTTTAAGATACATGCGTTTGCTTTAAAGTTAATAAAATATTCAGCGGAAAAAATAGAATATACAATATATGATTAAGAAGCATTGACCTTGAACCGGTGAGACTCCCGCATGTCTTCTGCTTATCATAAAGTACGAGTATTAATTATCATAAACAATTCTTATTTCAGTCATTCTGAATGAATTAGAGAGTTCGATTGGATACGGACATGTTATGGACAGACTTGCGGATGGACAAAGGGCATTCTATTTTCTCTAGATCGTGAAAATATTGGAGTTAGTACCACACGGAAAAAGCTCTATAGTTTTGATAAAATATTACTGAAAAAAAATAGTTATATAATAAATCTATATAAAAATGTAACTATTCTTTCTTTAGTGCTCAATTCATTTGTATTTACAGGAAGGCTAATGTTTTAGTGGAGTTCGTAATTATCCGAAGGTATTTACTTTATACTGCTTTACAGGTTAATGAAGACCTCAGATGCCTCTCTTTGCATTATATCAGGTACCAGGGGGGATCGGCGTTCCGTAAACAAACTGCTTGCCTTTCTTATAATAATAATAATAATAATAATAATAATAATAATAATAATAATAATAATAACAATTATAATAATAATAAAATCTTTATTCATAGTAGGTAATATACAAAGTTCACAGTAAGAAGTATACTTATTTTCAGTATGGCCTTCTGATTTAACAATAAGAAAGAAAAAAATGTAGATCTATACAAATATTTAAAATCTTTTGGTATATAAAAAAAAATATTTATACTATTTATATTCTTGAATGTAAAGGTTAGATATTTTTATTCATTCATCCGACTGGCACTCATATTAATTACGGTAATTATAGATAAACTCGAAATGATTAAAAAAAAAGAAAACAAAATGATATCAACATTTACAACAATTAAAATATATGAGTAATATAACAGGATTCGAACCTACAGCGATGAGGGACAATCGGTTTGGTAATAACGACCTTAATCACTCTGCCATGGATGCCCATATTGCATACTAAATAAGCAATGATGGAAAATAAATTATGAAAAATGCAAATCATTTACATTAATATAACATTTATCCCAACATCAATCTGTCTGTTCCTCGTCGATACTTCTCCTATTATTAATCGACAACTCATCAATAATTCATCACTTAGTCTGACATAGATCTCCTCTCAAATCTGACAATATCCTCTTAGTCTTTCATTACTAAATGAATATAATAATTTTTAGCAGCAATATTGGGCACAAGTGGTGTACACCTTTTTTTAATTAATAATGCAATCAATATTGACATTACTATTTTCTTAAAAGTGTGCCACACATATCACATCACATCATATCATATCATATCATATCATATCATATCATATCATATCATATCACATCACATCACATCACATCATATCATATCATTTCATATCATATCATATCATATCATATCATATCATATCACATCACATCACATCATATCATATCATATCACATCACATCATATCATATCATATCACGTCAAACTATATCATTATTATTATAATAACAATTATTATTCGGCAGTGAATTTATAAGCCGCAATAAGCGTTAGTATTTTAATAAGGGGGCAGGGGACCTAAAAATGAAAAATTTTGTATTTCAGTGTGACCAGAAACACAATTCCAAATATTTCAAAATCTGTTTCACAGGCAGATAACCAGTTGCACAGCATTATTCAATGATATATGACATACATTGAAGAAAATAATAGTTTGCATGCATTACTCCTTCAAAAAAAGACTGACAGCAATTTATATTTACCCCCACCCAGCCAAAATCACACCTAAAATATACCAATATGGGCAATCTTCATGAAGGTGCAGCATACTCCAGAATCCGCCCGATTCCTTTAAAAATATCAGTAACACGCAGTGCAAGCTATAGCATTTTCAGAAATGACAAATAAAGTGTCTGTCATACGTTTAGATTTTTCACAAAATTTATCTGAAATTTCTTACTTGTTTGGCGCCAACTGTCAAAGCTTGATTTTTAACTTTTTCACCTCCATTCGGAGAGTCAGAAATACATACAAAGCTACCAAAATGCTTAGTTTCGGGTAAAAACCCAAAAATAGATCTCATTTCCTACACACAAACAAGAAAGAATTACAATGACAGAGAAATATCAGAAGTTATCAGTACCTTCAAAACACCATGTCTGAGTTATTAAAAAATTTGAACTTTGAACTCTAAACAAAACATTCACGAATTCGAAAACCTGGCTAAACGCCATTTTCCGGTACTTTCTGTACATAGCTCTGGGGAATTCACCTAATGGAGTGTAATAGCGAATTCGATGTTTTCGGCCTTTTTTAAAATTAAATTGAAATAAAACAGCTATTTCTTTATAAGAAAATAATTGAATATCATTGCATGAATAATTCCATAGAAAAATAAAGTAAATACACATGTTTACGCAGAAAATAACCTTATTTATTATGGACGATTCCACTATGTCTGTTTAAATTTCATTGATTTTCATCATAAACAATTTATTTTTTACAAAAATTTGCAATAGATATTAAAGGAATATCGATAATTTTCAAAAACATCAATTCATTTCACCTTAAACGGTAAAATAATGATAGAAAAATAGAAATATCATGTAACTGTGTTATGTACTTCATTTGGTGTAATTCCCCAGGGCTAAATCCGCAACGTACCGGAAAACGGTGTTTAGCTAGATTTTCGAAAAGGTCAAATCAGTATATTTATATTTACATCATTTAATACGAAAGACAAGAATGCAGATCTTGTGAGATAATTGAAAATTCTGTTATGATTTTCGCTTAAAGGCTACATGTAAAACTAACATGTACTGTGCCGTGTCACGACAAAACCAACATAATGCGATTGCGACCAGCATGGATCCAGACCAGCCTGCGCATCCGCGCAGTCTGATCAGGATCCATACTGTTCGCTTACAAACCCTATAACAAGTAGAGAAAATAATAGCGAACAGCATGGATCCTGATCAGACTGCGTGGATGCGCAGGCTGATCTGGATACATGCTGGTCGCAAACCCATTATTTTGGATTTGTCATGACATGGCTCATTTTACTTTTACATATAAAAGTAAATAAAAGCCAGTCACGTGGCAATCAACCATTTGACAGGTTTAAATTGTTGTAATGTGAAAGAAAAAAAAAGTTTTCTAATAAGAGTTGAATATTACCATCTATTAGCATCAATTCTTTCTCGTACCTTTTATCAGAACTTTGAGAACTTTGGTTACGTGAAGCTTAGGCATAAAAATAAAAGAAGGGGAATTGTACTTTTGTAAACGCGTGTTTGCGTTTGGGTACTTGAAAATTTGAATGGACAATTCCATATGGCGTGACGTCAATCTCGCACACTTTTGTTGATCCATATAAACCTACAGCCTCACTTACATCCCGGCAGAGCCCCGGTAGACGTCCGGGGTGATCCGGGAACAACCGGAGTACATCCGTAACTCTGCCGGCAACGCCCGGGGTGATCCGGGATGATCCGGGAACATCCGGCATTTGACCCCGGATGGAATAAAATATTTAATATCACCGGGGTGGTCCGGGATGATCCGGGAAGGTATAGCTTTGCCGGTTTCATCCTTAGCTCTGCCGGGAACGACCGGGGTTATACCGGGGAAGCATCGTAGCTCTGCCGGGACAAACCGGGGATGATCCGGGGTATGGTATAGCCGGTAGAGCTACGGTAGAGCTACGGTAGTGCCCCGGTAGATGCCAGCAGAGCCCCGGTAACTACAGGCAGAGCCCCGGAGGATAAAGGCAGAGCTACGGTTGATCCCGGTAGAGCCCCGGCAAAGCCCGGTTCATCTCAAAAGAATAACGACAATTTGCGATGATTGCACTTGTTTTTATTAAAACCCTTCCCATTTCCGTTCTATCCAGTCTGGCATAAGGATTTTTCAGAAAATCATTATGAATTACTATTCTGGAACAATAGATATTATATTAAATAAGAATTATGTATCAATGATATCATTTTCGGGGCTCTGCCTTGAGCGTCCTGGGCTCTGCCGGGGCTCTGCCTGGATCGACCGGGGCTCTGCCTGTGTCAACCTGGGCTCTTCCGGCGTCATCCGGGAACGACCGGGGAAGCACCGGCATGAACCGTAACTTCACCTGGACTCTGCCTGGATGATCCGGAGCGCATCCTGGGTGGTAAGTTGTGAACTTCGTAGTGCTGCCGGGGTAAGTGTGACCGCAACAATAATTTCACCCCGGATCGTCCCGGATAATCCCGGTAACTTACCGGGATGGTCCTGGACTCTGCCGGGATTAAGTGAGACCGCAGCTTTAATTGCTGATTACAAAAGATCGTGTTGAATCAAATGATCAGTTTAAGAATAGCTTGTGCGGAAACAAACATAATTCCAACTATCAAAAAACTACCATTATGTTACCATTATGACTACATTGTACATGCATGTTGTTGTCATGTTAAGTAAATCCTAAATATATTTTCGAAAACTGTTCAAGGCATATTGGGATTTTCTCTGTCCAAAATCTAATCAAAGTAACTGTAAGTGCTGCAGCTTATTTGAAAGTAAATTTTATGTTGTTTATTTTTAATTATTCAAATTTTCATATATTTCAGGAAAGCTTGGAGATATGCAAATAAGAGCATCTTATAATTGTTGCATTATATTATCCAACTGGAATCAACATCGTCGAGTCGTTGGCGTCAACACCGGTATCAGAAGACAGCAATTCGCACGTGCGCGTGCCTTGATTATATGTTGCTCCATAGCAACCGTTGGTATTGTGGCATAAGAGGGCGCAATGGTGGACTGATAGAGACTGAGTTGAAGCTATGTTCAATGCATGAACACCTGCACGTCCTTGGTCTAATCTGTAGTCTGAAAGAAAGGCAATTTACAAATGTTTCATACAAAAGATTAAAAAGATGTTTAGTGTCCAGCTTTTTTGTCATCACATGGAAATGCTGTATTTTCTTTTAATTTTGTGTGTTAATTTTCATAAGAAAAAAAAACAAAAAACAGTCGATACTAATCAAATTCTGTTCATAGTTGCCTTCTTTTTTACAAAGTGCTTCATAGAACCGTATTCGTTAAAAAAGTCGTGAAATAATAAAGTGAATATCAATAAAGCCAAATAAAGCTTGACACAAAGTATGTTTGTATTCATCCAGAGTTGTTCTACAGAAATTAGAAACATTCTCCTGTCGCTGTCGTTCCCGTCGAAGTTTCTAATTTCTGAAGAACAGCACGTATGAACACTAACATACACTTTAGACTGTTCATTCACACGTGCTGATGTATTTTTTGGCCATGATGACTGATAATTGAATATTTATCTGTGCACAAATATTGCAACTGCTACAGCTGTGTTTAAATCATTTCAGGTGGTCGTTTTAGAAAAAATAACATTTCAAACGGGTGATCGTTTTAGAAAAATAACGACAATTATGATTTCACTTAATTTATTTCACAAACTACTTGAGTTTTACCTGTATATTTGTTATCACACTCTAAATTGTGCTGTCCCTTTACACATTTTGCAGAAAAATTATCATAATTCGTTATAATGCATAATTTAAACAAACGCAATGTGTAAATCGCATTCTTTTGAACTTGTATAATTCATTCATGCGTTCTATTTTGTCAATCACGTCGCTAAAATTCTATTGTAATACTCTATACTTACGATGTGCGGATGTGTATCCGAATACCTGAACTTCGCATAGTTCAAAGAAGTCCACTACCGACTCTGATCTTGTAATCTTTACCCATTGTCCAAGCACTATGTTGGTCAGATTGAATGTGTGTATTGTACCTTTTGGAATAACACCTTCATAATACCCATACAGAGTGTAACTGTTGTTGCTTGGACCAATGTACAACTCAACATCTCTTAGTCGTTTCTCAGCTAGTAAAATTAATGTCCAAATCAATATTTATCATATCAAAAAAAGCCTAATGCCGCTGCAATTGTCAAAGAAAGGAAACATTATCTCTACAAATTTGAAGACATTAAACCAAATAAAAATGTATAAGAAGACTTTACATTATTTTCCAACAGTTTTAACGTATTGCTTGTGTCAAGAAACGCTCTAAAGTTCATATTTTAAATGTCATTAAATAAAACAAAATACAATAAATCAGAAATCGATTTACCTTCTGTACCAACAACGTCTCCTCTACTGTATATGGTAACGTGATGAATGAAAACTTTTTCTCCCAAGTCCACCTCCAAGGTATTATTGGCTTCATTAAGTGAATGAAAACATGACATATCCGCAGAATCTTGTGACAAGTTTCCGTCCACGACCCTATGAGGACCATCATTTTCGTACGTGCTTGACGAATAGGCCTGCTTATTAAGTGCCATGTTTTCTAAAATATTAATTTTGGTATATAAAGTTTAGCACAAAATTCATGGCAACCACAACGAACGAGTCACCGACACGGAATTACAATGTCCTTGCCCGTCGTTGCGGCTTGTTTTCCAAGAGGATAATAGAAATTTTAAGTCAGTGGTAGTTATCTATGTTAGTGACACACACATGAAGAACTAAGGACTCACTAACGTGAAGAAACTAAAGGTATATAATTAGTTCTTAGTTTTCATAGCTTCCGAGGCATCTCTACTTTTTTACATATTTTTTTCCGAACAATGTTTTATGTAACACACTGTTGAGGAAGATGGAGTTTTCAAGGTTATTATTCGTTTAAGGTGGAAACTTATATTTGAGTATATCAAATAGCATTTAAGCGCAAGGTCTTTAAGTTATAGAGAAAAGCATTTTATTCACTTTTTCCTATATGTAAAAAATCAAGAGATTCCCGGCTTGGCGCTTGTTTTCCAAACAGGGTTATGATTTAAACTTGCTAATTAAAGTCCACTAGGAAATGCTACAAATGAAATATTTATGATGTAGAAAAATCGGATGTTTCCTTGCAAAATTGGCGGTCTAATTTTGAAGAAACATGGTAGTGGTACAATGCTATACATAAATATCTAAGCCTCAATCATTTGGGTTATAAAAATTTCTGTATAAAAGACTGTAAAATAAATAAAAGCATAGGGCGGCGTTGTAATGACCTCAGGGATGTGATTTGAACAAAAATGATTAATGTCTATTAAAAATGTTTAAAACAAATATTTAAGCTCTAGATACTGGGGGGTTTGTTTGTTGTGCCCATTGTTGCAAATAAGAGTAACAAAGAGACGACCGAGGTTATGCCAAATCAGACAATGCAAAGTCGCTCTATAATCATAACGGTGTTACTTTTAACCAAATTAAATTGATTTCCATGCCATAGCACATTGACAATGCACGTGACACAAGGCACCATTTGTGTGCTGGAAACAATGACATTTCCGAAAGAGTGTGATTAACAGATAAATGTTCTGAAAATTACTGCCAAAGTGATCTTGCTAAAGAGATCTTATTTAAAAACACATGAGAAAAATGAATATTCTTACCTAAATTATGCGATTCGACTGAATCTAGCGCTGTGAAAATGATAAATACAACAAATAATTTCGTATACGTTTTACGTAATTCCATGGCTACATTAAATTAAAGTAATATTCGAGTATTTGAAATAACTGTTTATGACTGTCTTTGGCACGGCACAAATTCTTACTGAAATAACGTTTGAGAAGAACTATTAATTTTGAACAACTTTAATCTATTTTAATTAGTTGCGCCACATCATGGTTCTTACACTCGTCTATTAAACATTAATATTTTGTTCATTGGAGACGAAATGAAATACACAAGTGCGGAGGAGAAGTGCAAACTTGCTGTGCATATCATCATAACAATCATCGGTTTTGGTGACGGGTGAATAGAATAATCACTGGTGCAGCTTACAACTGTAGTCTAGTTGTGACAACATTAAAAGTCACATTTTGCATCGGAAATGAATAAATAAATAAATAAATTATTCTCTCCATTAGAAGGGTCAAACGTGAGTTTTATAACGTTTGCATAATTGTTTTAGAGCATGTTAGATGCTTGTTCACTAAAGAAAATTGCGATAGCGCAAAATAGTAGCAAAATTTTAATGTAAAATACTAATACTAATACAAAAAACAAAAACATTGCCAAAAAGCAACAGAAGAAGAAGAAGAAGAGTTCAGGTTATTGGCCAGATTGTTGGAAACTATAAAAGAACACCAAAAAGAAAAATAATAAAATTGAGAAATGAAAGAGAAAGTATTTCTCGGGCATAATGGGTTTTTTAACTTATCCTGCAGGTAATTGCAAAAATTATTTTGGCAGATATAGAATCTTTTGAACATTTTTAAAATCTAGATACAGTTTTTGAGAACTGAATAGGTCGTAAATGTTATTTACATATCAATTTAGGAGATGAAGGAATTAATAATTAATAAATTTAGATATTAGATACATTGATCACCCAATCTCGTTAAAATCAGATCATTGTTTTCGCCCCGTTACTCTTCGCTATGAAGCCTACCTAGCTAAGGGCAGTGAAGCTACAGTTATGATATGATTTTAATGAGATTGATTGATGAACTAAGAAGGATTCCAATTATAAATATACTTTATGTGTTGTTGACGAAAGAGTTGAGTGAATCGTCTTTCATGTAACGCGAATCGTCACTAAAAATGGTGAACCATTTTATTTTACATACCTATAAAGTAGGTTACGCAATAAGATTGACTTGCTCAATGTATATTTCTGAAGACATTAAATTTAATTGGTATACTAATTAGTTCGTCTATAATAAAGACGAAAGTACTGTGCCCTGACGAAATGAGGCAAAAAGGGCGGCATTAAAGACTGCAGCACATAACTAAATATCAGTTTTATTAATTATTTACTTATTCCGAATGAAGGAAAGTCCTGTAAATTTCTGGGGGGAAAAGATGAATAGTAAAATTGGAAATAACAGTAAAAGCAGTTTCTCGCTTTTTGTATGACCAATAGCGCATATATATTACAATCAGTTGTGCAATGTCGGGGCTGACAAAGTTACAAATAAATGATAGATAGTTTTAATAATACTGAAATAAGATCATCACCCAAGAGAAATGAACATATATCTTGCTGGAGCAATTTCATGCGACATGAATTTCATATCTAAGAGACAAAACATTATTTTGTAGTAACAACTACTAAACAAGGCTCCAAGGTTATATAGCACGATTCTCAAAGCTTAAACTAAGTTCTCATGTATGTGACATTTCACCAACTGGCACAGAATGTACACTGAACATTGAAAATGCTGGGATTGGAGACAGAAATTTGTAACCTCAAGACCAGTGAGTGCTTTGGGTGATTGAACTACGCAAGTACGTTGTGACAACGTGTTTAAATGACAATATAAGATACGCATCCAAGTTTGTGACGATCAAAAGGATGATAATACTTTGTCTAATAATGAATCCAATCATAAGTTTTTGTATGATTTTGAATAAATATCGGAAATATATTAAATTAAATCCTTTCAAATTAAAAAAAGTAACAGATGTGAAAAGAAAAAACATAAAATGAATAAAGCTGATTTTTATTTTTATAGTTACAAGTTATACAGTTACAGTTATAAATATTGCCATTATATCATTTATTTGAAATAGGTGCCATTAAAAGTAATGCATTTGTATGTCAAATAAACTTCAATAAAGTAATGATAAAGTAATCATCATACATTTATTATTTATGTCCCGAGAGTGTCCCGTGTTTTAGCCAAAAGGAAGGAAACTTAATCGTGGAAAAATAAGTTTTGACTATATTGATAAGCATACAAAATTAGAATTGTGTCCACAAAGTCACCAAAGTGTACCTTGCGATACATTTTTTGTTTGTTTTGCTTCAATAAAATAATAACCCAAGCAACGCTTGGTTTTGACAATTTCACCTGTTTTACCTGTTTTTGTTTTCTTCTTATTTTCTTATTTTATTTTACCTCACGTTAACTCTCTATTAAATAGCCTAATGTGACACCACATGGTGTTATTTCGAAACTATCATCCTGGACTTGAACATCATCCGGTCAAATAATTTCTTTTTACAATATTCCCAAGGGGCGCGTAATAAAAGGACGTAAGAAAACGTTACGTTGTAGTTCTCTCCCCGGATAAAATGATAAATGTGAAAAATAAAGTTCGGTATAATGAAGAAAAAAAACAAAACAAAAACACACACACACACACACAAAAAGAAAAAAAGAAACACACACACACATGTCTCTCAGGCGGAGTCTCGGATGTTCTTTCAGTTCTTGGGTTGCTAATATGCACTATTACCCTAAAAGACATGTGTTAAATTTATATTATTCACAATGTAATAATAGTAATTTGTTTTGTTTTTTTTCAGCAAATTTTGTTTAAGATTAATCTGAATCACCAAAAAGTTTCAGAACTTAATTTTTAGTATCGTTTTTAGATTTCTTTTTCATTGGCCTGTCCTTTTGTTTGCGACTTCTGTTTCAGCCAAACCATCAAAGTTTTCATTGTGCTTATTTACCACACTCCTTGTTGAAGGCAAGGCTTGTTGGGTACTTGTGCAACACCCACTGTAACAAAGAAGTGTCCTAAACGCAATACGAAACTTTTTGTTTGCAAGACCATAAAGTACCCAGTTCATGGCGGAGTTAGAGAGTCCAAGCTTTGCAAGGTATTCTTTTGCACAAATTATGTTTTGTAATGTTGAAATGGAAATATCAGCCTGCGTCATTAGTGAACAAATGATAAACGGCATCCAACAAATAACAAAGAGCACTAAAACAATAATCATTAAAATTGTTTTAGTATTTTTCTTTCGGGTAACGCTGTTGCCAGGTATTTTGTTTGTTTTTATCTTCCATATAACAGCTCCATAAAGAATGAAATCTATAATTCCTGTCACAAAAATCAATATAGGAGGAATAAGTTCGAATTCCTGTGGTAGATTTGTTCCAATATAACATAAAAACGTGGTGTTTGGTGGTTTTAGGTTCTGTAAAATGATCGGTAAACCCCCGGCCAGTATGGCTATCAGCCACATTCCTCCGAGGTAAACAATAAATAATTTTCGTCTGTTCGTTTTTAAAAGATGCTTCAGCGGAAATAATACAGCCATGAAACGATCAAACGATATTCCGAGAAGGCACATAATTGAACAGCCATAAGGTATGATTATTCCGATCGGTTTTACTATACAATAATGCCAATTTTCTTTTATATCTGGAATCATTGTCTCGAGTAGAAAGACGAGCAACCATATACCTAGCAGCAGGTCAGCTGCTGCTAGATTTCCTATTAACATATATAAACTGCCTTTAAACTGTTTTGGATACTTATATATGCTAACTATAATTAATATATTTCCAAATATTGTCACAATGATCATGATTACGTACAAAGTAAGTGATGTGATACTAAACGTTGACGATGTAAGACAAGAAAGGTCCACATTTTCAAACCGATGTCTTTCTGCCATTTTAAAAAATTCAGTCACTTCCGGTTTAATGAATGGGAATATGTCCGTTACCTGAAATGAAATAAAGAAGAAGAGGTAACATAATGTAAATATGATGTTTATACTCTTTAGTACACAATAAATCATTTATTAGTTTTCCTCGTTCTATCTATTGTTCTATTGTTTTCGATGATGATTTTCTGTAAAGTATCTTTATTACAATCCACAATTTACTACAAAATTTTATGTAAAAACGACATTTTTATATGGACAACGCACAGAATTGCAACAAAAATATTTTTTAAAAAACGACTCCTTGCTAAATAGATATTACAGTCGCCTGTTTAACGTGTCTCTCGTGGCATCAATACTGTTGATGTCAACAACAATTTGAAATAGCAAATGGATTAATGGGATTGACAAATCATCCAGTTCAAACAAAAATTGACAGATCTCGGGTGTAACTCGCCACCGCAGATATTTAATAACATAAATAATTAATAATGTTTAGAATACCGACAATTTGCAAATAATGGGAACAATTGCTGATATAATGGTTCGTTTTGTTTATAAAATACTGGAGAAATGTATGCATTTATACATTCCCGGTATCTCTAAGGATGAAATTTCGCATTTAAGCATTAGTGCAGAGATGATTTAATTACGAAGGTTCATATGTAAGAATCAATGGATTACTAACCAGTTAATTACAAATATCCCCGCATGTGACCGACTACTTTTCTGCATCAGCGGTGAGAGACAAATGACCATTAGACACTCAATGTCCAGCAGGATCAAATGTCACGAAGAAATAAACCTTGTCTGAGGAACAAACAAGTTCCTGGAACAAACAAGCGCCCCCTGCATTAAAAAAGCAGTGATATCAATTATGAACTAAGCAGGAGGACATACATGTATATGTCTCAGCTCTTATTATTTTTACAACTTTAGTAAAATGATGATATTAAGTTTAGTTTAAACTTTATTTATTCAATAAATTGTACATAAATGACATTTACAAACATTGCACAACAATGTAATTCAGACTGGATTGGAAAACAAGTAAAACAATAATACTTATATCAATTCCTCTCCAGTAATTGTAATTTTCAAGATAAAGATACAAAAATGCTGCGGTTAGATGTAAGCTCTTTGAACGTACAACAAAGAATAATTGAATTATTACCATATAGACACTAAAAATTAGGGTGAAATGATAGAAGAAAGGAAGAATGTAAGGAAAGATTTGATTGAATATATCGGACTGATTAACATGTAAAGAAATCTGAGCGTACGGAAAGACCAAGTTTATTCACACTGATAGTAATTCTTACAAAAAGCGCTTCGATTGTGTAATGAATTTTTGGACATTCTGAAAGAGGGTTTTGTTTTCACCAGAAGAGAGATGTTCGTTGTTGTAAAGAAGATTGTTAACTGTAGCCGGACAATTTAAATAAGTGAGAAATCTATTATTCTCGTATATTTCTGAATTTGGTACATTGCAATAAGATACAGTTTCTCTCATTCCGCAAGTACCTGTTTGGGCTTCCAACAATAGACCTTCTGAACAGATCCTCATTCAATGAAGTACATCCTAATCTTAATTTTGTGTGAAGGATTTCATCTTTACTTGTGCCTGTATAATAGTAAGACGGTGGTCTTTTGATATTCGGAGTTATTTTGGTATTGAATGAGCTTACAGTTTAAAGACGTTTACAATTTGATAGGATAATGAAGATGAAAAAAGTTACCATATTTATAAACATGTTATCTTCTTTATTCTTAATACTGAAATGCGGTAATCAATGACGGACATTTTTATTTATTTTTATACATCCGCATAACAAAGTTGTAAGGGGGGTATACTGGAATCAGGTTGTCCGTCCGGCCATCCGGGCGTCCATCAGCCGTCCGTCGGTTTTTCCTTGTCAGCCCAATAACTTAAGATTCCTTTGACCCACAGTCTTCATATTTGGCATGGAGATAAGTCATGATGAGTAGATAACCCCTATTGATTTTGAGGTAACTGGGTCAAAGGTCACAGGGGCCTTTACTGCAAAAACCTTGTCCGCCTAATAACTTAAGATTCCTTTGACCCACAGTTTCATATATTGCATGGAGGCTAGTCATGGTGCGTAGATGACCCCTATTGATTTTGATGTCACTGGGTCAAAGGTCAAGGTCACAGGGGCCTTTACTGAAAAAAATTGTCCGCCCAATAACTTAAGATTCCTTTCACCCACAGTCTTCATATTTGGCATGGAGGTTAGTCAAGATGATTAAATGACCCCTATTGATTTTGAGGTCACTGGGTCAAAGGTTCAGATCACAGGGGCCTTTACTGAAAAAAGCCTGTCCGTTTTATAACTTAAGATTCCTATCACCCACAGTCTTCATATTTGGCATGGAGGTTAGTCACGATAAGTAGATAACCCTTATTGATTTTGAGGTCACTTGGTCAAATGTCAAGGTCACAGGGTCTCGACTGTAAAAAGCCTGTCTGACCAATAACTTAAGATTCCTTTGACCCAAAGTCTTCATATTTGTCATGGAGGTTAGTCATGATGAGTAAAAGACCCGTATTGATTTTGAGACACTGGGCCAAAGGTCAAGGTCACAGGGGTCTTGACTAAAAAATGCCTGTCCTCCAAATAAGTTAAGATTCCTTTGACCCACAGTTTTCATATTAGGCATGGAGGTAAGTCACGATGAGAAAAGGACCCCTATTGATTTTGAGGACAGGGGCCTTGAATGAAAAAAGCTTGTCCGCCCAATAACTTAAGATTCCTTTGACCCAGAGTCCTCATATTTTGCATGGAGGTTAGTCATGATGATTAAATGACCCTATTGATTTGAGGTCACTGGGTCAAAGGTTCAGCGTCACAGGGCCTTTACTGAAAAAAGCCTGTCCGTTTTTAATAACTTCAGATTCTATCACCCACAGTCTTCATATTTGCATGGAGGTTAGTCACGATAAGTAGATAACCCTTATTGATTTTGAGGTCACTTGGTCAAATGTCAAGGTCACAGGGTCTCGACTTTAAAAAGCCTGTCCTGCCCAATAACTTAAGATTCCTTTGACCCAAAGTCTTCATATTTGTCATGGAGGTTAGTCATGATGAGTAAAAGACCCGTATTGATTTTGAGACACTGGCCAAAGGTCAAGGTCACAGGGGTCTTGACTAAAAAATGCCTGTCCTCCAATAAGTTAAGATTCCTTTGACCCACAGTTTTTCATATTAGGCATGGAGGTAAGTCACGATGAGAAAAGGGACCCCTATTGATTTTTTGAGGACAGGGGCCTTGAATGAAAAAAGCTTGTCCGCCAATAACTTAAGATTCCTTTGACCCAGAGTCCTCATATTTTGCATGGAGGTTAGTCATGATGAGTACATGAACCCTATTGACTTTGAGATCACTGGGTCAAAGGTCAACGTCAGACAGGCCTTGACTTAAAAAGCTTGTCAGCCTAATAACTTAATATTTCTTTGACCCACTGTCTTCATTTATGGCATGGAGGTTATTCATCATTATTAGATGACCCCTATTGATTTTGAGGTCAAAGGTCAAGGTCACATGGGCCTTCACTAAAAAAAGCTTAAGAATCCTTTGACCCAGTTTTCATATTTGGTATTGAGGTGGTTTATGATTATTAGATACCCCTATTGATTTTTAGGTCACAGGGCCAAAGGTGACAGGGACCTTGACCTAACAAAGCTTGTTGGCTCAATTGCTTAAGAATCTTTGGTCAACAGTCTTCATATTTGGTATTGAGGTTGTTTATGACTAGTAGATGACCCCTATTAATTTTAGGTGACTGTGTCAAAAGGTCAAGATCACAGGGACTTCTACTACAATAAATTTGTCTGCTCAAATGCTTAAGGTCCTCAGTGTGTTGACCTTGACAATTTCACATTTGAAGCATGTAGAATGCATACCTTAGCAATGCACTGGCTTACTTACCTCAGATTTGGCAAGGAGGTTGTCCTTGAGCTCTAAATTACCACTGTTGATTCTGACAAAGTGGTATGCGGGGGTATTCACGCCAAGACAGTGGCAGTTCTAGTTAATTTTATTGCGCATATACATATATATCGTCGGAAAGATAGATACTACTTTACTTGGCCTCCTTAAACTTGAGATGAAATTATTGCATCAATTCTTCTTCTTCCGATCACATACAACATGACAGAAACACATTTATTCAGTTATTAGAATAATACAAAAAATAACTATACTACATGTCTTACTTGAAGTTTCAACTTGCATATAGAAATCGAAGAGAAGGCAATTAAAAAACAAAAACTAAATTCTGATCAAAATAACAAACATATCTCTTAAGAATGGTTAGTGGTTAAAGTACAAGTTACTAAGCGTTATCATATTTGGAATCGTTACACAATAATCCATTCTTTATGCATTGAACGTTTTGTACTTTTCATCCTACCGTACTTAAGTCTTGTACACAATTTATAATTCCTATGACTGGTTCGAATGTTTCTATAGTTTCGGCATTTGTTTGTCCATTACATTACAATTTGGTAGATACTGAACTTTCAATGTTATTGCCAATCCTTCTATCTCTGGTTTCCCTTGACGACATAGATAATGATTGTGAAAAAACAGTACAGCATGCGGGACTAAGTAGCTTCTTAAATGCGATTCGAAACTTTTTATTTGCAAGACCGTAAATTATCCAGTTCATTGCAGACTGAATAAGCCCCAGCTTTACCAGATACTCTCTCACACAAATTATGTTTTGAAATGTTATAGGGGAAATAACCGTCTGCATCATAAGTGAACAAATGACAAACGGCATCCAACAAACAACAAAGAGAACAAATACACCGATCATTAGAAGTGTCTTAGTATTTTTCTTCTGGGTTGCACTATTACCGGGTGTTTTGAAAGTTTTGATTTTCCATATAACCATTCCGTACAATATGACATCTATAATGATAGTAACAATAATTAAAATAGAAGAAGTATAATCAAAATCACGTGTTACTATCACACCAATTCTACAAACAAACGTGTCATTTGGTGGTTGAAGGTTTTGTAAAATTACAGGCAAACTTCCAATTAAAATAGCTACTGTCCACATGCCTCCCATATAAACAAAGAACACCTTTCTTTTGTTCGTTTTTAAAAAATGCTTCAGTGGAAATAATACAGCCATGAAACGATCAAAAGATATTGCAAGTAAGGACAAAATTGAACATCCGTAAGATACGAGAATTCCGACCGGTTTTACAACACAATAATGCCAATTTTGTTGCACATCCGGAAATATTTCCTCGAATATGAATACCAGCAACCATAAACCTAGCAACAGGTCAGCAGCGGCTAAATTTCCTATAAGCATATATAAACTTCCTTTAAACTTGTTCTGGTACTTATAAATGCTCACTATGACTAATGTATTTCCGAAAATAGTTCCACTACTTACAATTACATTTAACGTAATTGACACAATACTGAATGTTGAAGAGGTTAAACAAGAAAGGTCAATATTTTCAAAGTTATATACTTCCGCCATTTGTGAAAACGACTTCTGACTGAATGTATTCTCTAGTCCGTCATCTGAAAAGAACAAAATATAATTGACTTGAACGAACGATTTTTCTGAATACTTTCGTGACAAATTATCATTGCTCACGATGACATTTTGTGTGTTTTATTTTATTGTCAGATCCTTGTTATTTGTGCCGTGTGGCGGCTGTAAAAAGTCTCCCCGTACATTTAATCAATGATGTTATATTTTCGATCCTTAAAGATCGTTCAGCACGGCTTTATTGTTGTGTACAGATTTGAGATGGTATTTTTAGTCACCATTTTTGTGTTTAAATGTTGAATTCTGACTAAGCCGGTGCTAGGGGGCGTGGACGGTAACTTGCACTTACCAGTACCGTCATTGAACAGGCTCAATCAAACAGAGCCTGCAACATTTTACAATTTTGCCGTGTTGGGCTTTCTTTAGGGATTCTGTTTTTCTCTATTCTATTATATATTATGTCTTGATAAAAACAACTAGATCATTCACCAATACATGTACTAAATAGCAACAACAATAAATTAACAACACTCGTTATTAACAACTTATTATTTTACTTACCCCATTTATATATGCCTCAATTAAAATAGCTTTATAATTCACAATTACTAAATTATTGTAAAAATACTTAAAACAATAACATTAATTCACGTCACTTTTACCATATTACCAATCCGTGTATTAGTTACATCCTACTATATAAAAACCCCTTCATGTATAAAAATAATATGCTTCAATTGAGGGAAAAAACGTTTACCATATACTCACCTCTATATAAACTGTCGAAACGAGCGATTATCAAATGCGATAACATCACATGGCTCACATACTATAAATTGTCGTAAAATTATTGCTATACAAGAAGTCACAAATTTTATGACCAATTAACTAATGAGAATGAAATATTTCTCAATTGACAATTACAATTATAACAATAACAAATTACATTAATGGATAATCATTTAGAATCGTCAGTAACCTCTGCATTATAGAACATATGCCAATTGGTAGTCAGAATTTCCATTTAAAGGCACATTATATCTCAGAGACAAACAAATTTCTACTTTCTATAATGTTTAAACAATGATTTTTTTTTAAACCCACCCATCATCTCCGTTTTCATATGTTGACTTTGCTGCTGTTTGTTTCTAATTTCAGTTCTTTCGTTTTCTACCTGAAGACACTGTGCAATATCAACGTCATGACATTTGGACAACGTGTGCTGAACCCACTTCAAATTAGACACGACGATAACAATCAGCCTTGTTGTTTTGGAGCATGGATTTATTACTTCCGCTGTAAACTGTTGTTTACTTTTTACTATTAAACGAAAAGATATTTTATACGCGAAAAGCATTCTAGGGTGCACAGAACTAAATTGTATGGGTGTCATTGTTCTCTGGTGATGCCCTATCGTGGTGAACTCCGAAAATAAGAACGAATCGACAAAAATGGCGGCCATTTCATTACATTTTATTAAGAAAATAGACCACGTGACCAGATTTTATACCGTTAAAATGTACTATTACCTATGTAACAGTACAAAATTCTTTGTCACGTGGTACACTTGCATTAACAGTAAGAATAACTCCAAGAGGCTCATGGGAAATTAACATTTCAAAAAAGTGAGCGGTAATGAATAGAAATATTACATTTGAATAAATTGTTTAAAACTATCTAAAGCTTAATTTTTTTTTTGTGTAGACCCCTTTTCTAATAATGGTTTTTAGAGCAATGTTTTATGCTTGCTACCTGAAATAAGTGGCAATAAATGTGAAATTAAATCATGAAAGTAGTAAATTGTAATCAAAGTAGCTTTACTTCGATACAAAATACTAATTCACCATAACTGTAATTATTGCCAAAAGGCATCCGAAGAAAAGATAGTACAGGTAATTGGCCAAAGAGTAACTTTTTGGATGCTTTAACAGAACTCCAAAATTAAAAAGCTTTTGCGAAATAAAAATTAAAGCATTTTAGGCACAACAGGCCTTAAAGCAGCACGCCTCCAGATTCATGCTAATTTTAATGAAAATTTTGGAAATGTATTAAAAAGTAAAATATTGTGAGGTGAACAAAAAAAGTAATTTACATATTGCAATCGGCACTTACAATCCAAGAAAATACCAAAAAGTGGTTCACATATGCAAAAACAGTCCATACTGCGTTAGTAACACAGTATAAATAAGGTGATTAAATATTGCAAAATCAGTCTTTAACCGCACATAACCTGTAAAATATAACTTGGATCTTCAATATTTTTACCTTTTTTAAATTTTAGAACATTTTTCTAAATACTGATTTTCTTGAAATATTTTGGCTCATCTGGAGGCGTGCAGCTTTAAATGATATTTAAGAGATTACAAAATATGATATTTTAATATTAATGGCTTAGAGATGATTTAAAACCTCGATATCTAGTTGTGTATAATGACAGTTCACGCCGTATGTGTAAATGAAAGAACAAATCAGATGCATATTACACACATTACCAACATAACTCCATTTAGTCTTCTACATACATGTTTTCAATATGAACGTTTAATATTTTATTCTCATCATCCAATACATATAAACAGCATCAAGTTTCCGAACAAAGCATAAAATATAAACTGTAAGTCTATAAAATTATATATGATTTAAACTATTAGCGAAATTTATTGCAAACCAAAGAGTATTTTCATATTAAGTGTTTTCATGTTATTTCGGACAGTTAGCTCGTGTGAATTATGTACGTGTGTGCAATATGTACGAAAATCGTTAAAGCAATTAGCATACATGCTGAAAAGAAAAAAAAATCTGGAAAAAGGGGTGATCCTTCAAGAGCATAAGTAACAACAAAATTACATGAAAATTTCAGACTCGGTTGTGAAAAATGCAACATCCCTCACGCTCCCTTGCTTAAATGTTAATAAATGTCCAATACAGTCAATGTTGTTTAAAAGTGACTGTACCAGTTTCGGCAGTGATCACGTGTCATTGTAAGTGAGTAGATATCACCTAAATTTGTGTGACTTTGCATCATTTTGATGATCGTCTTTTATGATTTATAAAGTCCTTTGTAAGCTCTAGTAAGTCCTTAGAAAAATAGCAAGTCTTAACTATACAAACTCCACTAAGGTTGTTTTTTTTGTTTGTTTGTTTTTTTGTTTTGATTTTTGACATGACGGTACTGGAAATATTTTTTTTACGTTACAGTCACAGTTAACTTTATCAGGAATATAGACTGAATCTTTATAAACAGTTAATTTCACATACTTAAGAAAGGAAAAAAAATGAAAATGATTCAATACATATAATAGTAAAGAGTAAAGAGTAAAGTTTATTTCTTGTAACATAGGCCTCCGGCTCAGAACACAACATAATACAACAATAATGAATAGCAATGGAAAATACAATGGGGTGATCATAAATATACATAGTATATTGTAATATGAACATTGGTAGACATCATATCAAAGAAATTTAAAAATATTTAAAGATAAAAAAATATTAAATACAGATAATTTCATATATTAAAAAAAACAAAACAAGAAATTCCCAATCATTAAATACTGCTATGTTCGCATACTTATGAAAGGAATTTGGACTAATAAAATAAAGACAACTTCACATATTAAAGAGAGAAATTCTGAGTCCTTTAAGTACAGATAATCGACAGAAATTTCGAATAATTAAATATAGATAATTCTACCTTTTATTATTTATAAGTTTATTACAGTCTCATCAATGTACCCAGTTAAAAACATGTTAAATACAATATAATTGCACATTTTCAATCTATAAGAGACTAAAAAGTTGACCAACTATTAACATATAAAATTCTAAAATACCCTTGCTAATTTACACCAGAGTTATGAACATGATAAAATGAATCTGTATACTGGAGTAACAAAGTACCTTAAATATTCCATATAGAAATTAATAGTGTAGTTATATTTAATCAAATCCGGTTCAGAAGATAATTAGCAAAGGTGTTTTCTCGATCGTACATGTACATGTTTATCTAAAAACACACAAAAGTTATTTAAAATAATATCAGTACAAAATTAGTTTTCTTACTATTCAGTATGTTAAAACAGGCTTTTGCAGTTAAAATAACGTATCTGCATTAGAGAGTACATATCCTACTTTATCAATGTCTGAAAAGGTATAAAAAAAACATTGTTTAGCATTTGTGCTTCTCGAATTAAGTCGTTACGAATGGAATCATATAAAGTGAAATATAATAATACATGCTTTTCATCTTCTCCAAATCCCTCCAGAGGCATGCACGTCGCGGAGAAGGCACACGGCAGGTAATGCGTTAAAGCAATGCCTTCTGTACATTTTATTGCGCATTTACTTATAATTTATACCGCCGGAAAGATAGATATACTAGTTCACTTGGCCTCCTTGAACTTGAGATGCAATATTTGCAACAATTCTGCTACTTATGATCACAAACAACATGAATGATATCATCCATAAAAACATTTATTCAGTTCTTAAAATAATACAATAGAGAACTGTGGTACATGTCGTACTTGAAGTATCAACTTCGAACATAAAATCGAAGAGAAGGCATTCATTAAAAAATCTAAATTCTGCTCAAAATAACAAACACATCTCTTAAGAATGGTTAGTGGTTAAAAACAACATACAAAGCGTTATCATATCTGGAATCAACCCATCTATCAATAATCCATTCTTTATGCATTGAACGTTTTACACTTTTCATCCTACTTTGGTCTCATCTCGGGTATCTCATTCATAATTCCTATGACTGATTCGAACATTTCTATTGTTTCGGCATTTGTTTGTCCATTACATTACAATTTGGTAGATACTGAACTTTCAATGTTATTGCCAATCCTTCTATCTCTGGTTTCCCTTGACGACATATAGATAATGATTGTGAAAAACAGTACAGCATGCGGGACTAAGTAGCTCTTTCTAAATGCGATTCGACAACTTTTTATTTGCCAAACCGTAAATTATCCAGTTCATTGCAGACAATAAGCCCCAGCTTTACCAGATACTCTCTCTACACAAATTATGTTTTGAAATACATATAGGGAAATAATCCGTCTGCATCACTAACAGCGTGAACAAATGACAAACGGCATCCAACAAAACAACAAGAGATACAAATACACCGATCATTAGAAGTGTCTTAGTATTTTTCTTCTGGGACATTGCACTTCATTACCGGGTGTTTTGAAAGTTTTGATTTTCCATATAACACATTCCGTACAATATGACATCTATAATGATAGTAACATAATTAAAATAGAAGACAGTATAATCAAAATCCACGTGTTACTATCACAACCAATTCTACAAACACAACGTGTCATTTGTGGTTGGGAAGGTTTTGTAAAATTACAGGCAAACTTCCAATTAAAATAGCTCACTGTCCACATGCCTCCCATATAAACAAAGAACACCTTTTCTTTTGTCTCGTTTTTTAAAAAACGATGCTCAGTGAAAATAATACAGCCATGAACGACAAAAATATTGCAAGTAAGGACGAAATTGAAACATCCGTAAGCACCGAGAATTCCGACCGGTTTTACAACACAATAATGCCAATTTTTTGTTTGCACTTCCGGAAATATTTCTCGAATATGCAATACAACAACCATAACCTAGCAACAGGTCCAGCAGCGGCTAATTTTCCTATAAGCATATATAACTTCCTTAAAACTTGTTCTCCAGGTATTATAAATGCTCACTATGATAATGTATTTCCGAAGAATAGTTCCACTACTTACAATTACATTCAATTATTTGACACAATAACTGAAATGTTGAAGTTAACACAGAAAGAGTCAATATTCTTCAAAGTTATATACCTTCCCCATTTGTAGAAAACACTCCCCGACCGACTGATCTATGTCTCTCATGTCCCATCATCCTGAAAAAAACAAATATTATTGCTTGACACACGACATACGTTTTGTGTTCACATGACCATTTGATGTGTATTCAGCTATATTAGTCTTGATAACAAAACTAAAATAATCACCCTTACATGTACCCAAATAGTATCAACCTACTAAGATTAACCAACACTTGTATTAACCCATTCATGTACTTACCCCATTGATTCAAGCCTCCAATTAAGATATAATTCCGCCCATTTTTTAAATTGTTTGTACACAACTTACAACTATAAACTAAATTCACCCGCTCACTTTTACGCATTACCCCATCCCTATTACTAGTTACATTTACATATCATACTTATATATAATATTATTGTATTAAATTCTTTGAAGTATATAGTCATATACCTTTAATTAGGGCTTAACTCAAATGGGTCAAGTAAAATAATGGTTAATAACAAGTTTGTTAATTATAGTTGATTATCTTTTGCTATTTAGTATAATTATTCTTCAAATTTGGAGTGAGAAGGTTCAAAATCGTACGATATTATTGAATTATTGCAAATATTGTTATTTGTATAATAATTTCCATTTGCAATGAGATGGTAAAATAGTATTATTAGGTCCCTGTACTGGATGCAAGATCAAGAGTAAACTACCAATAATACTATTAGTGAGAGTTGTGCTATGTTACATTGGCTACAGTGAATTACAAGGACGAATCCCTTACTGGATACGTTCCTGTCTGAAGATATGTAGAAACATTGAAAGCGCTAACAGAAATAAACGTATAAAAAATTAAAGAACTTTGTACTCTGCATTTCCCAAAACATACTTTAAAGATTTATATATATATAAAACAATGTCCAAGATTAATATTGAACCAATTGAAGAATCTTGTTTTTTATCCTAACTCCGTTTCCAGGGACTTCTTCGCCCATGATTAAAAGAAGAATTCCTCACTATCAACGTACTTTCATATACATAAACTTTGAATAATAAAAGTCTCAAGGAATTAAAGAAAATCAAATCACTTATAAGAAGTTAACAAATCATTGTGCCAAATTGTGTTTTAAAAATGAAAACATTCAGGAATAAATTTACCCTGAACATCATAAACAATCCAAAATCTTTATATAGATTTTATCCTGCTACTCTCTCATATATTATCAGTTTGTTACATCCCATTGCCGGACAAAACTATCTATCTCCAGTCCAGTCCGTCACAACTTTGGTTCAGCCAATGCGTGCAATACCAACTCATTTCTCACGGACTACTTTCTTTCAAACTTTCCCACGCATCTGCATTTTGGTCAATTAATATTCTTTATGGGCTAATTTTAGTAAAGTTTCTTTCCATAATGCGAATAAACATCATAAATGTACATGTTTTTTATTTATATTTTAATTCCCTTTAACAATATAAAAAATCTACCAAGTTTTAACATAATATTGTCCGAAAGGCCCTGTGAAAATATTCAGCGGGAAACCTCTTTATTATTTGAAACATTAGTTTTATTAACCAATCCCCTTTTATTCGATTTAGTATTTCTTGGACATAGTATCCACACCCGGCCTCCTTTGATCTAATAAACAGCTTGCGTTGGCTCAAGCCTCTTGTTGAGCTATTATACCATCAGTGTCATGCTTAACTATTAGCCAGGAATACTTAAAGAATGCCACATTGGTATTTAAAAATTCTTCAGACGGGTTTTTATTTACATGAAATTTTTTTTAGTTTAAAAAACAATTTTCAGAAAAAGCTCGTTCTACTTGATCAACTTGCAATTGACCGTATTAATGTTCTAACTAAAACGAATCCGTATTAATAAAGATTACATTGGATATTAACAGATCGCTTACATTATCTTTAAAGAAATATAAAGATATACATATACACATACAACTTACACAGAAGTGAATTGAATGAAATTACCAAATACATGGTTCTAATTAAATCCTAATTAATAAACTTCTTATAAAGCTTACCATAGCATCTTGTTAGTGTAAGATCGAAAAATATATTCACCTGTTAACACCAAAAGTGCATATTTCCATCCGTGGCTGAATCTCTCTAAATAGTTAATTCATCATCAAATACCTTATACACATTAAAGTTAAATGTATACAGCCATTAAAGTTTCCGAACAAAGCATAAAATTACCTGGCAAGTCTATAAAGACATAAGATTGAGATCTGTTAGCCGGAACATTTATCCAACACCAATAATTTTTTCTATGCAACCTATTATATTATGCGCCTAGATTTATAGTTCTACTCAAGAAGGATGAATTTAACACAATGTCTCCGTTTTATAGTCCATTGTTTTCTTTCTTTAGTGGCATACCACCACAAATCAACATCATTGAATCTCTGCACCAGGCGCTTCTGACGGCCTAACAAATATATATTAAACAAGCAGTACAAACATTTCTAGATGAGAGGCCACACATCGTAATTACTTGGAAAATTAAATTTTCTAACTTTTTTATTTTTACATATTCTCTAAAAAATTTGTTTTTAAACTTGACCCAATAACCTTCTTAACATTCCTGTTTCCTATAATAACAAAATAACCAATCAGGTTTTCATACCAAAATATAACTGTAAAACATAGCAATATTAATTCTTACAACAATTATCACCTGGACATTTATTAGATAAGTCTTAACAACTTCATAGTACAGGCGGCTCAATTGCATCATTTACCTAAATATAATCAACTTTTTAGCAACATTGATTGGACCAAGGAGGAATAGCCACATTAATCTTCGGTACATAATTATAACATTTGACATCTTATTGTTAACACGTATAGTGGTCGCCCATATGGCTTCCGGCGCGACCTTAAATAAACGCACTAAAAAACGTTTATACCTAGTAACTTAACAAATTTTAAGAATTTGCCACATGCTTTTGAAAATATGACCTTTTAAAATGATTATCATATGATATAAATATTCTGTGTTAAAAGAAAATTATTTATGCATATTTATTTATTATTTTTGCGTAAATAACAAAAAATTTTATTTTTCGGCGCAAACCCCAATTAGGATTTTCATAGTTTTACGACAGTAAGCTCTGTTGAAATATGTACGGCAAAATCGTTAGCTAATTAAGCAAAACTGCCTGAAGAAAGAACTTCACGATAGAAAAGGTTTGTCCTTCACATTAACAACACTGCATTAAAATGGCAGACTCTGTTGGTGGATCTACGACATCCTCATCTCCCTTGCTAAAATCTTGTCCCTTATGTTGTTTTTATATGACTGCTTACAGTTTCGGCGTCTGATCACGTGTTCATTGCTATGAAATAAGTCACCTAATATTTGGTTGACTTTTGCATCCATTTTTGATGATATCTTTTATGATTTATAAAAGACATTGTAGCTCTTTGTAGTGGAGTCCTAAGAAGAATAGCAAGTTTCGTTGCATTATGTGTAACTACATCTCTACTAAGTTTTTGTTTTTATTTTTTGACCGATACCAGGTACTGAAAATTTTTACTCGTAACAGTCACGTTAACGTTAAATCATTAAAGAGTATTAGACTGAATCCCTTATTAAACCAGTTCAATTTCACATTCTTAAGAGGAAAAGAAACTGAAAATAATTAAATAGCAAGACCATAGAAAGCAGGTCAAAGTTCTATATTCTTGTAACATAGGCTCGTGGCTCAAACAGCACATTAATACCAACAAATGAATACTTCAATGAAAAAACAATGTATCATTAAAACTACAAGATATATTGTAATATTGAAATTGGTACATATCATATCAAAGCAAATTTCTAAAGATATTTAAAATAACATTTAAATACAGGTTATTTCATACTATTAAACAAATAATGCAAAATTAAATTAATATAGATAATTCCCACCATTTATTATTATAGTTAATTACCAGTCTCATAATGATTATTACCCCATTTAACACATTAATAACACTGATAATGCACATTTTCCATCCTATGAAAAAGCACTAAAACAAAGCTTGACTTACTTCTTAAATACAAAATCCTAACATACCCTTCTATTTACACCAAGATATGACATATAACTGATTTGTTTATACTGCGCAGTAACAACATGTATCTTAAATTTCATAAGAAATTAGTAGTGTGTTATATTTAATCAAATTCGGTTCAGAAGAAATCAGCAAAAGTTGTTTTCCCCGAAGTACCCGGATTACGGGACATCAAATCCCCTCGGACAAATCCCCCTTCATGTACTTTTGCTAATATCCGGATAATCCCTTCCATGGAAGTGACATTAATTCCCTCATTGTAAATTTTGATGGAAAAAATCCCCTTCCTAAAATTGCTACCTAGGACAAAACCCCCTCAGAGAATTTTCGGTTTATACACGTGGTACTGACAAGCAGCAACTGCCATTATGCTGCGCAATATCTTACCTGTAAAATAAGTAGAATAATATTTCCGCAAGGAAGCACATTCAATTAGCAACATTTGAATCACATTAACGCCTTGTAATACTTCATAACATCATAGTGCCCGATAATTTGATCTTATTACTTATCACCCTTTTCCCCCAATAAGAATTGTAAATGAATACAATCTATTATCCATTAGATTATCCCAATCCCTATACAATCATGTAAACAATATTGCCTAATAAAATGTTTTTTCATACTAATCCCAGTGTTTAATAATCGAACTGCACCTTATCAATATGTAGTTATGCATTGAAATTTACCATAATTTTTAATGACAAACTTCTGAACCTAAACAAGTTAACTATGACATAATTAATAACATAAAAAAACATAAGTTCATCTATATTCAATTTTATGAGCCCTATGACTGAATACATTATTCATCAATTTTTATGGCAAGCTAATATCCTTAGGAACCTATGAACAAGGTTTGTCCGGTTGAAGGGATTTGTCCACCTTGCAAACATTGAAGGTAGTCACCATGAGGGATTTTGTCCCGGGATACAGATTTTGTCCGAAGTATTATGTCTGGCCCATTCGATTACCATGACATTATATCTCAAAAACACAAAGTTATTATAAAATGTCAGTGTACACAAATTAGTTATCCGATAGTTAAACAGGCTTTTGCAGTTAAAATACACGTGATCTCATTATAGCAGTAACATAATCCACCCTTTAATTCATATGTCTGAAAGTATAAACAAAGCACTTTTGCATCTTTTGGCTTTTCCAAATCAATTGTACGAAAGGGAATCATAC